ATATTTGTAAGATCGCATAATTGTCAGGAATGGGTACATGTAGGCACACGGTTGAGATGCTTCTAAGTTTTTCTTAAAAAAAAATCACTCATGGTCTAACTGGACGTTGTTGCTCTCGTGATTTTTCCGCTCCGACTTGGACCGGCCCAGCCGGAACAACTTCCGGCCTGATTTGCCGAAGGAGCCCTGCTTGGCAAAGGGGCTGCTCTGGGTCTTGGTACGGTCCAGGGACGCGATCTTGGGCCTCGGTGGAGTGGTGTCGAAAAACCCTTTAGTTGAAGGTTGCGGCGACGACGGGTCGTCGAAGAAACCTAAGGACAATCTTGAACGTGGCTGGTCCACGAAGCCAGAGGAAGATCGAGAACTCTTACCCGTAGACGAGGCCATTGATATGGATCTAAAGGAGAGCAAATGAACAGGAATTTCTTTGCATTATAAAAGGGAAAATTTTAAAGCCTGCACTGATGAATAAGTGTTCACAAATGTTTATCATTCAAGTGTTCTTTTCTTTGGTCTGAAGATGTGTAATCTAAAATAATAGGCCTGAGACTTAAATGACGTCACGCTTTGTTTACATGTGCACTTTCTTATGTGGTAGACAGCCCATACTTTGTCTGGTGTCCCGACTTCGCTGCCATAGGAAAGCGGATATGTAAACAAAGCCATTACGTCATTAGGTCTCAGGTCTATTAAATGCAAGTACATGTGTAATCGCCGTTTTGTGAGAAATTTGTGATGGTGTACTTGTTTCTGTTGATTGTACCGATTTAACGAAAAAGTTGTTAAGGATTAGTTGTGTTAGTAGAAACTAGAGATATCTACTATTTCACATGCAAGGTTTATAAGGGGAAAGCACAGCAAGGTTATATTTTTAGGGGAAAAGCACAAATTCAGGGACCAACCTCATGAGAATGCTGGGAAACAACTGGCTAAGCACAGAAATATATGCTTAACGAGAACAGGTCAACGGCCAAAAGTCATGTGAAACTGTTCATTTTTGATAATTTTGCCAAACAGCTTCACCAAATTAGGCCCGAGCTGCTATGTGTCACTCGAAAAGATTCTGTCTTGCGATTGGCTGAAACCACACCATGTGACACTTCACATGAAGACAATCGGATATAATTGGTTAAAATTCCCTCCAATTGAAGTATAGTGGAAACAGTGACCACGTTAATCGTGCACATTCAGGAACATTTTCAGGAAGTAACACTGTCAGGCACTTCGACAATTCTACTTTCAATAAAGTTGAGATGTATCGTGTAGTGTGTAATAAATGTGTCTAGAATTTCAAAATGTTTGACGCGACAGCAAAATCTTCACAGCACAATGCATGATAATGCATGATTACCGGTATGTCGACAATGTGAATTTCTTGGGTATTCCTTAAGATTTTCTGTATTAACTAACCCCCTAGTACTTCCTCAGGACTACCCTGCTAAATCCAACAGAGTCCAACCGGACTTTCCTGTTCAATCCACTGTGCCTCGTTTTCAGTTGTCTGCTGAATCCAACAGTGTCCAACAATGCGTTATAATGCAGTGCAGTTGCCTGCTGAATCCAACATTTTGCATGAGGAATGTACACAAGGGGTTTACTGCTCAATCCAACAGGATCCATCGGGTACGTGACACAGTTGGATCCTGTTGGATTCAGCAGGGTTAGGGTTAAAATTACAGTAATCAACAGAAATGTTAAAATGCCACAGTTCACATTTCTGGCCATTAAACACAAAAGCACAACTGGACAAAATATACAAGTAGACATTACTATTAGACTTCAAGACAGCTGTATTAAAAGTTGAAATAAAACAAGTGGTTAGTACACCAAAGGAAGATTTGGGGACAATCTCAACTCACCTTTTACGGAAAAATCGTAACTCGGCAAAGGACAGCGCAGAACTTGGGTAGGACGAAGACCTGACCAGTTTTAACGTTTAACTATTTCTATTGAAATTGACTTTGACGATTAACAAGTTCTGGATTCATAGCAAATCCAGATATTCATATTCAATGGAAAAAATCGGGGGAAAAACACAAGAATTGAACCAATCAGTTGTTGGTCCATGTTGATGTTACCAATTTTGAATACTCACCAATTGTAAATACTGTTACCAATTTTGGATATGTTACCAATATTGAATACTGTTACCAAATTTGAATACTGTTACCAATTTTGAATACTGTTACCAATTTTGAATACTGTTACCAATTTGAATACTGTTACCAATATTGAATACTGTTACCAATTTTGAATACTGTTACCAATTGTGAATACTGTTACCAATTTTGAATACTGTTACCATTTTTGAATACTGTTACCAATTTTGAATACTGTTACCAATATTGAATACCGTTACCAAATTTGAATACTGTTACCAATTTTGAATACTGTTAACAATATTGAATACTGTTACCAATTTTGAATACTGTTTATATTGAATACTGTTACCAATTTTAAATACTGTTACCAATGTTAAATACTGTTACCAATGTTGATACTGTTACCAATTTTGAAACAAATGACCAATCAACAGAGTTTTAATCATGATATAAACCCTTAAATGTTAAAATGGTTCTTCAGCCATTTTTCTTCCAATTCAGGCAATTCAAAATGCAGTGCGCCACCAAGAGTTTGCTACCGAGAGTTCAGTTTTCCCAGTGCACTGTGGGAGATGGTTGACAAATTTGCAGCGCGAGACATTTGAAATTGTCAGTTTTCTCCAGTCAGTAGTTTTGTAAGTGTATGATTCGAAATGGTGTTTTTTGTAAGGCGACAGAACGCTTTGCCCCATCTACATGTATAACAAATTAGCTCAAGTTGTCAACTGACACTTGTTCGAATAGGCCATGTTTTGTCGACCGTAAACTTTTTAAAAAATGGACTCTCCATGGCAAACTCTTGGTGGCGCACTACATTGTGAATCCCCCAAATTATAGACCAATCCACTACGCCCAGCCCACTGCGCACGTGGCAAACAAGACATGCGCCTCTCCAATATCAAGCTGCATGCTGGACCTTTGTGCACGCATGTAGGACGTTTATCATGGCTTTCATTGGTCAAAACACTATGGGGGCACTGCGTGCGCAGTTGCTATAATTCGTCGGTTCAGTGCGCGACATCGCGTAGCTGCAATTGGCTGAATGAGAAAGCTGAATTCGGGCCCATTTTACAACATGACTCGGCAACTTTTGATGTCAAATCGAGATCCTAGAATATTGTTTTTCTCGCAATATACAGCATTCACTGAGCTAAAACTTCGTCAGGTTTTTAAGCATCCTTCTTTAGATTTTGAGCACTTTTGTTGCTTCAAACGAACATAATGCACAAATTACAAATGATGGACTGTACCTTTAATGGGTCGGTCAATTACTATCACTCAATTTTAAACATGAATCTTTATGTACACGTATTACAAGTTCTGTTTCATTCAAAGACTTAAACCTCCAAACCTGGCTCTTACGATGAAATAAGAAGTCAAATCTCTAGGTCATTTTCCAAAAACTAGGCTTAGGAATTGCTCCCTACTTGTTGATGGTTTAATTAGCAACGGAATGTGGCTTGGACGACTTTGGTCATTTTCCAAACACGGAACAAATTTCAGTGTCAAGTTTATTGTGAACTGTAAACATTACCATGAAACACAACTGGGCCCAATTTCACGGCGCTGCTTAACAGTTGGCAGCAAAGTTGTGCTTAGCATGGCAGAAAATTGTGCTAACCTTAAGCACTATATCACGGCGTGAATGCTGATGGTCGCGCGTGCATGGAGATTTCTATTGTTGCGTCACTAAGTTGAGCAAATTTTTCCTCTGAAGTAAGCGTGACTTTTGCTGTGCTTACGCTTACGGTCTCCATGAAATAGACGAAGGCTCTGTTAGCAGAAAATCGTGTGCTTAGCAGCGCCGTGAAATTGGGCCCTGCTGACATCTTGAAATTTGCTTTGCTTTTGCTTTTTTGTGAAGTATATACCAACCATTAGAGGACATTACCCGTATGCAATATTCCCTGGGAGGGCGCTTTCCATTCGTGAATGTAGCAATGCTCCACAGGTTAAAGATATAGTCCATCATTTGTAATTTGTGCATTTTGTTCGTTTGAAGCAACATAAGGGCTCAAAATGTAAAGCAGGGTGCTGAAGAACTAACCTGATGAAGTTTCAGCTCAGCTTCAGCTGTATATTCCGAGAAAAACAGCATTCTAGGATCTCTATTTCAAATCAAAAGTTGCTGAATCATGTTTTGAATTGGGCCTGAATTCAGCGTCCGAGACATGTTCTCACTGAGCTGATTGCAGCTACGTGATGTCGCACACTGATCCGACGAATTAAAGCAACCGCAAGCGTGTGTGCGTCGTGTCAACGCTTGCGCGCGCTTCGCCGAATAAAACAACGAACTATTAACGGAGGAAATTTCCAACGGAGTGTCTAGAAAGGCCTTCTTTCGCTGATTTCTTTAAAATGACAGCTTGCCAGAAAGAATAATTTCACAGGGAGTTTAGTTCCTTTACTATCTTTCAACCAAGCTGCAAATGATGGACTGTAGCTTTAAACATCAGAATAATTGAGTAGCCTGAAATACTCAAACCAAACGAATATACTCTATTTGTTTGCCTCGTTATTTGATGTCAAAGCAGCCTGTGTCACCGTAATACGTGAGGCATAACATCTTGAAATTGGACCTTGAAGCCGAAGGTGGAGACAAAGTCAAAGTTTGGGAAAACACCCTTAGAAACATCTCGGACAATTAAGTTTTTTAGGTTCAAGTCAACAATTTTTATAAATATATATGACTTGAAGCTCTGCATGGCGGATGAGATAAATTAGAAAAATAACACCATTTGGAAAGTTATCTGTTCTTAGAAGAAGTGCGGTTCTGAAAAGATCACTCAACCAACCGGTTCTTTTCAGAACCAGACTTCTTCTAAGAAGAGATTACTTTCCAGATGGTGTTACCAGCAATCTTTCCTCTTAAATTTTTATAAGTGTGATATTTCTCACCTCTGTCTTGTCTCGGCATCGTAGGCGACCTGCAAGGCGGCCAGACGCTCCTCGGCAGACTCCAGCGCTGCTTGTAACTCCTCCTGCTTCAGCAGAGATTGCTGCCCAGAAATAAATTGGAGAGAAACATTTATTGCAGATAGCAACTGCGAACTCTATGCAGAGGTGTAGGGGGTTGTGTGGCCACTCGTAAGGTGTATCAGTGATGCAGTCAGGTCCTTGCAAGTCCTTCACAAGTCCTCACATGTCACTCACAATTTCATCACAAGTCCATCATAATTTCATCACAAGTCCTTCACAAGTCCATCAGATGTCAATCATAATTTCATCACAAGTCCTTCACAAGTCCTCACCAGTGTTGTAGTAATAATTAATAATAATAATAATTTGGGAGGCTAATCATCCTTACTCGCAGCTGGTATGCTGAATTGCGAAGGACGTGGCTACAACGTGGTCGGGCCGCTGGCACGTAACGGCGCCTATGGCTGCCAGCCACATCGACCCATATATGACCACGGAGCACAGCCTGAGATCGAAAGTGTTTGATTTTTCCGGAGGGAGGAAAACTGGAGGGCCCGGAGAAAAACCCTCGTGGCACAGGAGAGAACCAACGCACAACTCTACTCACATGTGATCCGCGGCCAGGATCGAACCGTGGTCACCTTGGTGAGAGGCGAGCGCTTTACGCACAAGCCACCCATGCCACCCTCAATACTCATACTCGGTACTGGTACTTGAGTACTACTCAAGTAATTTTTTTGGAGTACTCGTACTCGTACTCGAATGTCAAAGTAATCGCACTCGAATGTCAAAGTAATCGCACTCGAAATGTCGGTACTCGTACTCGGCCAGCAAAGTACTCGTACTCGACATGTCAAAATTGTACTCGATCATCAAAGTACTCATACTTGAATAGCAGTACTCGGGGGTAAAAATGGTATAGCTTGACTTACCACGGCCTTATTTTATCAATACTGGCAATTTGAAATGGTTGATTGGCTTCTGGAGAAATCGAAGTTTCATGATTTTCCTCTATGCACATTCGGACAAACACATTTAACAGCTAGCCGTGAGTGGGTCTGTATATATCGGTCTGATTGGGCCTGGGCCAATTACGAACAATGAACCATTTGCCGTATTTGGAAATCAGTACTCGTACTCGGAAGTACAAGTACTCGTACTCGTAAGTACAAGTATTCATACTCGGAGACCTGTAAATGCACTCGGAGGTACAAGCACTCGTACTCGGTAACCTAAGTACTCGGCAGTACTCGGTACTCAGAAAAAAGTACTCGACTACAAAACACTGGTCCTCACAAGTCCATCACAAGTCATCACAAGTCATCACTAGTCCATCACAAGTCCACCACAAGTCTACCACAAGTCCACCACAAGTTCATCACAAGTCATCACGAGTCATCACAAGTCCATCACGAGCCCCTCACCAGTCCATTACAAGTCCATCACAAGTCCATCACAAATCCATCACAAGTCCATCGCAAGTCCATCGCAAGTCCATCACAAGTCCACCACAAGTCTACCACAAGTCCACCACAAGTTCATCACAAGTCATCACAAGTCCACCACAAGTCCATCACAAGTCCATCACAAGTCCATCACAAGTCCATCACAAGTCCATCACAGGTCCACCACAGGTCCACCACAAGTCCATAACAAGTCCACCACAGGTCCATCCCAAGTCCACCACAAGTCCACCACAAGTCCACCACAAGTCCATCACAAGTCCACTACAAGTCCACCACAAGTCCACCACAAGTCCACCACAAGTCCACCACAAGTCCATCACAAGTCCATCACAAGTCCACCACAAGTCCACCACAAGTCCATCACAAGTCCACCACAAGTCCACCACAAGTCTACCACAAGTCCATCACAAGTCCATCACAAGTCCACCACAAGTCCATCACAAGTCCACCACAGGTCCACCACAAGTCCATAACAAGTCCACCACAGGTCCATCCCAAGTCCACCACAAGTCCACCACAAGTCCACCACAAATCCATCACAAGTCCATCACAAGTCCATCACAAGTCCACCACAAGTCCATCACAAGTCCATCACAAGTCCATCACAAGTCCACCACAAGTCTACCACAAGTCCACCACAAGTTCATCACAAGTCATCACAAGTCCACCACAAGTTCATCACAAGTCATCACAAGTCCACCACAAGTCCATCACAAGTCCATCACAAGTCCATCACAAGTCCACCACAAGTCCACCACAAGTCCATCACAAGTCCATCACAAGTCCATCACAAGTCCATCACAAGTCCACCACAAGTCCATCACAAGTCCATCACAAGTCCACCACAAGTCCATCACAAGTCCACCACAAGTCTACCACAAGTCCACCACAAGTTCATCACAAGTCATCACAAGTCCACCACAAGTTCATCACAAGTCCACCACAAGTCCACCACAAGTCCATCACAAGTCCATCACAAGTCCATCACAAGTCCACCACAAGTCCATCACAAGTCCATCACAAGTCCATCACAAGTCCATCACAAGTCCATCACAAGTCCATCACAGGTCCACCACAAGTCCATCACAAGTCCATCACAAGTCCACCACAAGTCTACCACAAGTCCACCACAAGTTCATCACAAGTCATCACAAGTCCACCACAAGTCCATCACAAGTCCATCACAAGTCCATCACAAGTCCATCACAAGTCCACCACAAGTCCATCACAAGTCCATCACAAGTCCATCACAAGTCCATCACAAGTCCATCACAAGTCCATCACAAGTCCATCACAAGTCATCACAAGTCCATCACAAGTCCATCACAAGTCCATCACAAGTCCATCACAAGCCCCTCACAAGTCCATCACAAGTCCGTCACAAGTCCATCACAAGTCCATCACAAGACCATCACAAGTCCATCACAAGACCATCACAAGTGTATTGAACTAACCTTGAGTTGTTGCTGCAATTCCTCCTCTCTCTCCTGCGCCCGTCTCTTGCTGTTATCCAAGGTCCTCTCCACTTCCTTGTGTAAAAACTGTAGACAAAACCATTTTAAAAATAACATTGCAAACCATCAGATGCTAGTTTCCGTAGGGTAACCTTTCCTTTTTCTACATTGATACAATGTAATCACTTTTCCCCCCCAGATCTTAAGTGATACAAAACACAGACAAAACGGATATGAACTGGCCAGCCGTCCCCAGCTATCTTGGCGATAAAGTGGTTAAGACGTCTGCACTAGTAAGCTGGAGGATGTGGGTTCAATCCCACCAAAGCGGGTAACTTGTAAATTTTCCCATAGGTTTTTCCGGACAATATACTGAGTACACATACCATTACAACAGTGAAGGGCAAAACGGAATATTTTTGCACCACATCACAGCTGTGTGGTTGCGAAGGGCGATTTCTAAAGGTTACGTAACACTTTATTTTGAATGAAACTACATGCACACAGACATGTTCACGTTGGCGGGCGAATCTTTGAAAATTAATTTCTCCCGTTTGGAAGACCGTATCTTCGTGCCACTTTCAGGGTTTATTTCCCTTATAATGATCCAAGTATGTGCTAAAAATTGTTGTGCTGTGTTCACTACTTTTCGTTGAAATTGAAAAAATAGGCCTGGCTACGTGCATTTTTGAATGATTTCTTCCCGACTTTTAAGGTCAGCTTTACCAGTTACCAGTATTGACGTTTCAGCATCGATGATGGTGATTTTTTTCACCGACATGAAATTTAAAATTTCAATCATACTGAGCACATTTTCTGAGAAACACAACGTTCAAAAGGCCTTGTTTTTGGCGTTCACAAATTTCACTGCTCTGTTGCAGCGTCTAAGTATGTAATCTGATTAGCTTTGCTTGACAACCGGCACGCTTTCGCATTCGCAACCACACGGCTGAACAATCAAGTAAATTTAATGAAAGGCAGATCAGCTCACCTCATTTCGCTCTTGTTCTTTCTCGAGTTGATTGCCCAGATCCACATTGTCCAGTCTCAACTGATCTGTTAATGCTGGAGAACAGGTTTTCATTTTGAAAAAAGATTATATTTTGAGTAAGCTTGAAGTTTTGATAGAAATCTTACACTGCGCCAAAGATTCAGGCAATATTCAAAATTATATAACTGACATACAGATCCTTGCCATTTGATTGGGGGAACTCACATCACGTGACATTCGTTATTGCTCCCATTCACGCCGGGCACTGGGGCGCAAAAAGTCCCATTCGCCCATGGGAATGGGAAATACTATTCAACAGTTAGGATCATTCTTGTTCCATGACGCGGCATTTGTGTGCAAATGCATGCTGGCCTGCGCGTTCAGCGGTGTTCCAAAAAGCCAGTGCTACAGCGTTGGGTTCAAACATTTTCGTGAAGGGGTGGTTTGGAAGAGAGAAATACATTTTCCACCAATTTTGTATTGAAATAAGAAGTTCGAATATATCAAAATGACAAGGATCTATATGTCAGTTATATAAAACAAATATTGAGTGGCTTTAAAGGGAATATACATCATTTGCTTTTGCTGTAATTTTCAGAAATGGATGGAATTGGGGGGTTGGAAATATATAGCAAATATAGTTACACTGACTTTTTTGAGGTTTTGGGTTCGAAAATGCTATAAAAACCAAGAAAAACAATAATTTTTCTGTAGTCTCGTTCCCCGACTCCATTTAAGAAGAAACAGAGCAGTTTACATACATTGGGGAATTGTAAGGTCAGGGAACCAGTCTAGCTGGCTTGTACCCGTTCATAGGTGTGTAATCGATTGCAAACAAGTGCGATGGTCAACTGGGGCCAGTATTTGAAAAAAAAAGCCAGTTTTTTCCAACGCTGGTCAGCCGATCAGCATTGGAAATTGATACAAAAATACCACTTTTCTTGAAAATGACAGTATACCAGGTGCCATGATTTTACAGGATGCTTTACACTGTCATTCACTAACAGTCCAGCAAGGTATTTCAAAATGATTTGGTAGTTTTATTTTTTGATGTTTGCAAATGTTGTATTTTCCCTTTAAATTGTGAAATGGGAGGAGGATTATCACTCGGTAAAATCTGGACTCATCCAGTTCACTCTGCTTCACCTCGTGAAATGGAAAAGTCCCGATTTTACCTTGCGATAATATTCCTCCCATTCCACTCTGAGCCACTCAATATTTGTATACTGTTTTCTGTGAATCACAACCATTTTCATTTTAATACGGGGCTTTACATGCATTTGTGTTTGTTGGGTATGGCACATAAACGACCAAAAAAAACCAGGTGACTGTCCACAGAACATGATTTGCAAAAGGTTAAGCATACAGGATCATCTGCTTTTCATGCATTTTGTTCATTTCCAATTATAACACCACTCAAAATCTAACGAAGAATGTTGCAAACCTAACCTGTTGAACTTTCAGCTCAGTGGATATTACACTTGTTGAGAAAACAGCGAAAAACCATGCACAACCTTTTGATCACGAAACACAATTTTGTCGAGAGCATTCTGTATTTCCAAAGATGTCAATTGACTGAACGTTGGAAAGCAGCTACATTTCTTGATTTCTTGTTAATGACAGCAAGCCAGACGGAATAATTTCACGGGCTGTTTAGTACCAGAATGATTTTTAATCCAAGTAAGCGTTCTGATAATAATTTGCTGGGTTACTTTTTTGATAAATGCAATTGATCCTATATGCCTTTAAGTCGGAAAGTGGCGCAAATACAACAGGGGATGCAATGTATCGTGAATCCCTTCTGTTTCAACACAAATAAGCCGAGCATTTCTGTATTCATAGGAAGTAAATAACGGGCGTACTCACAGTGTAACTTGCTGATCTCACTTTCCAAGTCTTCGCTGTGTGCGTACAACTCCGTCTTATTCAACTCTGAAGCGGCATCAAAAGAGATGAAAAATAACAAATTGAAAAGCTTTGTCGGCATATAACACTGATTGCATTTAAAGGTACAGTCCATCATTTGTAATTTGTGCATTTTGTTTGTTTGTTTGAAGCAACAAAAGTGCTCAGAATCTAAAGAAGGGTGCCGAACAACTAACCTGATGAAGTTTCAGCTCAGCCTCAGCTGTATATTTCGAGAAAAACAACATTCTACGATTTCGATTTCAAATCAAAAGTTGCTGAATCATGTTTTGAATTGGGCCTGAATTCAGCGTCGGAGACAGGTTCTACTGAGCCGATTGCAGCTACGCGATGTCGCGCACATTATCCGACGAATCATAGCAACCGCACGTGTGTGTGCGTCGTGTCAACGCTTGCGCGCGCTTCGCCCAATAAACAAACAAACCACTAATGGAAATTTCCAACAATGTGTCTCTAGACGCATCGTTGTTGATTTCTTCCAAATGACAGCATGCCAGAAAGAATAATTTCACAGAGAGTTTAGTCCCCTTACTATCTTTCAACCAAGTATGTTTTTTTCAACAATAATTACGTAAGTTACTTTTTGGATAGCTGCAAATGATGGACTGTAGCTTTAAGTGCCTGTATGAAAAAGAGTTTACCCCTGTGCCACGATGTTACATTGAATGTTGTTTTACGCATCAGCGCGGTAATGTATGCACAAATTGAAACGAGTCAGATATTCCAGTTTTTACCTAGCGCTTCTTTTGTCTGGTGGATGGCGGCCATCTTGGATCTCGATTCTTCCAGATCGGCCTCCAATGTGTGAACTTTCAACTCCATGGTCGACTTGAATGTTTCAAACTCCTGGCGAGGAAAAACACAAGGAAGAAACAAGAAAATCTTGTTAAGCCTTGAGTTTTTAACACGTGCACGGTTCCCAGCACTTCATGAAAACAAAAATTCCCTGAAAGTTCTCTGAGAAATTCCCAAAATTCCATGACAAATATTTTCACTTTAACGAGGTTGCTAGGAAGTCAAGATGTGGTTGCAGCAAAAAGATATTGATAATACACAGGCAACTTGTAGACAAGCGATGGCCTCCTTTTCCATTTATAGCCATCTTTCCTAACCATATGCACAAGGAGCACATTTGCCAAACTGTAGAAAACCTTTCCCTTCCGGGTCACTGTCAAATTCCCTGCATTTTCCCTGATTTCTGGTATGTTTTTTTTTCTCTCTCCAAAGTCCCTGACTTTCCCTGACTGGAAAATGGAAACTCATTTTCAAGGTTTTCCCTGATTTCCAGAGTGGTTAGGAACCCTGACCAGGGCCCAATTTCACGGCGCTGCTAAGCACACAAATTTGCTGAGCAAAAAAAAAAGTCTGGCTTAGGCCAAAAAAAATAAGTCTCCGGTTTCTGGTATGGAGCTTGCCCCAAAAGTGGTGCGGCGACGCGGCTTTTTTTTTTTTTTACCTGTTTTTTTTTTTTTTTTTTGGCTTCAAATGTCGGCTGATGACTGCAAATGGTGCCCGACTAAACTTAGTGCAAATATATGGGAGTCCAGAGAGGCCACATAAAGCTTATTCTCGATCATAACCCCATCTAAAAACACGTTAAAATTGTGCAGCAGCAGAATTCCAGTCAAACCAGTGAGTTTGGCGGTTTTGAGACATCATCTTGTATTGAAAAAAAACCTTTTTCATTTTGCCGACGCGCATGGCTACGGCGACGCGCGCGCATACCAGAAACCGGAGACTTTTTTTTTTTGGCCTTATAAAAGCAGGTTACCATCCAAAACTCCATGTGATTTTCAGGCTAAGCAAACAACAGATAAATACTAATCACGGGCAGTATACATCACGTGGATTTTTGGCTGGTTACCTGCTTTTATAATCCAGTCTTTTTTGTGCTAAGCAAATTTTTGTGCTGAGCAGCGCCATGAAATTAGCCCCCTGTATTACATTGTATTTGAAGAGGTTATTTCCAAAACATGAAAAAATGCCATTTTGAATCCTGCTCTCTCCCGGCAGTCCAGTCATTTTTGACAGATTTTATAAAGATAAACACAATTTCAGAAGACAACAAAGTGAAAAATGAAATTTTTACTACATTGTATTACATTGTATTTGAAGTGTTTACATTATTTACAAAACATGATCAATGCCAATTTTGGTACCTTTTAGAATCCTGCTCTCTCCTGGCAGACCAGTCATTTTCAACAGGTTTTAAATTGTTAAACACAATTTCAGAAGACAACAAAGGAAAAAAAATGAAATTTAGAGACAGCTTTTGTATTGTTTAAGTTGGGATTCGTCCTCACCTGTTGTTTAGCACCAAGTTTGGATGTGACTGAGGACAGCTCATCGACCAGTCTCTCATGTTTGGTGCTGTTGCCCTCCAAGGAACTAACCTGCATGTTCAGCAAAAATGTGAAAAATACAAAGTTTAGAGATAGTACAGGGAACATGGTGCTTGTGTCCTTGGGGAAGGCACTTTACTACAATTGCCTCTCTGCACCAAGGAGTATAAATGGGTAGCTGTGAGGTACCCCAGAAGACTTGGGTGATGATGAATAGGGGAGTGCAGCTACATTAAGTGGTAATGGTTTGTGACTCGAGATCAAAGGGTTATGGGGCAACATATGCTATGTCCTCAGGCAAGCTACTTTACCCTAACTTGCTTCTCTCCACCCAGGACAGCAGAATAAATCGGTATAGGTATTAGTTGGAGTGTAACCGGCAAAACACTGGCGATTAATCCAGGGGGACAGAATATATTCTCAGTTGTTTCATGCTTTAACGTCCGATAATTTTTTAAGTATTTTTTTCTTCTTGAATCTTCTCACACCTTGGTTTGCAGGACATCCCGCGCCTTCTGCAGGTCAGCCACCTCGCGGTCCTTGCTCGCCAGCTGCCCAGCGAGGGCGGTCTTCTCCCGGACCGTGGTCTGCAGGACATCCCTCGCCTTCTGGAGGTCAGCGACCTCTCGGTCCTTGTTCGCCAGCTGCCCAGCGAGGGCGGTCTTCTCCCGGACCGTGGTCTGCAGGACATCCCTCGCCTTCTGCAGGTCAGCCACCTCGCGGTCCTTGCTCGCCAGCTGCCCAGCGAGGGCGGTCTTCTCTCGGACCGTGGTCTGTAGTTTACCCTCGGCCTTGGCCAGCTTCTCCTGGGTCTGGCTCAGCTCCCGGCTGGCGTCGCTCCATTCCTGCTTCTGCTGCCGAAGCTGTCAAGAGAAGGATTCAAACAGTTAGTGAAAAGTGCAAAGCATCTACAGCTGTGGATATCTACCGCAGATTGCCAATAGCTGAAACCGGAAGCCTTGTCGAAACATCTGATACGGACGTGGCCTTGTACCAGTGTAGTGTGAATTAAGACTTTACGAAATGCAGCCATGTATTGCATGTGTTGTAGTGGGAAGAAATAGAACAGTGACCAGTCACATATGAGGGTCAATTATTACAGTACACATCAAAGAAAAAGGGACCGTAACAATTTTCCAAGGAGCCAAAATGTCAAAAACACCAGACACAATTAATGCTTTATTTATGTGCTTACTTGCCAGGAAAAAAAATCAGCTTAGAGTCAGTCATGCAAAATTTGTTTACAAAGTTATTTTTTTGTTGTTGGGGGGGGGGGAGATTGACAAAGGAAATACAATTTTCTAACTCCCTAGTACTTCCTCAGGACTACCCTGCTAAATCCAACAGAGTCCAACCGGACTTTCCTGTTCAATCCACTGTGCCTCATTTTCAGTTGTCTGCTGAATCAACGGAGTCCAACAATGCGTTATAATGCGGTTCAGTTGCCTGCTGAATCCAACATTTTGCATGAGGAATGTACACAAGGGGTTAACTGCTCAATCCAACAGGCTCCATCGGATATGTGACACAGTTGGATTCTGTTGGATTCAGCAGGGTTAGGGTTAACAAAATTATTTCCTATCCCAGCACTCTTAATTAGCTACATACACGGAGTGAGATAATGCTTCAGTCTACGTTTGCTGAGAAAATGTTGTCTGATCATTTTATTGATATCTTTTTCTGGTTACCTACCTCTTGTTTCAGTTCTTGTATCTCCTTGTCGTGCTTGCATGGCGTGAAATTGACACTGGACTTGAGGAAGGAAGACTGAAACAAACAAAAATGAGCAAAAGAGACAAAGTAGAATAAGGATGATATTCCTAATAGGTCTCTCCAAAATGACGTCATTTCCTACAGACCAGCCACGTGCATCGACATTTCGAGCATCAACTCGCATAACGCGCATCAGCTGCGTCGTATTTTGAACACATTTCGAGCAACAAGCGCACATGTTTGGAACATTTTCAACACTGCGCAATGCGTGTTTGATTGCGTAAAATACGCAGTTGCTGGTCGCCTACAGAGATGGCCGTCTTTAAGAAAGACCTATATTGTGTGAAATTATACAGATGTTGTAATTGTGGCTGAATCTTCAAGACTGTAACCTTGAATGCAACAAAATAATTACAGGATTTTGTTGTCCATGGGCAAGGCACTTTACCATGATTATAATGCATAGATAAGCACGGCCTACAGAGGCAGTGTTTTCTCTCAGAAGTTTAGGTGGCTTCAGGAATGACTATAAGCTCGTCTGTCGGGGGTAATATCATATGTCAAACAAATTGCAAACTAATTTTTTTTTTTTTTTTAAATGTTGATCAGCATGTGAATCACGGCCCAAAAAAACCCAATTATTATAATAATTGTGTTCTTACAAGCAACTATGAGCTTTATAGCCAATGTCTTTACTAGTCCGAGTAGCACCCGTTAAAGGAAAGTACAACATCTGCTTTCGCTTTAATTTTCAGAAATAAATGGATTTGGAGGATTAGTACCGGTATGTTATAGAAAATATTGTTGAACTGACATGTTTCACGTTTTGGGCTTGTAGATGCTGGAAAAACCAAGAAAATCTATCATGTTCTTGTAGTCTGGTTCCCTGACCCCAATAAGATGAAACGGAGCACTTAATACACTTTAGGGAATTGTAAGGTCAGAGAATACAGTCTAGCAGGCTTGTATTCCTGCAGAGGTGTGTAATCAATTGCAAAGAAAATTCAGAAAACTAAATATGAAAAATTAAGAACAGTTTTTGGAAAAAAAGCCAGTTTTTTCCAACGCTGGTCGGCCGACCAGCGTTGGAAAAATGCAGTTTTTCTTGAAAATGTCAGCACACCAGGAGCTACGATTTTAAAGATAAGGTATTTCGTGATAATTTGATCATTTTGTTTTTTGATGTTTGCAAATGTTGTATTTTCCCTTTAACCAACGGAGTCCTCTCTGTAGCCAATGTCTGGTATACGCGAGCAATTCAAATTTTAGGCAGCCCCACGTGCCAGCCAATTAGAGTCAACATCATTTCCATCATAAATGTGGACTAAGCTGTTGATTGGTCAATTTTGTTGCCACGTTTTTGTTATACAACGGGTTACCGAAGACCAGATATAGAAGACGCCCGCTGAATGGTCAGAATCTCGAGGTCAAGATGCAGTCTTGTGTTGCATAATTAAAGGGAAAATACAACATTTGCAAACATCAAAATATAAAACTACCAAATCATTTTGAAATACCTTGCTGGACTGTTAGTGAATGACAGTGTAAAGCATCCTGTAAAATCATGGCACCTGGTATACTGTCATTTTCAAGAAAAGTGGTATTTTTGTATCAATTTCCAATGCTGATCGGCCGATCAGCGTTGGAAACAACTGGCTTTTTTTTCAAATACTGGCCCCAATTGACCATCGCACTTGTTTGCAATCGATTACAAACCTATGAACGGGTACGAGCCAGCTAGACTGGTTCCCTGACCTTACAATTCCCCAATGTATGTAAACTGCTCTGTTTCTTCTTATATGGAGTCAGGGAACCAGACTACAGGAAAATGATCGTTTTTCTTGGTTTTTATAGCATTTTCGAACCCAAAACCTCAAAAAAGTCAGTGTAACTATATTTGCTATATATTTCCAACCCCCAATTCCAATTCCATCCATTTCTGAAAATTACAGCAAAAGCAAATGATGTATATTCCCTTTAATCGTCGAATCTGCTCACATATCATAGACCCTTACTGTGCTAGGGGATATTCCATAGACTACAGGTCTTTACGAGGAAGTTCTTAAAATTCTGTGACAAGCAGGTTTGAAATTTGAAGAAGCTTCACTAAACTTACGTCCGCGGTGGAATTCAAGAACTTGGACGGAGTCCTGCCAGACTCTGGCAGCGACGTGGAGCTGTTGGAGTGAGCTTGCTGTAACGATCCGGGCGGTGGGGCTGGCCAGACGAGAGAAAAAAGCCGAGAACAAATAAAGTGGTGTTTCCTACTAACTTGAACATATTAGGGTAGGTAGGTCGGTTGTAACACTTTTTTTTTACTCTAACTTTTATAGCCAGAAAAATAGCATGGGATGATGGTGAAGTAATTGTTCTTATTTTGTTTATTTTTGCATGCATTAGTAATAGTTAAAGGGCTATACAACATTTGCAAACATCACAAAACGAAATGATCAAATTATCATGAAATACCTTACTGGATTGTTAGGGAATGACAGTCTAAAGCATCCTGTAAAATCGTGGCTCCTGGTGTGATATCATTCTCAAGAAAAATGGTATTTTTCCAACGCTGATCGGCCGACCAGCGTTGGAAAAAAACTGGCTTTTTTCAAAACCTGCTTCTAATTTTTCATAATTAGTTATTCATTGTTTTCTTTGCAATTGATTGCACACCTGTGAAGGGGTACAAGCCTGCTAGACTGATTCTCTGACCTTACAATTCCCAAAAGTCTATACATTGCTCCGTTTCATCTTAAGTGGGGTCGGAGAGCCAGACTACAAGAACATGATTGGTTTTCTTGGTTTTTCCAACATCTACCAGCCAAAAACGTGAAACAAGTCATTTTAAAAACATTTGCTATAATATACTAATCCTCCAAATTCATTTATTTCTGAAAATTGCAGCAAAAAAAAATGTTGTAAATTCCCTTTAAAATGTGAATCAACTGTTCTTTCTGCATTTGCTGTACTGTTTTTTGAGGCTTCGCTGCACTGACCAACTTCCAAACAAATAAACTTAAATAAAAATGTCAAAAAATGCAGGATGAATGGGTCATGTTTGCAAAAACTAGGGTGTGGCGGCACCATAAGTTTTTTCCCCGTTTTTGTTATTCAAATAAAAAATTTAGGGTTTTAGAATGAATTTCAAGGTTGGGTGGGTTAAGGCCAAACAAAAAAATACTCGGTCTCTGGTCAGCGCGCACGTCGATTTTAATCATGCGCGTCAACCTTTTTTTTCCCTTCAAATTAACACGGAAGCTACAACAGCGCCCTCTATTGCCGCGCCTCCTCAAATTATTGTACCAAGGAGCACCATGGAATGGGGAAATTGCACCAAGGCAAATGATAAAGGGCACCAAGGCAAATTATGGAGGACACCAATGTATAATGAGGACACAAAAAAGCAAAATAGTACTCACTTTGTCTGTACAATGCAAGCTTGAAAAAAAAAAAAGCCACAAAAAAAAAAAAAAAACGCGTCGCCACATCAATTCCGGAACTTCGGTCTGACCAGAAACCGACTATTTTTTTTTTTTTTGGCCTAAAACCCAGATTTTTGTTTTCTTGGCCCAAATTGAACACGTAGGAGACGTACATGCACAACTGTACTCTAATCATTTCCAGACTACATTTGGGCGTCACATGGGTTGAGAGTTTACTTTAGACAAAATGGTTGATGGTCTAGGTCTAAAAAGAAAAAGAATTTACCTTTTGGTTCTTTGAAACGGGTGGACTTTTCAAAGCTAGCAGGACCGGCCGATTTATCGAGGCCTTTCACGTTGTAGGAGCCAACGGGAGGGGCACAGGCTGTGGAAAAAAAACAAATAACAGAAAACAATGTAACAGTTTCAATGAATTTTCGGAAAATTGAATAATCGTTTTAAAGGGAATGTACAAAAGATAAAACGGATCAATTTATAGTTGTCGGAAAATTGTAAGGTAAGGGAACCAGTCTAGCTGGCCTGCACCGTTCATGAACATGTAACCAATAGCAAACAAAATTTGGACTGAAAAAAAATTACATTTGGAGCAGTAGTTGAAAAATACTGGCACATATGGGCCAAAACGCAAGTTCTTTCTTTATTTACCAAATGACGTGGCTGCATAAATATTTGAGTCATGAGCACATTTTCCAGCCAGATTATTTGAACAACCGAATTAATTATTGACTGATATGATCAAGGTTCAGCACCCGCATGATGTACATGTGCATAGAGACACAGGAGCGAAGACACTGTAGTATATGTTAAGTGCACTGAACCAACGTGGATTCGTAAAAAAAATTTAGTTGAAACTCATAAACAGCAAGTAGGGTCATTCGTCTCCTTAGACGCATCGTTGGAAATTTCCTTCATTTTTTTCTGGTGGAAGGGGGGGGGGGGGAGGGGATACATTCATATTTTACATTAAAGGGAAGGTACAACATTTGCAAACATCATAAAGCGAAATGATCAAATTATCATGAAATACCTTACTGGATTGTTAGGGAATGACAGTCTAAAGCATCCTGTAAAATTGTGGCTCCTGGTGTGCTATCATTCTCAAGAAAAACGGTATTTTTCCAACGCTGGTCGGCTGACCAGCGTTGGAAAAATTGGCTTTTTTCAAAACCTGCTTATAATTTTTCATAATTAGTTATTCATTGTTTTCTTTGCAATTGATTGCACACCTGTGAAGGGGTACAAGCCTGCTTAGACTGATTATCTGACTTTACAATTCCCAAAAGTCTATAAATTGCTCCGTTTCATCTTAAGTGGGGTCGGGGAACCAGACTACAAGAACATGATTGGTTTTCTTGGTTTTTCCAACATCTACAAGCCCAAAACGTGAAACAAGTCATTTTAACAATATTGCTATAACATACTTATCCTCCAAACCCATTTATTTCTGAAAATTGCAGCAAAAGCAAATGATGTACATTCCCTTTAACCCTCCTTTGCAAACATGTACATTCTGTGCAAAGTTGTCCTTTTCAGTCAAAATCAATCAAGTGACTGTTTTCAACAGTTAAGGGCTCCCAGCCTACATAAAGCGGGATTGACTGGCTGTGACTGTTAATAAGTAACTTGATACAGCTATGCTTTGACTGTAGGTGATTGATAAGCCAGCTGTGCTTACTTCTTGCCTGCTTGTGTCTGTTGACTGAATTTGACCAGTCACAGTGCTTGAAAGATGATCTGACTGTTGGGTGCTAGCCTGTGAAAAAGGCATGGCACGGAAGAGGATTGATTTTTTTTTGCTGTCTGTGATTGTTCAAACAGCAGGAGGTATAAAGCATTCACTGTACTGCCCCAAATTGCCATGTCTATTACTCCCTGTACTGTAGCACCCAAAACCGCTCCAGCACTTTAATAGTGGTATAATGAATGAATCAGTAACTCAACAGTCAACACAATGTTCTACAATGTAATACAGACGCTGGTGGTTTGATCACACAAACTTGTGTTATTTAAAGGGAATATACATCATTTGCTTTTGCTGTAAGTTTCAGAAATGGATGGAATTGGGGGGGTTGGAAATATATAGCAAATACAGTTACACTGACTTTTTTGAGATTTTGGGTTCGAAAATGCTATAAAAACCAAGAAAAACAATCATTTTCCTGTAGTCTGGTTCCCTGACTCCATATAAGAAGAAACAGAGCAGTTTACATACATTGGGGAATTGTAAGGTCAGGGAACTAGTCTAGCTGGCTTGTACCCGTTCATAGGTGTATAATCGATTGCAAACAAGTGCGATGGTCAATTGGGGCCAGTATTTTTTTAAAAAACAACAGTTTTTTCCAACGCTTGTTCGGCCGACCAGCGTTGGAAATTGATACAAAAATACCACTTTTCTTGAAAATGACAGTATACCAGGTGCCATGATTTTATAGGATGCTTTACACTGTCATTCACTAACAGTCCAGCAAGGTATTTCAAAATGATTTGGTAGTTTTATTTTTTGATGTTTGCAAATGTTGTATTTTCCCTTTAATCTGATCAATGAATCATGATTGTGGAATGTCTATCTCCACAATCAGGGGAACATTTAACCTTCAGGCATGAGAATGAATTTCAACGAAAAAAAACCCAGGAAAGTTACTGCAAAAACAGGAAAAAGACGTAAAATCAGGCCAAAAAGCCCTAAAACAGGCTCAAAATAAATAAAAACGCAGAAATTTGGGCAAAAAAACCCAGGAATTCCTGTTTCAACAGGAAGATTCTCATGCCTGAACCTTACTGCATTTTCCCCTATGAAATTTTGTGCTGTATTAAACGCTGGCTATCAAAAGACAGCTTGATGCAGTGGAACATGTACACTGCACTTCCTCTGGACCATTTTCACTCAAGTTGGAATCCTGCCTACATGTACGGTACGTACAAATGTACCGTAGGTCAACGTTAGGGCCCGTCTTACAATTGATGATAGGTGTATTAATTCAACTCCAAAAAAGGAACATTGGAGGGGAAAAAACAGTGTTATAGTACTCGTTCGGTACTCGTACTCGAGTACTACTCGAGTACTTTTTTGGAGTACTCGTACTCGAACTCGTACTCGAATGTCAAAGTACTCGTACTCGAATGTCAAAGTACTCGTACTCGAAATGTCTGTTCTCGTACTCGGTCAGCTAAGTACTCGTACTCGAATAGCAGTACTCGGGGGAAATGGTATAGCTTGACTTTATACACCATGGCCTTATTTTATCGAATAATGATAGATTGGCTTGTGGAGAAATCGAAGTTTCCTGATTTTCCTCTGTGCACGTCCAGACAAACACAACAGCTAGCCGTGATTGGGTCTGCATATCGGTCTGACTGGGCCTGGGCCAATTATTACGCACAATCAACCATTTGCCGTGTGGCCGTATTCGGAAAACAAGTACTTGTACTCGTACTCCGAAGTAAAGTACTCATACTCGTACTCGTAAGTATAAGTACTCGTACTCAGAGACCTGTTCTTGTACTCCGAGGTACAAGTACTCGTACTCAGCTATCTAAGTACTCGGCAGTACTTAGTACTCGGAAAATTGTGCTCGACTACAACACTAGGAAAAAATCTCTCAACCGATAGTAGTGCGCAACCAGTACCATACAGTCTGTAGAAGAAACAGCCGTCACATTGCAACTCGCGCACCGCATGCGGAATGACAAGAACGATTTGCATAAGCGGGACGTCACAGCTTTGGGGTCATCGCTTCTTTCATTCAAAATGACGTTTAACATACATATGGACTCCAGAAATGCCTAATTTTCTGGCAAACTATGACATAAAAAGAGGGGAACCTACATGTAAGATTGAACCTAATCAACCCACAACTGGGGTTGGTTCATGGTAGGGAGTCCAGCAAAACGACCCTTCTGAAATATCTGGAAGCATGTAACAATGCCTATTCTCAATCAACCGTTTCTGCCATTTTTTGCACATCAAATTCAACATTTTAAATAACAATTTTGTGGTTGAAAGATCCAAAATTGTGTTCATGCTATCTATTACCCCGGTGAGCACCATTTTTGGGGTGTAATATTTTGATGAAAAATAACGTAGTCTCGTTTGTTTGCCGATATCTCACAACATTTCACAGGGTTTGAAAAGACGATGTCATCATCTTGTAGGGCAAAACATACTCGTCATTTTGATGTGTGGTTCGGTGAATTCGGCTGAGGAGTGAGTGGTGCAATTATTTCGTTTTCTGAAGGCTACAAAATGGTACATTTTTGTAACAATTTTCCAATTAAAAATACTCAAATTACATGCATAACTTAGGAGTCAATGAAATAAATATGAAATTGGTATTATTTGGAAGCTTGGACTTCCAGAAGGACAGGGAAGTTGTTATTTGTTAACAAAGTGAGGTCACACTGGTTCCACAGAGCAATGTTTATCGGCATGCCTATTTTAGTCTTGCAGGCGGACACGATGATTACGTGTACATGTATGTGCGCATGTTCCGTGTTGACGCGTTTTGCGAAACGCGCATGGAAATGTATTTTGCCCGTGTCTTACGGCGCCGCTGTCCGACAACATTGTTTGGCATTGCGGTGTGGGCCCAGACACATGCGGCGTTCCGGGGGAAAAAGTCATAACTTTTTTGTAATGAGAGATAGAAAGCTGATTCAAACATCAAAATATTGTTTATTTAAAGGAAATGTACATTATTGGCTTTTGCTGTAATTTTCAGAAATGAACTATTTGAGGGGTTAGTATAATAGATCAAATATTGTTACACTGACATATTTGAAGTTTTGTGTTCGAAAATAGTGGAAAAACCAAGAAAACCAAAAATATTCAAGTAGTCTGGTTCCCTGACTCCACTACAGATGAATTTATAGATGCCGGAAAATTGTAAGGTAAGGGAACCATCAGTCTAGCTGGCCTGCACCCGTTCATGAACATGTAATCAATAGCATTAACACAATTTGGACTGACAAAAAAATGGTCAATTTGGAGCAGTAGTTGAAAATAGTTAGGTTTTTCAAACAGTGGTCGGCCGACCACCGTTGGGAATTTATACAAAAATACCACTTTTCTTGAAAATAACTTCACAGCAGGTGTCTTAATTTAAAAGGATGCTTTAGACTGTCATTTACCAACATCCTAGTAAGGTATTTCGTAAAAATGTGATAGTTTTGTTTTTCGATGTTTGCAAATGTTGTATATTCCCTTTAATATTAATAAGGATTTTTATGATATTAAACACGTATGGTACTTACTAGGCCTACCCTAGGTTCGCTAGGTTCAGAAAATTAAAATAATAATATTTTGACACTAAAATTAAAAATGACAGAATGTTTTCATTGAAGTTTGCCAATTAAATTGTTATATCTCCAAAATGCAAGCTCATATGAAAATAATTTAAATTTTATTATTTATTAATTTTCTTGTGTGATTCTCTTTCCAATGATACCAAATTCTGGGGGGTTGGAAAAAATCCAAAAATCCAAGCAGTGCTGGACTCCCTAGAATAAGATCTTCAATCAAAGTGTGCTACAAAAGACTAACCTCTTGTTTAATAAAATACTTTATAAAATAACTATTATTATTAAAGGGAATATACATCATTTGCTTTTGCTGTAATTTTCAGAAATGGATGGAATTGGGGGGTTGGAAATATATAGCAAATATAGTGACACCGACTTTTTTGAGGTTTTGGTTTCGAAAATGCTATAAAAACCAAGAAAAACAATCATTTTTCCTGTAGTCTGGTTCCCTGACTCCATATAAGAAGAAACAGAGCAGGTTACATACATTGGGGAATTGTAAGATCAGGGAACCAGTCTACCTGGCTCGTACCCGTTCATAGGTTTGTAATCGATTGCAAACAAGTGCGATGGTCAATTGGGGCCAGTATTTGAAAAAAAAAGCCATTTTTTTCCAACGCTGATCGGCCGATCAGCGTTGGAAATTGATACAAAAATACCACTTTTCTTGAAAATGACAGTATACCAGGTGCCATGATTTTACAGGATGCTTTACACTGTCATTCACTAACAGTCCAGCAAGGTATTTCAAAATGATTTGGTAGTTTTATTTTTTGATGTTTGCAAATGTTGTATTTTCCCTTTAAACTAAACACTAAAATAAAACAAGACACCATGGGGATTGGTGGCCCTTAGCCCCACTAGTGTGGCCGTCGGTATGCTAGGCAGCATACCGACGGCCACACTAGTGGGGCTAGGTGGCCCTATACATGTACATGTAGTCTATTTCCCGCACTGGAGTCGAGGGTCGGCCGGCTACATTTGTACCACGGCACTACACACATTTTGCATTGCAATGTGTACGCAAAACATTCATGACATTAAATTTCAACATGTTTCTCCCCTTAATTTAATTTATTTCTCAACAATTACACTCCACATTATAACGTCCTTTATCGTCAAATAATTGCCCACATCATACTTACAATCGATCTCATTGAATCGTTTCGTCTTTGCCTTCGGAAAGGACATTTTCGTAGACTTTTTGGGAGATTGTTTATCCTCGTTTCTGAGTGCATGCACAGCGCATGGGTGTTTAAATTTGGACATTGACCGGATGACGAGTAAAATCTGACCAATCAGAGTGGAGTATTTGTGCCTTTTTACATCACTGGTCAACAGAGGGCGCTATATTACTCCACCGTAAAGTTTCAAGTTGGTCTTAGATCCAGACGTCTCCCAGTGCCTGTGTACACTTTTCGAATGGATTCGAAGACACAAACTGGTTCCAAAAGGAAGTGGGTTTTCCGCATACCATACAGCTGTACTGTGTGTGCAGCGCATGTTACTGTGCGTACTACTTTGTGCCTATCGTTTAGGAGGAGATATGAGGTAAATAGCAATATTTAAGCCCATGATTTCAAATATGCATGCTTGTTTCAATTATGGATTGTTCATCAAAGAGTTCTATCATTATTTTATATTTAATTCTCATCGTTTAAGGCTTCATTTGCGGGTTAAATACCGGCGCGACGTCACTTGTTTGTTTATCACTAGTTTTAGGGAGGGGCGGGGCAGGGACATTTTTAAAAGGGAGGGGTCGCAAATACCCCTATTAACCTGTAGAACTATTGTAATAATATTCCCCCAGGAAAAAATGTTGCAACCTGACACCACTTTTTTCTTCATATAGGCCTATCATCTCAATGAAGGTCAGTCATTGCAAAAATTAAGACATGAATCTGGGACTGAGAAACATTTCCAATTTTGTTATGTTGTAGGAAACACTTAGACAATTTTCTTGACTCTCCATAGACTTTGTATACAACTGCTGAAGTGGCGTCAGGTTGCAACATTTTTCCTTCCCCCATCCTACTACTACTAAGTATTAGGTATTCGATGGTAAAGAAAAGTTTGCAATTACAATTAATAACATGCAATAAGGTGAATTTCTTCTCAGTTAAAGGGAAGATACAACATTTGCAAACATCACAAAACAAAATTCTCGAATTATCACGAAATACCTTACTGGATTGTTAGGGAATGACAGTCTAAAGCATCCTGTAAAATCGTAGCTCCAGGTGTGCTGTCATTTTAAAGAAAAATCGGATTTTTCCAACGCTGGTCGGCCGACCAGCATTGGAGAAAACTGGCGTTGTTTCAAAAAGTGCTCCTAACTTTTCATAATTAGTTATTCCGAATACAGGTCAACTCGTACGCGAACCTACTTGTACGCGACCAACTCGTACGCGGGACAATTCGTACGCGAACCAACTCGTACGCGGACCAACTCGTACGCGGACCGACTCGTACGCGGACCAACTCGTACGCGTGAGTTTAGACGATTGGTTTAGCTCACATGGACAGATGAAATTAGGTTCGGTACGGTAGGTCGGCATAATTTTACCTTTTCTGAAAGGTTGAGATTTTCAAATTAAATGTAGTTGATTTTTGAATCCGCCAGTGCTACTTACATTCGCGATTTTTTAGAGAAGAATTCTGTGTTTGCTTGTTTTTTTACAAGTTCGCTTGATTGATTGGGAATGGGAAGTTGTCTTCGCGATAACCAGTATGATTGGTTCCCGCCGCACCGCGCACTGTATAAAGAATGCATGATTGAATCGCTGTAACCTGTGTATGCCGCGGTACAATTGCTGGTTGGTTAGACAAGTAAAATGACAAGAAAACACCGATATTTGCGAGGTCTATTGTATAAAAAGGAGCTACTATATAAGAATATAGCATCACGCATGCTTATACAGTTGTACGGACAGTGTCCGCCAGTTTTTTGCTTGGGTCAGATAGTTATACCAAGCATTTCAGTTGTAAATAGAAGTTGCTAGGCCTACGGATGTCCCCGCGTGTCTGCTTTTTAATTGATCAATGGTTGTGAACCACAATGAAAGTTGAGTGACAGGCCTGATCGATCTCTTTTGATCCTCTAAACCCGCCGGTTCTTTTAGGACACCGAACCGCGAGAACAGATCCATGGTAGTCCAGAGCGTTGCAATTGGGTCAGTTTGACAATGGTGGCAATTAATTGACTGACAGGTACATTGATTAAAAAAACACGAAAAATGCAACTGGTACATCGTTGCATTAATATATGGAATTAAATTTGACGTGACAAGGCAACAGGTATGCACAAAACGATACAACACTCGTCTAACTACAAAAATCAGTTACTTTATTATCATCATTCACGGGTTCACTCCCAATCACACACAACGGTCACACATTGAACTACGGACTACCCGTCACACTATTCCCAAATTCTTCCCAACCATGCCAACCCAATCCTCGAAACCACTCCTAAAACGGCCCGCGAACGAGTTGGTTCGCGTACGAGTTGGCTCGCGTACGAGTTGGCACGCGTACGAGTTGGTTCGCATACGAGTTGTCTCGCGTACGAGTTGACCAATCCGCGTACGAGTTGACTCGCGTACGAGTTGGTTCGCGTATGAGTTGACCTGTTTCCGTTATTCCGTGTTTTCTTTGCAATTGATTACACACCTGTGAAGGGGTACTAGACTGCTAGAATGATTATCTGACCTTACAATGCCGCCAAGTTTATAAATTGCTCTATTTCATCTTAAGTGGGGTCAGGGAACCAGACTATAAGAATATTATTGGTTTTCTTGGTTTTTCCAGCATCTATAAGCCCAAATCGTGAAACAAGTCATTTTAACAATATTTGCTATAACATACTAATCCTCCAAATCCATTTATTTCTGAAAATTGCAGCAAAAGCAAATGTTGTACATTCCCTTTAAAGGGAAAATACAACATTTGCAAACATTAAAAAATAAAACTACCAAATCATTTTGAAATACCTTGCTGGACTGTTAGTGAATGACAGTGTAAAGCATCCTGTAAAATCATGGCACCTGGTATACTGTCATTTTCAAGAAAAGTGGTATTTTTGTATCAATTTCCAACGCTGATCAGCCGATCAGTGTTGGAAAACTGGCTTTTTTCCAAATACTGGCCCCAGTTGACCATCGCACTTGTTTGCAATCGATTACACACCTATGAACGGGTATAAGCCAGCTAGACTGGTTCCCTGACCTTACAATTCCCCAATATATGTAAACTGCTCTGTTTCTTCTTAAATGGAGTCAGGGAACCAGACTACAGGAAAATGATTGTTTTTCTTGGTTTTTATAGCATTTTCGAACCCAAAACCTCAAAAAAGTCAGTGTAACTATATTTGCTATATATTTCCAACCCCCCAATTCCGTCCATTTCTGAAAATTACAGCAAAAGCAAATGATGTATACATACCCTTTAAGTTGGGAAAACTTGATTTTGATCAGAAAGAATGCGAGCACGAAGCGCAAAGCCCTGATGGCGTGGGTTCGAGGCCCGCCTAGGGCCCCAGAAAATGTTGTATTCTAGACGCTCTGTGGTGCAATCTGAGGCAATTTCTGACCACTTTAACCAATTTTTTTAGCAAAAAAATCATCATTTAAACATCATTTGCGAGTTTGAGTGAATTGTTGATTTATTTTTATTTTTAGCATGAGAAATCTCGTGTGGGCGTGAGATCATGAGAATAACCTGAAGCACATCAGTCTGGCGCTCAAGGCGTGAGAGTTGGAGGGCCTGCCTTCCAAGTGAAATTTTTCAAGCACCCCTACATGCATTGTTTACTTGAACCCCCCCCCCCCAAAAAAAACGTTTTTAATAATAATAATTATAATAACAGATAATTTATAAGGCGCACAGTATCTGGAGAACCATTCAAAGGCGCCGGTCACTAGCAAATCACTGTGGTTTAAATGATAGATTGAAAAGATGAGTCTTAAGATGGCGTTTGAATGATGACATATCAGTTGTGTCCCTTAACTTGTCTGGCAAGGAATTCCAGAGACGCGGTGCACAGCTGGAAAAGGCCCGGTCCCCGTAGCTTGCCAGAAGAGTTTTGGGAACAGAAAGTATCTGTGATGACAATGGATGAAGAAGATCTGAGGCCTGGTCGCATGTTGCGAAGTTGTAACAGGTCTCGTATATGTACATGTAGGATGGAGCTAATCCATGAAGGGCTTTGAATGTATGGAGCAGGATTTTGAATTGTATTCTGTATTTAACAGGAAGCCAATGAAGATTGTATAATATAGGTGTTATATGTTCGGATGATCTTGTTCTGGTCTGTAAGCGGGCAGAAGCATTTTGGACTCGCCACTTTGGTGTGGCAGTACAAAAATTCTATGTGGATGTCAGTTACCACATGTCTGTGATAATTGTCAATCATTAAGGTTATTTATATACGGTGAAAATTCGGCGGCAGGATATATCCATTTTTAACCCCTTTAATGTATATCCCGTATTATTGTACAACAAGCAGGTTACTTCTAGTGTCCCTTATAAGTCAGTACACAAAGTAAATCTTGATAATATCATGACCAGTGTACCTATGCTCTCTGTTTATTGCAGACCCCTCCTCAATCACAATGTAAAAAATTACCCGCAGGAAGTGGCTGCCACACAGAATATTAACTATGGCCGTGATCCCACTGTAACGGTGCGTGTGAGTGACGTGACGATTATTCAAGGCAAAGCAGGGCAACACATGCTTGACGCTTCGTCTGCAGCTGTTTCATTGTAGTCCGGGAGTCTAGAGCGAGTCCACACACAAGCATGCACATGTGCTGATCTACGGACAAGTGAAACAGTGGAAGCGAACAACACATCACGGCACAACAGGAGCGCGTGCTGAGCATTCTGTGTTCTGCGCCACAGAGCTACTACACGTCGGAACCGATGAGGGCGGTAGATACTCAAGTGAAGATACCGCATCCGCTTCCACAGAACTACTGCGCGCTTTTGGACATGTACTGTGGATGACTACCGCATGAGTGTGAGTGCAGATTTTAAACCCTTTCTTTTGTACCACCGAGCTACGCAGGGATGAAGAACTGAAGAGAACAGGCAATACTAAACGTGCAAGCAAATTGAAGGTATCGTGTGCTCTACCACAGAACGACTAGTGCGCGCTTTTGTATGCTTTTGTACACTGTGGATATTACAATACCACTCGATTGGCGCGACAAATTGTCCTTACTGAACAGTGGATCTGATGGGTACAAATGCTGGGCAGAGGAGGATGAACTTGCCGGACTTGTCTTAAAACTTTGTGGAACTATTATGACCGTCTCCTGCGTGTCTGTGTTGCATTGACTGGTTTCTGTGATTGGATCAACTGGTTCTTGCGGACAAATTGTTTGAAATATTTTTATATATATAAATTCAGAAATTGTGCGAGCTGCACAAAAACTGCATTCTCTACATACATGTACGTGCAGTTAAATGTTGTAGCATGGTCATCAATCGCTTAACGGAACAAGTAACGAAGTTGGAAAAATATTTCTGAAACTGCATCAGTACTACGAGATATACGTAAGACTAGGTTTTTAATGTTGACGTTAGGCCATTAATGTAAACTTGGTGACTCTATCTATCAGTCAGTCGGTCGGCGACTCAATCAGCCAGTGGACAGTACATGTAGGTTGACCCGTTGGCGACAGAAAATAACCCAACAAATTTTCACCATGAGGTTTCATATACGACGCATGCTGCAGTACCTGGCCTTCATCTTTCTACTGTTCTTTGTCGGTACCGTCCTCATCAAGAGGGGCACCGAGGACATTGAGTCGGACGGCGCCGGCGGCGGGAGGAGAATTCAGGGAGGCGGGGCGGGGGAAGAGGGGGTGTTAATAAGGAACAAGGACAACGCAGTACTGCCAAGAGTGCAGCTACCACAGGTGAGTGAGAATTCCAAAATGTTGTAGTATTAAACACTCCTAGTGGGAAGTCTATTTTCAGAGCAAAAAAAAACCCTTTAAAACCCTGCAGGATATTTTCAGGTGAAATGTTAAAGGGAATGTACAATAATTGCTTTTGCTGGAATTTTCAGAAACAAATGGATTCGGAGGAATAGTATGTTAAAACAAATATATTGTTACACTGACTTGTTTTACGTTTTGGGTTTGTAGATGCTGGAAAAAAAACAAGAACACCAATCATGTTTCTTGTAGTCTGGTTCCCTGACCCCACTTAAGATGAAAAGAAGCAATTTATAGACGTTAAGGAATTATAAGGTCGGAGAATCAGTCTAGCTGGCTTGTACCCCTTCACAGGTGTGTAATCAATTACCAAGAAAATGTGGAATAACTAAATATGAAAAATTAGGAGCATTTAAAAAACAAAACAGTTTCCTCCAACGCTGGTCGGAGAAATCTTTTTGTGCATTATGGATTCTAAAGCAGCCCAAAGTATGAGTGTGTATAGAGGTTTTAAAATGTCCAAAATAAAAAAAAGCTAGCCTTTTCCTAATGAAATAAAATGGGGAAATTTGTGTAAATTTGAAATTTGTTCAAAGAAAAAAAAACCCAATAAATTACCGGGTACAATGTATGTTGATTAGCGCGTCGTTTTTGTTCAAGCGGAAATGGCATTAATAACAACCGAAAGACAACATTCACTTTGGATGTACATGTTATTTGTTTTAAATTATTTGAAACAACAGTGGCGGCATGCAGAAATTAATCTTTTATTTCCCCAAACAGCTGGGCAGTCCGTCACTTCAGTAGGATCAATAATTAATCAATGTCACAAGATTTGGCAGTACTGTAACACCTAGACAGATGCCACCTTTTCTTTTATAATATCATGGAATGTATCCTACCGGTACATGTATATTCTCTGGCAATTGAATGTACATGTATAAAAACAAAAAAATTGCATATGCATTTCTTAGAAACAAGAATTAAAAAATTTCAGATGTTGATATTTTCACTGCTTTTTTTGATCGATCATTAAAACCCTAACCCACCTCACTCCTCCAAAATCATCCTGGCGGTTTTGGAGGATTCTAGAGGATTGAGGATGAATGGTGATTGAATCAAATGAGGATTCTAGAGGATTGAGGATGAATGGTGATTGAATCAAATGAGGATTTTGGAGGATTGAGGATGAATGGTGATTGAAGCACATGAGGATTTTGGAGGATTGAGGATGAATGGTGATTGAAGCACATGAGGATTTTGGAGGATTGAGGATGAATGGTGATTGAAGCACAAGAGGATTTTGGAGGATTGAGGATGAAAGCATTTTGAGGCAGGACTGTCTGATGATTTTGAAGGATTTGGTGTTGGTTATCCTTCATTTGAACACGAGTGCAAAATTTTGGGATGAGGAGGATTTTGGAAAATTGACGATGAATGCATTTTGAGGCAGGACTGTCTAAAAAAATTTAGGCGGAGTTGAAAAATTTTGGAGGATTTTGGAGGATTGAGGGATGGTTCATAGCAAAAAGGTCCTAGGGGGTTAGGGTTAAATTTACACATTCACACAAAGTCAAATTTGATAAATCCTGGCTAAAAGTACGATAATCCTAGAAATAACTGTTAAATCATGTTTCTCAGGATTTCCTGATTTCATGAAATAAGAAAGACTGATTAATGAGAATAATTTAAAAATAAATTCTAAATATTTGTTCTTTGCTTGGAGAAAGGGTAGTTGTGTTTTAATGCAAAACAAGAAATCCAAATATTGAACGAATGTAGGTTTAACGTACGTACATGTACATGAATCTCAGACATGTTTTTTACTCCTAGAACTTGCAGGAATAGCATTCATTGTGCGGTATTTGTGATTTCATATTATTTCTTTCCTCCCCCCCCCCCCCCCCCCACAGTTTCAGGCACAACACAACCAAGCCCCGCCCCCTGTGGCTGCTGCAGGCGGCAACCAATTCAGGAATTTTGCTGTGGGAGAACAAGTACTAAGAAAGAAAGACTGGCACGACTACGCGAGGATAGAAGCTGAAAAATTAAGAACAGGTTGGTTCTAGTGTGTTTAGGTTTTGTTTTTTGTCTGTGTAGGTTTTTTTTCTTTTGTTTTCCGGGTATGGCCAAACACAACGACAAGCGCCACTCGAGAGCAAATGAAGTCATATTTACAGAAGATATGTGCAAACATCAAATGAAAGTTCTGTTTGTGTTCTTGGGCAAGATACTTTACTACAATTGCCTCTCTCTACCCTGGGTCTACATGGATACCTGTGTGAGGGTAGAGACCAGACTGGGCTGATCTTGAGCTGCTGCAGAAAACTGGTCTCATGGCCTGTTGAGTAGGGGCTGTGAAGTGCTTTTACACTTTGGTGTAAAAGGGCTAAATTATAATCGCATTGTTGTTAGTATTGTTATTATTATTAAGCCCTCCTATGCAAACATACATTCTGTGCCAAGTTGTCCTTTCAGTCAAAATCAGTCAAGTGACTGTTTTCAACAGTTAAGAGCTGCAAGCCTACGTAAAGGGAGATTGACTGGTTGTGACTGTGTTTGTAACTTGATACAGCTGTGCTTTGACTGAAGGTGATTGATAAGACAGCTGTGCCACCAGTTTCCTGGTATTGCCTGTTGACTGAATTTGACTAGCCAGAATGCTTTCATAAAAAAATATGATCTGACTGTTTGTGACTAGCCTGTGTGAAAGGCATGGCAAGGGAAGTAAATAGACTTTTTGACTGTTTAAACAGTTGGAGGGTTAACCATAATATTGTGATATTGCTTCACCCAACTTCACCTACCTATTTAGGTCCAGGCGAGCATGGTGCCGGCGTTGTACTCACAGAGGAACTCAAGAGAACGGCAGGTGCAGACACCAAAGCCAACGGCTTCAACGAGCGAGTCAGCGACATGATCTCATTAGACAGATCCATCAAAGACATCCGAAACCCAAGGTACATGTTTGTGCATTCTCTCCACCACCCCCCCCCCCTCCCACCCCCATTTTTCCCTTGTATCAACCCTAACCCCCAAGGTCCTTGAAAATTAACCAGGAAGTATGGAGGATTTTGCAGGATTGAGAATGGTGGAGCCAAGTCACTTTTACTTTACACAGGGATTTAATGTTAACAAGTACATGTATGCGTACATGTACATGTAGACCTCCAACCCAGTAGAGAATTTGTGGGGGATTCAGGAAGTTTTCAAGCAAAACTGCCCAGTTAGTTAAGGTTAACGTGGCTCGTTTGTGCATAATAATATTGGGGTACCCACAGTCATTGAAAAATCCTGGGACTTTGGAGCTAGCTCGACCGCGTTGTAGCCTCGTCCCTCGCAATTCAGCTTCTCAGCTGCGAGTAAGGATGATTAGCCTCCCAAATTATTATTATTATTATTACTAACCTGTAGAGAGGAGACAATGAGAAGAAATTACAGTTTTAGAGGTGGGAGGAAAACCCCAGAAGAATATTCTGGGGAAAACCCACGGAATCAGGTAGGGACTGAAAACCCAATCCCCTCTTCGTCCCTGTTGGTGTCCAATGACTTTATGTCATTGATTGCTTTTATTTATATTCCCAAATTCCCAAAACGAAGATTTTACCTCACTTTCAATGTAATATGGCTGACTCGTGAATAAAACCTATTATCTTCAAGCAAACTTGTATTCTCGATCCTGATTGGTCGATCCACAGCAACAACAGTGTGAAATTGTACTGTATTGCACGGTCCATATCGCACCATGTGTATTGCGCTATTCCAAAATACGAGCGACATTCCAGCTGCATGCACTAAACCGCTAAAAGGTTCGCGTAAAGCCTGCTACTGATGCTAGTTCGGTATTTACTGCGCGCATGGAGGAATAAATCCTCCATGCTGAGCATCAGGTGTGGTTGAAGATAAAGTCGTTATCGCGTTCGCACTCGTGGAACATGGAAAATGTAGTCCGTCTGTGTCCCACATACCAAGAGGCCGAATGTGGGACACAGACGCACTTCATTATTCCTTGTTCCACTCGTGCTCGCGGGATAACTTATATTGCACATGAGGCATTGAGGTATGTTTAGTCACAAATTTTAAGTTATTCCTCCGAGCAGACTGGTATTAATTTGTAATTAATTTTATGATGTTACTTTCATTTCTATTCGCAAGTTCCAAAAATGAAGATTTTACCTCGCCTTCAATTTAATATAGCCGACTCGTGAATAAAACCTATTGGCCCTTTTTCAGTTTTAGTTGTTTAGTCTGGGTCTGCTATGGTCTGCTTGATCCGATTATATTTTTATACTGTGCATCCTATGTGCTAGTTTTAGTAATTAATCATATTCATATCATACCAATGACACGGAATGACAGTAAAGGTACTTGTATTGGAAATACTACCCAGTAAACCGCAAGTAATTGTCAAATTATTGTCCCTCAGGTGTAAAGAGATTCAGTACTTGGAGAGGTTGCCCAACGCCAGCGTGGTCATTCCGTTCCACAACGAGGCCATGTCCACGCTCAAGCGCACCGTCCACAGCGTCTTCAACCAATCGCCGCCCGAGCTCATCCACGAGATTATCCTAGTGGACGACTTCAGCGATCGGAGTAAGTACACGGTTTTGGCAGGTTTCGGGTTTGATGCCCACCTATGATTTTTGATTTTAAATTTTTTCAGTTATTTTATGAATGACTTCAGAGATTGTAGAAAGTAAAGATTAGACCAAGTAAAAAAGAAAATAATTTGTCCTCTGAATTTTCGAAAAGAAAGAGGAGGCCCCTTCCCCTCCCCCCCCCCCCATACAAGATGGCGGATTTTTCAAGATGGCGGATTTTCCAAGATGGCGAATGGATTCTTCCACTTTCTCAAATCTTTTGCTGATAATTTTATGTCCAACAGAGCAGTCCCCCTTTCTACTAGATTTTGATCTTTCATACATGCATGTAGCTACAATTTTGCTGAAAACAGATAAAGACAAAATAAATTGCAAATGTATCATATAAAAATTAGAAAACAGAAAAAAAGGAGACTGGCGGGAAAAAGGAAGCAGGTGGGAACGAGAAGTTTTTAACATGGCCTTAGAAGTTCAATGAAACATAGGTGTTAAAATTGTCTTTTTGAAAAATCTGTCTTGAAACCTCTCATTCTGTAACTGTTATATTCAAATTTTTTACATTCCAACAAAAAAGTTCAATATATGACTACCACTGTAAAGTATCACACTGACATCATCATCATCTAGTGGTAGCAACCGAGATCTCGTTCACAACGCCACGCCAGGTGTTTTTATCCCTCATTATGTATGGAAGGACTTCAATTTTACATTGGGTGTCTCTGCCAATCACATTAATGTAGTTGGTCTTCGTCCTCTATTAGGGCATGGAAGTCTCCAACAAAATACATCAGATATGATCTGGTTTACAGCACGGTAGCAGTGGCCAGCAATGACATTGTAATTGACCAAAAACAGACCAAGCCTACTAATTTTGTCAAACCGGGCTTAGCCTGTTCTATTCAATATCTTCTGCTCAAAAGCGCCATAAAATTGGGTCCAGATGACTCAGAGAATACAAAACTAGCAAAATAATGATACCCCATTTTTTTTTTCTCAATGTTCTGACGCAGTACGGCATGTAGTACTCTATCAGCGCACTATTATCACATCTTTATCTATTCGTCATTTCTCACGTTCTCGTTTGCGGAGACGCTTGACTTCCAGCATTCATTATTCAAAGCAATACCCGATGAGTTTTCTCACGGTGCCCCGCAGAGCGGTCCCACGCCGGCATTTTAGCGCATCAATAATGTATTTACAGTTGAAAGTTGGATGGAGGCGGCACGTTAAAGAATGGTTATCAGGCCGTGACACAGACAAAAAAATGGTTTTGGGGTCATCGCATTGATATTTTGTTATTGTACAAAAAAAACATTGTTGGAAGAGTAGTTATCGTTTTCATAATGCCTCACACATTATTTAGCTTCATTATTAAGTGGTTAAATTAAAAGTTGACCCAATTTTGAACTACCTGAAGTAGGCTTCAGTCATTTTGGACAAACTTTCTCCACATTTCCCCTGAAAATTGCAGGATATCTAGACATCTAGAGAAAGGGAAATTGATTTTTCCTGCTTTTTAACTAGAAAGTAGCTTCGATTGTGAATGTCCAGTGGGAAAAATGAAACAGTTGAGGATTCAAATTCAGGGAACACAACTTGCGGCTCACAACATGGAGAGAAGTCCAGTATTTGAGGCACTGTTAGGGGTTACGTGAAATTGGGCTTTGGGTTTAATACAGGATGGCCCAAAAAAAGTTTACACTTTTCAGAGGCAGATTTCTCAAAATTGAAGAGACATGTTGATGTTGTTTTAAGATATTCCTAAACTACAAGATCTTGGTCGTATATGGTGAAAACGGCGTTGAAACTTAAGCTCAAGTTAAGAAATAGCGGCCATTTGCAGAAGAATGGTCCAATGGTCCAATTTGGCTGTGGTCCAATGGTTACAGTGTTCGACTCGTGTGCCGTGGTGCATGGGTTCGAATCCTGACCGTGGGAACATGGTGCTTGTGCTCTTGAGCAAGGCACTTTACCATTATTGCTTCGTCCTTTGGATGGGACGTAGAGCCGTAGGTCCCGTGCGTTGTGTGATGCACGTTAAAGAACCCAGTAACACTTATCGCTAAGAGAAGGGGTTTGCCCCGGTGTTTCTGGCAGTGGCTGCAATATGCGCCGCAGCATCTTGTAAACCATTATAAGGTGCTACATAATGGGTCTCATATTTCTCATAAACTTTATTTACCTTTCTTTGATAATTGACATAATTTCCAGCGCCTTGAGTACCTAATTGTTTGTAGATACGTGCGCTATATAAGACTCCGTTATCAATTAATTAAAAAAAAATTAGGTGGTCCACATCTACGGCAGTCGTGTAGACCTTATTACAATTATTGCAGTTCTTTGTGCGTGCAGTTTCTGACCAACGAAGATGCTGTAGTTTAGGAATAGCTAGGAACAATTTTAACATGTCTCCCCAATTCCAAGAATTCTGCATCTGAAAAAGTGAAAACCGTTTTTTGGGACCACCCTACATGGATGAAAAATTGCACAAAGATTCTTCTTATTTGAGTTTTTTTTTTTCCTTTCATGGTGACATAGGAATGGCCTCTCAGATCATGTGTCACAAATGTATTGAATGTTTCCGCAGTCACACTTCGCTGTGTTTTGTTACCAATGTGCTCACACCACTGAGTCACTATAAGCTGTGGAGGTGGCAACACATCTCTTCTAGTGTTCTTTGTTCAGTATGTTTGTCGCAAGGTGATATGTGTTAGTCAGTTTCTTATGTGTGGTAAAACTGCACTGTACAATTGAATAATGTGATGCTTATATGTGACCTACTGTGGCATAATGAGGAATGTCCCCCAAAACCTTGTTTTGAGTACTCAACGCCTAAAGTCGGATATACTAGGAAAATCCTGTCAAAATGAATTTGAGTTTTTTGTATTTTTGAGTAGCCAAGGTATACAATTTTAACACTATGCATTTTTGTTGGGGAAAAAAACACCCAAAATTTGAAAAACTGAAGATTTGTTTCAATGCCTTTGGCAGCGCAATGCGTGCCTTTTTTTCAAAGCCGTTTTTCTCGAAATCGGGTCGGCGAAGTTTGGCGGGACTCTGTTGACGTTCCTGTGGTGTATCTTTAGAATAAATTAAGATGCAGAAATACATTTTGGTGTCATTGGAAAGCCAATGATTTGCGCTTGAACAAGATGTACATACGGTAACTTTCGTTTATTTTGTGGCAAGGCTAAAGAAAACGGAGCAATTTATAGACGTCGGGGAATTGTAAGGTCAGGGAACCAGTCTAACTGGCTTATACCCTTACCTGTTCATAGGTGTGTAATCAATTGTAAACAAAATACCGTACGGACTAACTAAATATGGTAAATTGGGGCAGTATTTGAAAAAAAAACTGTTTTTTTTCCAACGCTGATCAGCCGACCAGCATTGAAACAAAAATACACTTTTCTTGAAAATGTCAGTACACCAGGAGCCACGATTTTACAGGATGCTTTAGACTGTCATTCACTAACAGTCCAGCAAGGTATTTCATAATAATTTGGTGGTTTTGTTTTTGATGTTTGCAAATGTTGTAGGCTATTTCCTTTAAAGAATAAGTCAGTAGAAAAAAGACATCTGCACTAGAAAGCAGGAGGTCTTGGGTTCGAGTCCCACCCGAGTGATTTTTTCCAACTTTCACTCGGGAGGTAACACACTGAGTATACAGTGTTTATATACGTCGGTGAAGGGCAAAACCTAATTTGATTTACATCACCCCGACACAAAATTCCATCTTATGAGGAGAAAAAAGAAGCTTTGTATACAGAAAAAATAGCTGATCCTATTTCTCACTACCGGGGTACTTGTAAGTAAGATTTTAAAAATTTATTGTGAAGTTGTATATCTGTGCCTGATGTTCATGCAAATATCTGAGGCAAAGAAATCAGGCCCAAAAATCAACAGCCAGGCGCAAAAGCCGTTAGCATTTTACCAAAGAAAAAACAACAAAAAGGCTTGTACATCCCGTCTGTGTTTATACTTTCATGCCTGCAGTATTCTCACGTGTCATCTTCTTATCAGATCTTCGCCGACGCTGGCTTGGCTCATCCAAAATGCATGAGAAACTAAAGCACCACGCTCGTTTTACTCGCCTCTTATCGCTACTCATCTGGGAAGGCAATATGATCCCCTCCCCCACCCCGATCAATCAAGTCCAGTGTTTGTCAGAAGCGTCGGCTGATGTCTTGCTAGGTGTCTCAGTCACAGCTCGGGATCTGTCCCCTGGGAGGGGCTCCCCAGGGTGGGGGATTTGCGGGGGGAGGGGGGATCATTGGCTAGTCGCTGATGAAGATGATAGGCAGAAAGATTAGCTGCGCTGCATGAATAAGAAACAACGATGGCTTATTTAATGGCCAGCTAGAACGGATGCCTTGAAGGGATGGAGGGGACGATAAGGGAATTTACGAAATCTTGGTGTTGTCTCCAGCTCTGGCTTCAGGCTCAGGTTTCATCATTTTACTCCCTGGGTTGACTGACTTCACTGCAATATTGGTCCCGCTTCTGCTGAAAGGACGCCAAATCTTGTCACGCAAGGCCAAATGTTTTTGTCCTTTATCATTTGATTTGAATGTGGCCGGATTGTTATGAATAGTTGGCTGGTGATGAAGCCAGACCTGAAGAAGTCACCACGGTTTCGTAAACACCATGGGAGATTTTTTTTTTCAGATGATAGGCAGAAAAGAAGCTGATGTGCATGAATAATACAGGCAAGAATCTTTTCCTCTGATCCGCTGATTTCCTCGTTTTTTTTAACTTCTCGTGAATGCCAAATTGAAAAACACTGTACAAAGTCTTGTGTGGTTTGGAATGTCCTCATTGTTTTTCTGTCATGGGTTAATAGACTAGAATGGATACTTTTGAAGGAGAATCACAAAATCAAATTTAAAGAACTGTTGTAAGTTTTGCAGTTGTAAGACATTTGCAGTAAACAGAAATTCCATGCTAGTAATGTCCTGAGGAGAACATTGCTTGAACTGTTTTGGGACAGACTGTTTTTCACTGAAATACATCCATGCTCAACATAATTCTTTAGCAGGAAATTGCCTATTTCCATTGGTTACTTTGTTTTTCACTCCTGCATGTGTTCTCATCGGAAGTTCATGCACTTCGTCTCGGAGAGAATAACATGAAAAAAATCCTTCTTCTTCTTAAGCCTGTCTTTCCCCGTATTTGGCATATTAAAGAGTCCGGCCATGAGATGCATTTTATCAGGGACACATTTTCTGCAACCTTCTACTCCTTGTAAATGTATGAAAACTATGGGGCATCCCTTTTGGGGTAAATTTATTGAAAATCGCACGTCTTTAATTTGAACATTTGAAATTGTCCATGCTTGTCTGGACAACTGAGGGCGCTGTTGCTGTGATGTCATTTCAGGAAGACACTGTTCAGTGTAGGGGTTTTCTGTTTGAATTGTGAACCCCAAATTTACTCATTGAAAGCATTTGTGGGAAAGGGTTGCTCATTGCTTACTACCATGTACTGACACAATAACGAATCATCAAAGAAAAGAGAACTTACGACAGCGAAATTTCCAAAACTCTGGTAACTTTTTGTGCTGAAATAGCTGTAACATTGAGGTTTCTTGCCTGGAATGACATCACAGTTTTGCTCATGAATATGGAAATTCGTATTAGCATAAAACAAAAAAGGCACCAAAATACCCTTCAAAATGGCAAAACGAAAATTGAAATAACGTTAAATGGGACACGAAGGTGCATTTCCAAAGATAGCATCAAAAAGTTACATTGCATGGGCCCTTTAAAAGGTGGTTAAATTAGAAAAAGTGTGTCTGCAGGCACACTTTTTACTTGCCGGCATATTAGCAACTGAATCTATTTTAAAAAGCCCAAACTACTGTGGATAGTTTTTTTTTGTTTTCTCAAAAAATACCTGTGGCAGCCACTGAGCTTAAGCAGGTTTATGCACCCTGCTTATGATTTTGAGCAATGTTGTTGCTTCAAAAGACAAAAAAATAACAAAAAACAGATGATCCTATGTACCTTTAACTTAGGAATTTAAAACCAGCAACTTAAATTGACCTCTTCAATGAATGAAATTTGTCATACATGTGTGATAGCCTCTTCAAGCAATCTACAATGTAACACACGTCAACCTCGATAAACGTTTAGTACCGGTATGTTTTCCACGTGTAGTCGTGGATAAAGGAACTTCTTATCTCCCCAGTTTTAGCTCCAGGAAGGAAACTCTCAATCTGCACCAGATAATGCTATTAGGGAACCCCTTTCCCTTCCCGTCGAACCGATCCCCCGACCCCCCGACCAAGGTAGAAAAACAGGAACTGTTTTGCTGCATGTGTTGATATGTAGTCTGGGTCTAAGACGGCCCCTGACAAGTTCGGTTGAGCTGCCGCGGCGGTAGAGGTCTCTATCAACAACATGAGTCAAATTCAAGCTTGGGAATGTTGGCAGTGCTACCCAGGGAAATCCTGAGCACACTGCACATGCGTGCATGAGCATGACTCTAACTCCCAGGTATTTTTGCTAGGATGCAACTTCAATCCTGCAAAATCCTCCAACTGCCATGATCCCTGTTATAATTGCATACAGCCTCAATCCTCCAAAATCATTCATTATTTCTTGAATATGGTCCTTGGAGGGGAGACCACTGCCTCAATCCTGCAAAACCTCCGGCAATCATTGCCAATATGTTGAGGCAGAGCTAGTGACATTTGTTTTGGTTGGCAGATTTACATTATAACAATGAAATAATTATGCTAGTGAGAACACTTGCCGTAAAAAAGTTTTCCTCGACGGGATTGCAGGTTTGTAGCTTGGATTTGTGAGATTTCAAAATAACGGCCTACTAAATTTGCCTGGAATTTTGGATGAGGAGATTCCCAAAATTCAAGAGTATAATATAGCCAGGTAGGCTCGGGTCGAGGCCTGCTGACAAGCAGTGCTGCGGGCAATCCTACACAGAAAGAAATTCAGCCACAAAATGGTTGCGTACATGTATATCGAATTTTCCCCGAAACTGTTTGGTCTCCCGACTCACTTGTTGTACAATGTACAATGTAGCTCTACATTCTGTGTACATCTAATTTGTTGGGAATTTCAGATGGAAAAAAACAACTCAAATTCGAGATATAGCAAGCCACGTCGGCAAAGGTCGAGTGAACTGTACGTGTACTCATAAACATTTGTCAAAACACACCCAATAAATCATGCATGCAGACAAAAGTGATAATTAATAGCAATTTTACTGATTGCGGATATTGCGGAATCCCGTTAGCAACACCTGGTGCGGATAATTAAAGAAAGCGTCAAAAATATGTCCAGCTGTTACGAGTTCAAATAATTTATTCTCTGTTGCAGTTTCAGAAATCGATAGGAATGATTGTTTATTTATAAATATGCAATGTGTCAAAGTAGAAAGAAAATATATTTTCTATGATAACAAATTGAAATGAAAGTAATTATTTTAGAATATCTGTTGATTTTGTGGGGAAAAAAATGCCACCATTTAATATTTCAGGAAGGGTAGATATTGTTACAAAATGTAATACCATCTGTGTATAAATGTTGTTTATTGTGATTCAGACCTACCGGTATTTCTACAGTTATTAGTTGTAAAAAAAATGTAGATAATTTTTGAAAATGGCTCAACAGTAGACATATCACAAGATAATAGAAAAGATTAAAAAACAAGATTTAGTGGTGTATTCTTGGTGAAATATTTCATCCAGATTCTAGGATTACAAAGTAAATGGAATAGTATTCAGGCCCGTTCCCTGATCCCAGTCTGGGGGGGGGGGGGTGTGTCTTCAAATCCCAAAGTGGAACTTGTTATATGCGAGTGCGGAGCATGAAGCCCTTATAGTTTTGCGTTCAGGGCCCGCTTAAGGGCCCCGGCAAATGTTGGATTCTAGATGCTCTGTGGTGCAAACTGAGGCGATTCCTAGCCACTTTCCCCTGACTCTTTGAATCAAATTTGCTTGTGTTTACAACCTGAAGGCAATATTTTGTTATTTTTGTATTTTTGAGCGGAGCTTTTCACCGAGCGGGGGGTTCGTTCCAAACCACCGAACCCCCCAGCGTACAGGCCTGGTATTGCGTATGATTGTATTATGTAAAGGGCCTTTCCAACTATCCAAATCTCCGTGTTGAACCTGGGTCTAACATGGAGATTTCAGGAACCATTTTCACACTAGCGAGAACCCAACATGCCTTCTACATTTGTACATGGGTCCGGCGCTCAACATGGGGTATAATTCATAGAGCGCGCTTCGTATGCTACGTGCACACACGGACGCGCTGCCGCCATACTTGAGGTGGAACAATGGACCGATGAGGATTGGTTATAAGCCTCGCCAACCTTAGCAACGGCTTGGGAACGTCATACGCTCGGTCAAAGTAAACAAACTGCGCAAGTGGACCCAGTCGTCGCGTGCAAGGTGTAACGTACGTCATAGTGCGTATGTACGAACGCACGCAAGCACGCACGCGCGCACATGCTATATTTAGAAATCAATTCAAAAGTGGATCCATTGTTCCACCTAAAGTATGGCGGCTGCACGTCTATGTCGGAACGAGTGCGTGCAGCGAGTGTGCTCTCTAGTTTTTAAAATATAATTCTTTGGTAAAATTCAACCGTGATCAGGAACAGGGTTAAGAGGCTCTACCTGGGTAGAAATTCCAAAAATCAACCTCATGTAGATCAGGTAGATTAAGGCCACACAAAAAAAGTCTCCGGTTTCTGGTATGCGCGCGCATCGCCGTAGCCATGCGCGTCGGCAAAATGAAAAAGTTTTTTTTTCAATGAAAGATGATGTCTCAAAACCGCCAAACTCACTGGTTTGACTGGAATCCTGCTGCTGCACAATTTTAACGTGTTTTTAGATGGGGTTATGGTCGATGGTCGATTGGGTTATGTGGCCTCTCTGGACTCCCATATATTTGCACTAAGTTTAGTCGGGCACCATTTGCAGTCATCAGCAGACATTTGAAGCAAAAAAATCAGGTAAAAAAAAAAAAAAAGCCGCGTCGCCGCACCACTTTTGGGGCAAGCTCCATACCAGAAACCGGAGACTTTTTTTTTTGGCCTAAGGCCCTCAGGTAAATTCTAATTGGTTGATTCTACATGTTAAAAATTGTGTTATTTTTGAAATATCTGATGACAGAATATTTAAAAGAGCCCCTGGAGGAGTACATGCGGCGATTCCCCAAAGTCAAGGTTCTGCGCATGCCACAGAGGGAGGGTCTAATCCGGACCAGACTACATGGCGGTCGCCAGGCCACTGGGGAGGTCTTGATCTACCTGGACTCCCATTGCGAGGCTAATATCAACTGGCTGCCGCCATTATTGGGTAAGTTGGGACACTTAACTTTGTACTTCTTCAGAGTCCTAAGGCCAGTTTACACATGCGTGACTTTGTCGTGCGACAATGTCACACATTTTTTTTGTTTTGGATTTCAGCTTTTTTCTCACTTGCTGTGTACAAAAGTATAGGAGATTTTCAAAGTTCAGCTTTTTTACACCTTTTTCAGCCGTTTTCAGCTATTTTTATCAGTGGTCACTCACACCCCTGTTTATAAACACACATTTTCGCGACAAGTTTACATTTCACAACCAAGACATTTGACTTTAATATCACACAACTTTTTGTAATCAAGTTTGAAGTGATTTTGTCCCATGACACAAAACATCGAATGTGTACAAGTATTTCACATAGGCCCTGCGTCTGAAGAGTGATTATTTGATAAAGATCACGCGACATATCGCGTATTTGACAACACATGAGCATCTAGGACGTTGCCGCGCGACAAAGTCGTTGCGACAAAATCGTGTGACACATGCGTGATTTTATCATGTGGCAGTGTTCTGTGGTTCAGATTTGTGTGATTCAAATCAATAATTGTTGAAGGAAAACTGGGGGGAGGCAAAATGGGGGGGGGGCAAGGAAACAAGGAACTTGGGGGGAAAATGCTCCCATGCCCCTCCTCTCCCCCCCCCCCCCCCCCCCCATAGCACCGCCACTGGTAAGATCTGTATACTTAGGGCTGCCCTAGAGCTTGTAAATAGTTCACAAGACTTCCTTAGGTGGGACTCGAACCCAGAACCTTCTGCTTACTAGGGCAGGAGTCTTAACCACTCGACCAGTTAGCTTGCCGGGGTAAGCTGACTGGTTTAAAACTGTTCCGAGACTGAGTATATACAGTGCTAACACAAATTATGTTGGTCAAAGGCCAAACCTAAAATCCACAATTTACATCTCCTTAACACAAACTTCAAATGTTAAGCTATAAATTAAGTTTTCCTTACAGTGGTGTCACTAGAAAAGAAGGAAACACCAACTTGAAATCACTCTCAGTTAACTTGAAAATTATTTTTGAAAAGCCAAGAAAGTCCCAATTTGTTGTTCCCATTTAAACACCTGAATTTTTTTTTAGGGTATTGGACTGATCTCCACATCCTTGGGATATTACTAACACCACACCAAAACCGCATCTCTAATGATGGCATATTAATCACTTCCGCAAAGGCTCAGTGAGAAACATAATCCCACGGACTATTTTAATAACTGCCAACAACGGCGGGTCTAACACCTGCGGTGAACATCCTCGTTAGGAGACCTGGTGAGTCAATAATTGTTCAATTAGTTTAATTCATCCTCGTCACGACAGAGCGCATCGCCTTGAACCGCAAGTGCATCGCCTGTCCCATGATTGACGTCATTGGCAATGAGGACTTCCACTACGAGTCGCAGGCCGGGGACGTCATGCGGGGGGCCTTCGACTGGGAGCTTTACTACAAACGCATCCCCATCAACGAGGCCGAGATGAAACGCCGGCAGTTTGACACCGACCCCATCAAGTATGTGGCCAAGATTTGCCTTAAAGATATAGTCCATCATTTGTAATTTGTGCATTTTGTTCGTTTAAAGCAACAAAAGTGTTCAAAATCTATTGAAGGATACAGAACAACTATCATGATGAAGTTTCAGCTAAGCTTCAGCTGTATATTCCGAGAAAAACAGCATTCTAGGATCTCAATTTCAAAACAAAAGTTACTGAATTATGTTTTGAATTGTTTTGAATTGCAGCTATACGCGACGTCGCGCACTGATCCGACGAATTATAGCAACCGCGCGCGCGTGTGCGTCGTGCCAATGCTTGCACGCGCTTCGCCGAATAACAAAACGAACTACTAATTTACATTTTCCTACGGTGGGTCTTAAGACGCACCGTTGGAAAGGCCTTCTTTCGTTGATTACTTCTAAATGACAGCTTGCCAGAAAGAATAATTTCACAGGGAGTTTAGTCCCCTTACTATCTTTCAACCAAGTTTGTTTTTCAACAATAATTACGCAAGTTACTTTTCGAATGGCTGCAAATGATGGACTATAGCTTTAACCAACTTTCTGTGTCGTGTCCCTAAAGCAAGAGACTTTACCACTTGAAAATTTGACCTTGGTTGTTGTAACCTGAGTCTGTAGAGTTCAAGACCATTGTTCGTCAATCGGATAAGTGGATTCTGTTTAATGAGGCCAATTGCACACTTCCACTAATTTTCCAACGGCTGAACTAATAAAACCTATTTCCTGTTGATTGATTCTAGTTCAACCTTGATGGAATACATTGTAGCTGTGTGAAGGAGACTTAAATGTGAATCACGGCTTTATGACCTGTTGGACATGATAATGCCGCAAGGAAATCCCCCCTCCCCTCCCCCGACTGACTACTGACTAAAACAATGAGAACTTTCCTCAAGTTCTCTGAATAGCGTCATCACTCAGCATTGCAAAGCTTGATTCATTGTTTCAGGCGGGTCTTTTTATGCCTTGACTACAACACCCCAGCCACCCCCTTCAGAAAATCCTGGATCCTGTGCCATTGCCTGCTAGTTTTTCGAACCAATTGGCAAATTTATGAAATCAATTAAACTCACTTTTTTGGTTATGCTTAGCGCACAATTCTATGCTTATGATCATCATTCTGTGCTTACAGCCTTAGCATACATGTGTACATACTAGAACCCTGTAAGCACACAATCCTTAGAGGTTGTGTTCACTGCACATGCACACACTCTTGTTTTACTATACTCCCGAGGACAATGCTTTGGGTTTCCCTTTGTCCCTGTAATATAACACTGTCCCATAGACTAAGCACACAAACTTACTACAGAGGACTGTTTTGAACAAAAGACCCAACTCCCGAGGACTGAAAGGATCTGTTGTTCTCCTTTTGTGTGTCGGTCCTCGGGGGTTATGTAAAACACGTACACACAAGCAAAAATTGTGTGCAAACCTGTATTCATTACACTCACCTTTAATTAGCACAAAAAGTTCTGCTAAACTTTCAACAGGGATTCTTTGTTTACGGTAAAGCAGAGCTGTGAAAGTGGTCTTTTTGGTTACGGTCGAAAGTTGTTTGATTTCTGACTCATTCATGTGTCTTAAGCTATCAAGGCGGATCCCAACAAATTGACCTATCGCCGTTTGCAAGTTAGCCACGCCCCTTAGACAACCCTATGGAGTTTTTGTACACTATTTTTTGTTTGTCTCAGATTTTGCGCATTCCGCGTCCAGTTTGTATATCATGTAAATTGGGCAATATTTCACAAGCTGCATTGACGTGATTCTAACGCGATTCTACCACGATAGGTCAATTGAAATGGCAGCCTGCCCCACATTTGTTGTTGGCCTAGTTCAACCACACTTTGATTTCAGAAAACTGCATTCTACAAATAATCACTAGGTCGACCTAAATTAATGAATGTACTAGAAATTAGTTCAGAAAACTTCTGTTAAAGTGCAGTTATTTTCACCCTCAACTCTAATCCTCCAAGATACTTCAAACTCTACCAGGAGGTTTTGAAGGATTTTGCAAGATTAAGGAAATTAGAACCTAACCACAACTGCATTATATTAAACTTGATGCGCTTTTACCCTCCTATGCAAACATACATTCTGTGCCTTGTTGTCCTTTCAGACAAAATCAAACAATTGATTGTTTTCAACAGTAAGGAATTTACAGCCTACATAAAGCAGGATTGACTGGCTGGGACTGTTCATGTAACTTGATACAGCTATGCCACATGGTGGCAGTTGGAGGATTTTGATGGATTTAGGGTGGATCGTAGCGAAAAGGGCCTAGTCGGCTAGGGTTAAGGATAAAGACTGTCATGCAAACTCTCATTTACTTGTATTTGTCTTGGATTGTTTCAGGAGTCCCATCATGGCCGGCGGCCTCTTTGCCATCGACCGCCGCTACTTCTTCGACGAGCTCGGGGGTTACGACGAGGGTCTGGAAGTGTGGGGTGGGGAGCAGTACGACCTGTCCTTCAAGGTGTGGATGTGCGGTGGGGAGATGGAGGAGGTTCCCTGCTCCAGGGTGGGGCACGTCTATCGCAAGTTCATGTCCTACACGGTGCCTGGGGGTGGGGGAGTCATACACAAAGTAAGTTGAAATTAAAAAAAAACAACGATTAAGCCCTATTCTGCCACACACTCCAAAAAATTCAATAGTTGCTTTAAAGGTAGAGTACATCATTTGTCATTTGTACATATTTTTCGTTTAAAGCAGTAAAATTTTACAAAATCTAAAGAAGGGTGCTTAACAACTAACCTGATGAAGTTTTAGCTCTGTGAATGCTGTATATTTGGAGAAAACAATATTCTAGGATCTTGATTTCAATTCAAAAGTTGCCGAGTCGTGTTTTGAATTGCGCCCGAAATCAGCATCCCGGACACGTTCACATTCAGCCGATTGCAGCTACGCGATGTCACGCACTGAACCGAAGAATTATAGCAACCGTGTGCACGTCGAATTAAAAACGAACTAATAATAGTAATAATAAAAACAGTATAGCGCAATATGAATCAAAGATTCCTCAAAACGCTTAACAATAGAATGAGAAACAACAGACTACTAAGGGAAATGTCAAAAAAAAAGCATCTTTAGACGCATCGTTGAAAAAGGCCTTCTTTCATTGTATTCTTCAAAATGACAGCGTGCCAGAAAGAATAATTTCACAGGTGGTTTAGTGCCATTACTATCTTTAAACCAAGTATGCCTTTCAACAATAATTTTGTCAGTTACTTTTTGGATACCTGCAAATGATGTACTCTACCTTTAAAGGCATGTGGGAACATGGGCAATTTCCCTGAAATGTACCTACCAATTTAACGAGAAAATCCTTGCTCAAAGTGAAGATAGGACTGGTAACAAATACCCTGTGAAATTATTCCCTCTTAAATTGTATCATTCAGAAAAAAAACAGTCATTGAAGGTGGTTTGAGAAAATGTGCCAGCAGGCACATTTTAGCAACGGAATCCAGTTACGAGACACCAACAATTGTGCACACATTTTCTTAAAATGTGTAGAATCCACTGAGCTGCAACTTCAACAAGTTAGTTGTTAGGCACCCTTCTTAAGATTTTGAACAATTCTTGTTAGTTTAAAGGGCCCATGAAATGTAATTTTTTTTCTATGCAATCCTTGAAAATGCACCTTTGTGTCCCTTTTAACCTTATTTTTAATTTTCATTTTGCTATTTTCAAGGGTATTTTGGTGCCTTTTCAGTTTTTATGCTAATGCGAATATCCAAATTCATGAGCAAAAGTGTGATGTCATATCAGGCAGAAACCTCAATGTTGCAATTAGTTGATGCACAAAAAGTTGATAAAATTTTGGATATTTCGCTGTCGTAAACTTTCTTTTCATTAGTGATTCGTTGTTGTCTCAGTTCATGGCAGTATTAAGCCAATGAGCAAACTTTTCTCACAAATGTTTTCAATGAGCATTTTTTGGGGTTCACTATTTCAACAGAAAAACACCTTATATGAACAGTGTTTTCCTGAAATGACATCACGGCAACAGTGCCCTCGGTTGTCCGGAAAAGCATGAACAATTTTAAATGTTTAAAGTGCACTTTTCAACAAAATTAACCAAAAAGGAATATCAATTAGTTTTGATACACTTAAAAGGATTGGAAAGTAGCACAAAATATGTTCCTCAAAAAAATTCACTTCATGAGGCCTTTAAATTAAAAAAATTCCAATTTTCAAACATAAAAAATGCATTTTAGGCCAAAAAAAAAAATATTCGGTCTCTGGTCAGACCAAAGTTCCGGAATTGACACGGCCACGGGTTTTTTTTTTTTTTTTTTTTTTTTGCTTTTTTTTTTTTTCAAGCTTGGATTGTACAGACAAGGTGGGTCTATTTTGCTTTTTTGGTGTCCTCATGTACATTGGTGTCCTCCATAATTTGCCTTGGTGCTTTCGATCATTTGCCTTGGTGCAATTTCCCATTCCTTGGTGCTCTTTGGAAAAAAAAATTGCGGAAATAGAGGGCGCTGTTGGAGCTACCGCGGAACATTTTGGAAAACAAAAGATCGACGCGCATGATTAAAATCGACGCGCGCGCTGACCAGAGACCGACTTATTATTTTTTTTGGCCTTAACCAAAAAGTATGGGTTTTTTTTGTGTTTCAGAATCTGATGCGCGTGGTGGAGGTCTGGTTCGACGACTGGAAGAAACATTTTTACATGCACAAGCCCCATCTGAAGGGTATGAACTACGGCGACATCAGCAAGCAACTAGCGTTGAAAGAACGGCTGCATTGCAAAAACTTCACCTATTTCATGAACGTGATTGCGCCGGATATACTGCAGTACTACCCGCCGGTGGAGCCCGACCCGGGCGCCACGGGATTTGTAAGTTTTGTTTGTTGGTCTGTTTGTCTGACTGTTTGTCCGTCAATAACTCACAATGATTGTATATTGGATGGACTTTCTTGCTGCTTTTGAGGTTGCCTGATATGATACCCCCTTGAACATACATGCACTGTCAAGTTATTGTGGAACGTAGAAAAAACAATTGCAAAAGCGGAAGAAGTACCTATAACCCTAACTCCCTAGGAACCTTCCTCATCCTTGCAAATCCCAACACCATATGGTAAACTGTGCACATAAACAGTTGGACTCTGTTTATTTGTGATACAGATGTACATGTATGCCTAATCCCACCTATAAAGTACAGTCAGTTTAACAGTGCAGTACTCATCCTAACAGATTCCAACAAACTCTGGTGTTGGAGTTTGGCTGGTTGGGGATCGTTAGGGATAATCTCGCAAATACTGTACTGGCACTCTACAAAATGAGCTGTGCTCAGCCCACTGTCACGGAATCTCTCCTAATTATAGGAGGAAATTTTGTGTTAACATTATTAATCTTTGTGCTGTCTGAGCAGTCACAGACAGTCAAAAAATCAATCCTCTTCCCCTGCCATGCCTTTTACACAGGCTAGTCACCAACAGTCAGATCATATTTCAAGGAAGCACTGTGACTAGTCAAATTCAGTCAACAGACAAAAGCGGGCAACTGCAGTCACCTACATTTAAAGCATAGCTGCATCAAGTTACATAATCAGTCACAGCCAGTCAATCCTGCTTTATGTAGGCAGGGAGCACTCAACTGTTAAAAACAGTCACTTGACTGATTTTTACTGAAAGGACAGCTTTGCAAAGAATGTACATTTATGTTTTGCATAGGGGGTTAAGCTTAATTAGCGGGTTAGCAAAAAACGTTAAGCTGATTTCTCATGCATACATGTGTATGAACATGCTTTATATCAGGATTCTGTGCTCACAGGGTTATGGAATAATTTCCATATTAGCATTGTACGCACAGAATGGTGGCCATCAGTGCAGAATTCCATGGTATACACATACAGTTATGAACTGCGGAGTGCAGAGAACACCAGTATGTTATTCTGGAGGTTGCAGGTTCGAACCCGGCTTTGGTCGTTTTGTTTTCTAATATTCGTTGGCTGGATTTGAAACCTGCCTTTTGCGTACCCTGACACTACCTTCAAATGGTTACAGTATTACAGTGGGATCTCGATAAGTCAAACCTCAGGGGAATTGGCTCAAATTTTGAGTTAAGCAGAGTTTTGAGTAGCAAATGGATTTTCTATTCAACAACAATTGATGGGAATAAGTGTTTACTCTAAGTTAAAAGGGTTTTTGAGTTAACAGGTTTTGACTTATCAAAATTTCACTTGTTCAGTAGTAGTATTTCAATAATTCTGACACTTCGTTTGTTTGCGTTTCTTTCCTCAGGTGCAACATGAGGAAAGTGGGCTGTGTTTGACGTACATCCACGGACGGAAACTAGAGATCATTCTAGAGCCTTGCAAGCCAAGCAGGCAGAGGAAAGGAGGCAATCAGGTTCGCACCTTCAAACAAAAATAAACTTGAAATGACTTGAAAATTACCCAGTCATATGAAGCCAGACATAGATTGAACAAATAACAACCATCTCAAATAATTTCTTGTGACAATGTCAAATACTTCTTTTGTAATATGGCACTTTATATTGGACATTTGGGGGAGTGTGGCCTAGTGGTTAGGGTTCGTGACTCATGATCAGAGGGTCAGGGGTTCAAATCCAGCTGCTGGCCATATGTTGTGTCCTTGGGCAAGCCACTTTACCCTCACTTGCCTCTCTCCACCCAGGAGTATAAATGGGTACCGGCATTAGCTGGGGAGTAACCTGCGATGGACTAGCATCCCATCCAGGGGGAATAGAAATATTCGCAGTCGTTTCCTGCTACTTTACCATAGATAAACACCGGCCTGATGGGCCACATTGGCTTGTGACGGACTTTACTTTTTTGTAGGACATTATAACAGGGAAAAACCATTCCATAGTCAGTTTAAAAAATAACTTCAAACCTTTTTTTTTTTTACAGTACTTTACGTTAACGTGGCACGACGACCTACGATCCAGTGTGAACGAGAAGCAATGCGTGGACTATCCCAATCGGGTCGAGGGAGGGGAGCCCATCTTGTATCCTTGCCACGGCGGGAGGGGCAACCAACTCTGGCTTTACAATCCGGTAAGACTGGACACAAAAAAATCGGAATTGCATAAAAATGAGTCCAAAAATTACTTGCAACTGGAAGTGAAATTATACCAGTGATGTATAAACTTATTAGAGATCTCTGATGTAGAAAACAGCAAATGTCAGCTCTGATAACTCACCGTGTGTGAGTCAGCCATGTTGAAAAAAAAACGTAGTGCATGACTTAGGCCCCCCCAAAAAAAGGCTTCGGTTTCTGGTATGGAGCTTGCCCCAAAAGTGGTGCGGCGACACGTTTTTTTTTTTTTTTTACATTGTTTTCTTCTTCAAATGTCGGCTGACGACTGCAAATAGTGCCCGACCGCAAATATATGGGAGCCAAGAGAGGCCACATAAAGCTTATACTCGATCGTAACCCCATCTTAAAACACCTTAAAATTGTGCAGCAGCAGGATTCCAGTCAAACCAGTGAGTTTGGCAGTTTTGAGACATCATCTTACATTGGAAAGAAAGTTTTTCATTTCTTTTTCATACCAGAAACCGGAGACTTTGTTTTTTTGGCCTTAGGAAGACTGTTCGTCTTGTTGCTAACGTTTGCCGATAGACTGATCCATTAGTAACCCTAACCCTCCTCATTCCTCCAAAATCCTCCAGGCGATTTTTGGAGGATTTAGAAGGATTGAGGCTGAATGGCAAAACAAATTGTCGGTTGATTTTGGAGGATGCATTGTGTCGAGTTCGTAGGCTGTACCCAGCATTGTTTATGTTCAGCCATGCATAATTGAGCCCTGCATTATGCTCGATATCATCTGTAACAATCCATCTGAATGAAATTCCATTTGTCTTTTCTCCAGACTTACAAACTCCTGTACCACCCTTCGTCCGAGCTGTGCCTTACCATACTTCCCTCTGTCGCCAAGGGCTCCGAGGGCAAGGCCGTAGCCATGGCGAAATGCAGCAAGACAAACACTGCCCTCAGCTGGAAATTTGAAAAGACTTTCAAAAAAGTTTTGACGCGGCTAAACCAGCAGTACCGCATCACGTTTAAGTAGCAAGATGCATTTTTTTCCCCTTTTGTAGAACTGCATTAACAGATAGTTCAAACTCGGCACGAATGCTAACTCGAAAAGTGAGTGTGAATTTTTGATGTCAAATATTTGCAAATAGTTATTTTTGACGTCAACTATTTGATGTCAAATATTTGGCAAAATGCAGCACATTAACAGGTGGTTCAAACTCAGCACAAATGCAAACACGAAAAGTGAATGTAAATTTTTGATGTCAAATTTTTGCAAATAATTATTTTTGACGTCAAATATTTGATGTCAAATATTTGGCAAAATGCAGCACATTAACAGGTGGTTCAAACTCAGCACAAACGCAAACACGAAAAATGAATGTGAATTTTTGATGTCAAGTTTTTGTAAGGAATTATTTTTGACATCAAATTTTTGACGTCAAAAATTTGGCAAAAATTTGCACTGCGATACACAAAAGTTGACATCAAATTGGTTTGGCATTCACATTTGCGTCATGCATGAACCTGGCCTTGAGGGGATGTATCGGCAAAAGTTGACATTTGTGGACACTGGAGGGCGCTGTTCACCTATTTTTCTGTCATTAAGTTTCCATCAAATCGAATGGTTGACGTTCTTGTTCTTATATTTATGGATACGGGATGAGATGTATCTTTTGAAATTAGCGAGAATTGGAAGCTTTTTGTTACGATTTTTATTGTGATTTTGATTTTTGATTTTTTATTGTCTTTCGGAGTAGCCAAATCAGCATTTTGTTTGTTTCCTTTCAAGAATATACATTGTATCTATTATCAATTTTGACTGTTAAAAAAATCAAGGAGTCATTCGTGGCTCCAGATTTTTGCAAACGTCAAAACTTTTGGATTGCTTAATAGTTATTTTTCACACGATTGTTTTCAATATCTGTGCATTTGAATCTGTTTTGTTCCAAAATTTGCACAATGAAATTGTCTTAAATAACGCTCTAGCATTATTGATACAATAAGTTCCCAAAACATAAAATTAATTGACACCTATAAAACAAAAAACCTCCGCACATCTCTTAATAAAAAATGATATTAATTTTCTTAGTGCAATGAAGGCAATCAGAACAACTCTTTCATCAGAAAAAAATAATACAAAATATTCAATAAAATACACTTAAATTGTAAAAAAAAAAATTGTGCAAATCAGTATTTTTAGCATGTACAAACAACAAAGATCTATATATTTGATGAACGAATAAATCAAGAAATTTTACACCAAAATTATTCCTATTTCAAGTTGTCACATGCACACACAAAAATTAAGATTGAACTGAGATCTAAAATCCTTTAAATTATATTTTAAATACCATTCATAAAAAAAAAGTTTGCCCATTCCTATTGGTCGAGAGCATGTCACATGTGTGGTCTTAAACCGCCCTTTAAACACATTTTTTGTCTCAATGTAAGAAATGCAATCAGTACTAATAGTATGTATTAAAAGTGAATGAACAGAATTTCATGTATATAATAACATCTCTTCATTGTATTTAAAAAAAAAAATCATATTTTTCTAGGGCGGGAATTTTAAAATCTGCACTTTAGTACTTCGAAGTCAGTGTTAGCTTAAACGATTACAAAATGCTCATGCTGCTTTGAAGCTTAAGGTGTAAGCAACTACTTAAGATAAAATCTATAAGTTTTCTAACTTTGTTACAAGTTTTGACACTGTCTTTTCCACTTACATCAAAGCGTCTGTTTCAACTGCACTGATGTTATGTAGCAAAATGACTAAAATGACACCACAAGAGGGCTCACTTCTAATCTATGCACATGGCTCCATTATTTCCTTACAAGACAGCACCTTTAAACCATTACTGTAAAGTTACTTGTTTAGATTAAATCATTAAACACTCGTGAAATAGTCAAGACGTGCATTCACAACTGTGCTTTTAAATTTTCCTGCATAAAGATTTTGCATTTTTTTCAGCATGTTCATGATGTTTGCCTTATTGGCAAAACTACACATTTTTTACTTTCATTTGATTTTTATGTTCTGGCCAGATCAGGAAAATTATGTTTAATTTCACTGTATGATTGATGCTTTCTATGAGTGAGTTATAACCTATGTACAAAAGCAACTCAAATCTGTCAATACTTAATTTGTTACAGTCAAGTTGGACAAATTTCAGTTTTATTAATTTTAATTTGTTTCTTAGTCAAAAAGATTGTATTTATTTTTAATTCGTCTTAGAGGATGATTCAAGTTTTTCAGTTAATCCTTCCGTGGCATGTATACTTTCTTTGTTACAAGCATTTAATCTTTAATTTGTTTAACGACAATCAGATGTGTTCATACAGGAATTGGTGAGTGATTTCATAATGATTTTTTTTTTCACCAAAATGTGTGCATATTTTTGAAGAGAAAACAATTAGTTGTTTTCAGTGTTTTATTTAAGGCCAAAAAAAAAAAATACTCGGTCTCTGGTCAGCGCGCGCGTTGATTTTAATCATGCGCGTCCTTTCTTTTTTTTTCGAATTAACACGGAAGCTACAACAGCCGCGCCTCCTCAAATTTTTGTACCAAGGAGCTCCAAGGAATGGGGAAATTGCACCAAGGCAAATGATAAAGGGCACCAAGGCAAATGATGGAGGACACCAATGTATAATGAGGACACAAAAAAGCAAAATAGTACCCACCTTGTCTGTACAATACAAGCTTGAAAAAAAAAAAGCCAAAAAAAAAAACGCGTCGCCGCATCAATTCCGGAACTTCGGTCTGACCAGAGACCGACTATTTTTTTTTTTTGGCCTAACAGTAATTTCTTTCAGATTTTGCATTGTTGTTAGTTTTTTGGACATGCAGAAAAAGTTTGGTCACTTTCACCTTGTGGAGTACTTTGTTACTGTGGGGGGGGGGGGGGGGAGCTGTATATGTGCGTGTTTATGGTGTAAATCGAGGACACACACGTGCAACATCATCAATGAATTGAGGACAGGAACCAAATCGAGGACGACCTCGATTAGAAAACAGGTACAAAACCAATGAGAGCTGTTGCAAAAATTGCTCGACTCAGTTTGTTTTTAGAGAGATGCGCTATTACCTTGAAAAACACGAACCAAAATTTAGGCAAATTATCTGGATAGCCTTAAACAAAAGCCTTGCAACTGATGTTAACTTGGCCAACTTGGAGCTTCTAAGCTCAGAAATTTTGTTAAGCGTGGAAAATATCTGCTTAGCAAATGCGGGTTACCAGCCAGAATGTCAAACTGTGTATACAGCTTGTGACTGGTCCTCAGCCAATTTCTGCTAAGCAATTTTTCTCTGCTTACCAGTTTCATGAAATTGGGATCTTGTCTGTAGTCTTAACATGCATTCATAAATACCTCAGACAGTTTAGGTATTCCTATTGGTCGAGAGCCCGTCACGTGGCCGGTATTAAACGGATGATAAAGACATGGCTAGCTGGTCTTAAACACTTTTCCAGTGTCACAATAAAATGTGGACTCCTAAAAATCCAGTGCCTCTTACCGTTTCATTGGTTGAACGTTCACAATCCTCACGTAGGCATGCGCACCACTACAAGCGAGTCAGAATTTTATAGTTCTAAATTCAAAACGCAACGCCCCAGGTGCGTTCTGCGTGACATCGCGCAGAACATGTTACGCGCGCTTCAATCTCCATAAAAGGGTTGTTTACATCTTACTCGCCAGCTGAACACTCCATTATTTTGCTAGAGGGATGTTTCAAAAAGCATAAAGTGAACTTGTTGAACAAAATCGGGATTTTTTGAACGAATTATTTGAAATTTTTCTACGGATAAGGTATTTATGAATGGGAATAAATATGTGCTCGGTCGGTATTTATCACTCGTTTAATACCGCTTAGAGTCTGGGTGCTGATAATTACCCTCGCCTCCGGCTCGGGTAATTATCAGCACCCAGACTCTAAGCGGTATTAAACGAGTGATAAAAACCTCCGGAGCACACATTTATTCCCTTATTAAACGATTTACAAAGTGCCTTTCATCTTGATTATAAGAAATTCCTTCTTTTTTTTCTGCACTGATTTTTCTCACTACTGGATTGTTTTTCAGTATTGTGCGGTTTCTTCTTTCAAGTGCATGTTGTGTTGTACAGAAACCTATTTATAAGAATAAATTATGAACTATTTTGAAGGTATAAATGACATGCAGTCGTTACTTTGTGTTCGTGTATTTTGTATCTGTGTGTCTGTTGTAGTCTCTGTGATGTGGGTTGTAAAAATTGGGGTCCCACTTTTTTTCCTGTCCCTGTTACATCTAACATCTATGATTTTATAATTTTGATGCATTTCTTAAAAACCCTCCTATCTGGAAAGTCACAGACAGTCAATAAAATCAATCCTGTTCCCCTGCCATGCCTTTTACACAGCCTAGTCACCAACAGTCAGATCATATTTCAAACAAGCACTGTGACTGGTCAAATTCAGTCAACAGACAAAAGCAGACAAGTGGTAGGCACAACTGGCTTATCAATCACCTACAGTCAAAGCATAGCTGTATCAAGTTATGCAAACAGTCCCAGCCAGTCGATCCTGCTTTATGTGGGCTGGGAGCAATAAACTGTTGAGAACAGTCACTTGATTGATTGTGACTGAAAGGACAACTTGGCACAGAATGTATGTTTGCATACGAGGGTTAAAACAGTCGTCCTCTAAGAGTGATTATGAATAGCAAACTACCAATCCAACAAATAAAAAAAAAACAATTGAAGTCATTCTTAAAAATTAATGATACTTGAAAGGGTCCATGAAATGAATTTTTCTGAGGATTTTTATGACTTAACTTTTAAAACAGCTTTCTTGCCATGTTACTATGACTTTCCACCTACTTTGAAGCAGTAAAAGGGAGAAATTTCAACATTTTAGTTTTTATGCTAATGTTTGCAGCCGTTTCATTCATTTTCATATTGCAGTCTTTGTTATACATGCACACAAGTAGCAGTTTAAAAAATAAGGAAATTGGAAATAAAAACAGTCTGCATTTAGAAGTAAAACATTTTTTATTAGTGACCAAAAAGACAAATCACAAAATATAGTCATTTTCTTCATAATATTGTCTTATTTACAAATAGATACAAAAATATGCAATTAATTTGCATAAAAGACCGATCAAGAGCGAGAATGTTTAGCAAGCAGAACAGTGACAAACGAAGCAATCAGAAATAAAGTTTATAAAGTAGACAACAAACAACACAGGAGAAAAATGAAGACAATTTCAAAAATCAAAATTTAAATTAAAATTTTGGCTTTTGCATAGCACCATTCACGCTGATAGACACAAAATTACAACTTTTATTAATTCAAAAATGCAAGGCACTCTGAAAGCATAAATCCATGTTCTGTCGAAAACAGAAAAATCTCTGCAGCATAAAAACAAAAATCATCTTTATCAGGTTTAGAACACACATAATGAAATTTGTATCCTTGTGGAGGCATTTCTTTGTTCTCGTGTACTAAAGTTTTCGAGTTTGAAAGTGGACTTTCACAATGCTCCTATTTTAACCAGAATGAATTTCCTGGGCTGAAATTTGGACTTAATATCCCTTACATAAAACACTTCAATTTGCGACTGATCAACACACCTTGGAAATTCCTAGTTTTTGAGTAAAATCCATATATCTATTCCGCGATAATCTTGTGGAGACGTATTCACCTATAGAAATTGCCCTGTGGAGACGTATACAATCTTTTGTTCCCTATTGTACACATGTCTCCAGAGGGTACCGTGTAACAGATCATATAATTTCATATACATTTTCTTGAGTAGTAACTGCAATTTCACATTACAAGTAATAAACAACACAGCATTTAAATATATTCCCCATCCACTCAACTGATTTAGAATCGATACCAGGGATGTAGTCAGTCCATCCCAAGTCCCTGCAAGTCCATCACAAGTCCTCCAGTCCCAATTCAACTCACAAGCTATTCAAATGAGCTTTGACAAAGGCATTCCTTTGTTATAATGGTTATTGTTCATCCACTGTTACTTGTGACTGGCCTTGCGACTGGACTTGTGACTGGACTTGTGTCTGGACTTGTGACTGGACCTGTGACTGGACCTGTGACTGGACCTGTGACTGGACCTGTGACTGGACCTGTGACTGGACCTGTGACTGGACCTGTGACTGGACCTGTGGCTGGACCTGTGGCTGGACCTGTGGCTGGACCTGTGGCTGGACCTGTGGCTGGACCTGTGGCTGGACCTGTGGCTGGACCTGTGACTGGACCTGTGACTGGACCTGTGACTGGACCTGTGACTGGACCTGTGACTGGACTTGTGGCTGGACTGGTGGCTGGACTGGTGGCTGGACTGGTGGCTGGACTGGTGGCTGGACTGGTGGCTGGACTGGTGGCTGGACTTGTGGCTGGACTGGTGGCTGGACTTGCGACTGGACTTGCGACTGGACTTGCGACTGGACCTGTGACTGGACCTGTGACTGGACTTGTGATTTACTTCAAACTGAACTTGTGATGGACTCGACTACATCCCTAACTTCGAAACAGTAAGTAAAATTATATTCAGAATTTAAATTTAACCAGTTCGCGTCGGACAATGTGATAAACACGTACTGGCCGTATTTATACACAGGCATGGCTGATGGGTTAAGACGTCAAGATTGCCTCGACTCGCCTCCGGGTGATGTCTAAACACGTTAATACCTCGTGCCTTTTGTACACACACACAAAGTCTGTGAAGTCTATGAAGTGCACTTTTCGATAAAAGTAACCAAAAAAGGGACGTCAAATAGTTTTGACACATTTAAGAGGAGTAGAAAGTTGCACATAATTGTTGTCGGTTGCGCCGAGTTGACCTATGAGTGACGTCGAAACTTTGGTAGAATATTGTTTGCAAGGCATTCCGATTACATCTTCAATCTCCAATTTCCTCTTCTACTTTAATAAGTGAATATTTTGGCTGCCGTTTTCCTTTGAAGGCCACTTTTCTGTTGACGAGCCACTCATTTGGTGGCCACCGCGAGCTACAGGGCAACCTTCATCAGTCCTGCATTGGGCATGCTGAATCTGTTTGAAAATAAAATTTAAAAAAAAATTGGGAAAAATGTAAATAGGCGTTTGACAATGCAAGAGTTTGCCACAGAGAGTTCATTTTTCCCTGTGCCTTGTGGGAGATGTCAACAAATTTGTAGCGCGAGCTATTTGATATTGTTAGTTTGTCCGGTCTGTAGTTTCGTAAGCGTATGATTTGAGTATCTGTTTGCCCTCTTCTTTTCTTTTTATCAATATGGTGTTTTTGTAAGGCGGCAGAACGCTATGTCCCAATCGTTAACAAATTAGCTCAAGTTGTCTACTGATACTCGTTCAAATCGGCCATGTTCTGTCAACCGTAAACTTGAAAAATAGACTCTCCGCGGCAAACTCTTGGTGGCGCACTGCATTGTGAAACGCCCTATTTGCTGATAAATTGCTGATTTCTGGCAAGCAGATACGATTATCAACATTTTGGTCAAAATTTGAACTCGTCCTCTGTGAAAATTTTTTTTACCTGTTTCAACTGATTTTAAAGCCTGTGTGCTCAAACGTACGGCCTTTACACTCAACACCTTGTCAAAGAGAATTCCCCATGTGAATGAAAACAATCCAAATCTATTCCGAATACCCAGCCAAAGCAATGAAAAATTACACAGTAACTTCTTCTCCTCAGGGCTTTTTAAAGCATGATTTCAAAATCCGTCTTCTATCTTCACAACTCCTCAGCACTCGCTACCAAAATTTTTTGAAAACCGGTTGCTGGAACCGTTCGACTCAGTCGATCGATCAGTGACTCGGTCAAAGGACAGCAAGCTTGCTCTTCCAGCAAAAATGCAAACGTCTGTTGCTTTGCAGTTCTGTGAAACCGCCCCCCACCCTTGATTATTCACCTACCTGTAACCTTCTCGTTTGAGCAGATCGGTGACGGCCGGCCGGATGCGCGCCACCCCGCCCCTGCTGCGGTTGCCTTTCCCCGTGATGATGAAGATGTGACGCTGGGGGGACTTGGACACCAGAGGGCGCTGCTGCTGGTCGTAGGCCGCCAGCTCTGCCTTCTTGTCGTTGAGGACTTGGTTCAGTATCAGGAGGGCTTCGTCCACGTGCAGGCCGTGTAGGTCCAGCGTGTTGTCGTTGAACAAGGAATTCCTGACGTTAAAATAAATGTTGTGTTTTTATAGTTTTTTATACAATTCACAATTATTACCCCTGTTCATTTGGCCACTTTTCGGCAGCACAATCTTGTTCTACCCTGAAATCACTCAACTTGGAGTCTTGATCTGATTGGGGGTTGCAATCCCAAGTTACTACATGGGGAGGGTATCGATGTATCCAAATTACAGTCAAGGAGCAAGGGTTAACCTTTAGCGGTTGTAGCCCTGTCTGGAACTGACAGTGAGATTTCATGGAACCCAAACTGTTTGCTTTAAAAAACTGATTTCTTACTTCGAGGTTAGGATGGCCTCCGAGGCCCTCTTGTTTGCATACTTCAGTTTTTCTGTGTGGAGATGGCCCTGTAGAGAAAGTAGGTGAAAAAAAGGTTATCAATCAATAATCATTTTTATACAATGGAGTGTCAGTGATGCATATTTCAAGATGGGAATAACAAAATTTCAGTCTTAGGAGCTTGCATGACAGAGTCTGCCTTGTTACTTTACAGGTTTGCACCCTGTAAGGCTGTTTTAAGTACCAAAGCAAGAAGTTTGACAGAAACTTGGTCATTTGTTTGTAATCAGGGAAGAGTGAGTTGACGTAGAAAACCAGCTCCTCTGAGCAGAAAATTTTGCTGAGCAAATTTATTTTCTAAGCACAGACCGCATGACAACAAGCCACAAGCAACACATACAGCGTACATCATTCTGGATGGTAATGTTTTTTGCTTAAAGCATTTTCTCTACTTGGCAAATTTTGGTGCTTCGCAACTCCATACAAGCCTGCTGGTGCTGTGGGAACCAACTCATGGGGCCAAGCTGAGGGGAGGACAGAGGACGAGCTACGTCGGTGGCCTGAAGGAGACGTTGGGGCAGAGACGGCCAAACTGGCTTCCTGCAATATGGGTAAGGAAGACCCCCGACTGCGGGTGACATAGTAGCAGTTCAAATGGCGTGACATTTTAGCAAGTATTAAAAACTGTTTCCACTATTAAAATAGTTGCTGTGCCTCGCTCTTGAGTCAATTCCCCGATTACCTGCTGTGAGAAGAATGAAGCCAGCTCTTTCTGTCCCTTGCCGTAAGCGGCTGCGGCTTTCTGAAAGGCTTCGTGGCGCTGCTTGTAATGCTGCGTGGCCTCCGCGCGGTAATCCTGATAATCCGGATTATCCGTGGATTGGTAGGAAGCGTCTTGGGGATTTGATTCATCAGTCTTGAAAGGAAATGAAGGGAGAAAAGTTAGTAGTCGGTATAAGTAATACGACGTAGTCTTCTAGAAAAATATTCATGTTTTGCCAAATTTATTTTGTAATAAGCAAGCCTATGGTCTCCGTGCACAAGTGCTTCTTCAACGGCCAGAAAAGAAGAGTTGGGGGAGATCTAGACTGGTTTCCGGTCCATCCACTGCATATTTCAAATGAACCAAAGTTATTGGAGGTGGGGATTAGTCTGTAAGACCATCACAAGTTAAATTTGAACGTATTCACGTGCAGACGACGTGAAGATGCTGTGGCTAATAGCTTTGGCACATTGAGGAAGTCAGGCGTACTTCACGCACAAAATCAGTACAGTACAGTACGCGCACACACACTATGCATCCCGTTGTGTTGCCAATTATTTATTTTTTTAATTAATACAAAAAAAAAATTATTTCAGCAAAAAGTGTACATGACAAATAAATAAGATAATCTGTCTTTTACAAATATATTGTTCTTGGAGTTGTAATATGGCAGACGTACGTTGACTTTATGTTCTTACAGCCGATGGGCTGCCCTGATTTTATATCGAGATCAGTGATGGCACAGAGAAAACGCAATCACCTTCATCTGTGTATGCACAAACTTGTAGCGCCTTTGTAGAGAAAATCGCAGCGTAAATATATAAAACTACAGCAGGTGTACTATCCTTACTCAAACGCAAATTTCAATTCCCCCCCCCCCCCCAAAAAAAAAGTATGACCAAAAAATGACCAACTTATTCGCAACTTACCCCCTCGCTTGATGCCAAACTTTCCCTCTCCGCGGCTTCAATCAACTCCTTCTCGATTCTTTCCAGGGCCTCATTGGAGTAGACATTTTTGGGTTGGCCAGATGCCGACATGAAGAACGACTTGATCTGCAGGACGGTCGGATCAAACTGGTAGCTGGGAAACAAAGTAAGAAGTTAAACAAATATTGTCTTTTTTTTACTATTAGTTTACAGGGAGTTGTGGGCAATGCCAGCGTCATTTCAAAAATCACTCTTTTTTGGTACTTAAGGGGCTCAGTGAATAAACACATCGGCTTCTCTGAAGTTTCTCCGGCCACACATCGTCTGCTTTTTGTTAGAGATAGAGCAGCCATATGGGCAACTTCCATGGCTAGCGATACGGCACAGAACTGCGCTTGCACGAAAGCGACTACACAATAAGTACATTGATTGAATGGTTCCCAGCAACGCGCACTGTGCATGTTGACCACAAATTTGTAGAATGAACCAGAAGCCATTAAAGATATAGTCCGTCATTTGTAATTAGTACATTTTGTTCGTTTGAAGCAACAAAAGTGTTCAAAATCTAATGAAGGATACTGAGCAACTAGCCTGATGAAGTTTCAGCTAAGCTTCAGCTGTACATTCCGAGAAAAGCAGCATTCTAAGATCTCAATTTCAAATCAAAAGTTACTGAATCATGTTTTGAATTGTTTTGAATTGCAGCTATACGCGGCGTCGCGCACTGATCCGACGAATTATAACAACCGCGCGCGCGTGTGCGTCGTTCCAATACTTGTGCGCGCTGCGCTGAATAACAAAACGAACTACTAATTTAAATTTTCCTACGGTGCTTCTTAAGAATCACCGTTGGAAATGCCTTCTTTCGTTGATTACTTCAAAATGACAGCTTCCCAGAAAGAATAATTTCACAGGGAGTTTAGTTCCCTTACTATCTTTCAACCAAGTTTGTTTTTCAACAGTAATTACGCCAGTTACTTTTCGGATGGCTGCAAATGATGGACTATAGCTTTAATGTTCAGGGATTAACGAGTCACTGCAAAGAAGAAATAAAATCATGAAATCACAGTTGTGAACTATTTTTCACTGCCATCAGTCCAAGACTCACTTGTTGTTTCTGAAGATTTCCTCTAGGGCATCCCTGTCCAGCGTTGGGAACTCGCTGTACAGCTTGTCTCTCTTCATCTTGGTTGCTATGGAGACTGAGCCATCCGTGCTAAGCTTCTCTTCGACCTGAATGCCACCGGAAAGTCAAACATTCAGAGATTTAGTCTATAGTTGTGTGTGGAAAACGAGGGTACGAAGCCAACCGCAGGATCACAAAGCACCAACTGGGAGCATACTTGAATGGAATACAAGGAATACTGCAACTTGTGATGGTCTGTCAGTCTCACACATATTGTCGTGTTCCCTAACGTGGCGCACTTCGAAGCTTACCCAACTTTCCTCGTGTAGTGTTGCCAAATGTCTTTGTTGACAAACCTCAAATTCATGCAGTGAAATACTGGTACTTTTACCTTATTAATGCTTGCTATTTAACCTCTGTGAACAATTTCGGTTTCATAAAATTAAATCCGCAATTCAAAAGCGGTGGCGTCCGGAAATTGGGCACAAATTGGCGGAGTGTTCCCTAACGTGGCACACTGGAATAAATCTCGGAAAATTCAAAATTATTCATTTAAGAATTTCTGTAAACTTGATAAATTCTGAAAAACAATTATTATCTCTACTTACATACCCAGCCAGATGTTTGTCAGAAAATTATTTTCTTATTTTTCGGGGCATTTTCAAAGGGTTCACTTTGCACTTGAAAATAAAATTTTCTTCTGACTTGTAGTTACGGGTAAATAAACTCGCGATTTATGAACAGGAGTGTTTAGAACTTGATGAAATTTCACTTTCTGTGAAATTTCAGTTAAAATTTTGCTCTAGGTAGGCACTACAGGCGAAAAATCAAAGTGCACCACGTTGGGGGCCGCGCCACGTTAGGGTACATCAACAATACCTCTACATCTTTGCTGAGCTGCGCGGCCAGCTCTTCCTCCATGATTTCTCTCAAGCTCTTCACTTCTTCTGCAGGCGGCCGCGGCGGCCCCATCGGTACAAAACCACCCATCGTGCTCCTGCCGTCTCCGTACCCACGCTGCAAGCTGATTGGCTGCTTGGCTGCCTTCGGGGAGGCCTTTGGGCTTTGGTACTTGGCCGACCGAGACGCCTGGACTTTGGTCATGTGGTGGATGTCTTCTTCTTGTTGGAGTTGGCGAGCGAGTTCCTCGTCTGCAAAAAGAGAGCTTTTTAATTTTTTTAACTTACAAATCACAGGACACGAAGCAGAGAGATTGTAGAAATAAAATCAATTGAAATATTACATAAAGCAATTATATTGAAAGCAATTATGAAATAACTGCCTGGCAAAAAGTAGTACAGAATTACCGATAACGTTTACCGTTTGTAGTTCACATTGCAGTGAGTTTTTGCTTTATAGCAGATTTCTCTGCCACATTTCCTGTTTAGCTCTTGCAGGCAATTAGACTGAGGAAGTTTTCACACATTTACCTCCAGGAGCCTGCTTCTTCGATTCACAATGCAGTGCGCCACCGAGAGTTTGCCATGGAGAGTTCATATTTCCCAGTGCATTGTGGGAGATGGTCGACAAATTCGCAGCGCGAGACATTTGAAATTGTTCGTTTTTCCGGTCAGTATTGTCGTAAGCGTATGATTCAAGTATATGTTTGCCCTTTTCTTTTCTATCAATATGGTGTTTTTGTAAGGCGGCAGAACGCTATGCCCCAATAACAAATTAGCTCAAGTTGTCTAATGGGCCATGTTTTGGCGACCATAAACTTGAAAAGTGGACTCTCCATGGCAAACTCTTGACGGCGCACTACATTGTGAATCGCCCGAATTCCAGCTTTTGTCTTCCAACTCCGGTTTCAGCATTTTATGTCTCAATTTAATACACAGACTCAGTGACTGATCACCATATCATAATATGAAGCCAAATATTAGGGTTTGTTCATTTACCTTGAGAATTAAAGGTTTCATAAACACTTCGGAACTAGACTGAAGATGAAGCCCAAGTTTCAAAAAAGACATATGACATTCAATTGCAAGCCACAGGGGGCGGCTACCTAAAAGCCTTATCATTAAGCTAGCCATTTTTAATAAGCAATAACGTAAGCCATAGCCTTTACACTGACCAGCTGTGATGATGCTCTCCAGTTCCTCATCTTTGTCAAACCGCGTCTGCAGCGTCTTAGCCCACAGCATGTGTAGCTGCTTAGCCAAGTCGTAGTCAACATGGACCTGCAGATCCTCGGCAGGTAGCCCGTCTGTTGAGCCAAGCACGAAAGATTCTCAATTATAAAATTGAACAAAGAAATTGACTAGAGTGGAGTTTGAACCTGCGACTTTCGGATTACCGTTAAAGTGCTCTACCAACTGAGCTATCCAGCCCTAGATTTGCAGTTCCCCACTTTTTCAAGGGGCACTAGCAAGAAGCCATTGACCCGTATATACCATGTAGCCAGAGATCACAACTAAGGTCATGATGCGTCCAGCATAAGTAATGCTGCAAACCTGGGAAATAGCAAACGGGGATCGTTCAAAGAGGATACAGCAAATTTAAAAAAAATGACAATCCAAAGGAGTTTTCATTTTCAAGCTCTTCATTGAATCCGACACAGAGATTCTCACCTGGGAGAAGGTGAAAGCCGATGGACCCAAACATCTCCTGGAGTTGGAGGGCAAAGGCCGGCGGAAGCTGTAACATCAGACCCTCCTCCAGGCTTCCCAATTCCCGCAGCTTCTTCTGCACTGGTTGGTCTGAAAATAAAGTATACAACAATATGGAAACATAACTACAAGAATGCATAAGATATCAGTAAGATTATTAACAGGGATATTAGAGAAAAGGAGGTGCTCGGAAGGCATGGAAATGGATGGTGAAAAAGAAGAGGATGATTTCATGTGAAGTGAGGGGATGGAACAAGAAGTAAACAAGAAGTTTAGAAGCGATTTGGGAGAAAAAGGATTTGAAAAGAATACATGAAGACCTGGTAAAAGAGTTGAGGTTCCCAAGAGGATGAGTAAAAGGAAACAAATATGATTTCTTACCATGAAATAAGACTGAGAGTGAAGAAGCAAACATACTTACTTTGCAAGATTGCATCTGCTTGTTCCTCTGTCATCACAGACTCATCTTTCACTATTTCAAAGGCATCGTCGTGTCCTGTCATCGTCTGCTCTGCGCGTGGTACTCTGAACTCCTCAACCTCCCTGTGATTGTTCCAGGAGAACTGAACTCCTCCAGGTACCTCGAGCTCCTGTCTATTTGGGGAAGCTTCTGCCTCTTTAATGCGCTTCATCTTCTTGTCGATATCTGGATCCTTGGGCTTCTTCGCCTTGGAGGCTTTCGTTGGTGACAGTCTCGACGTGGTGCGGGATGAAGTCTTGGGCCTGACAACTTGCTCCTCCTTGGTTTCTGTCCTCAAGCTCGAAGGGTCAAGGAAGGGTACAGACTCCAGGAAATCACTCCTGAAAGCTGAGCTGTCTTGATCTAACAGACCATCTTGGTGATGCCTTCCAGAAGATGGCAATTTGTCAAAAGATGAGGGGCCTTCAAGAACGTGAGATTCATTTTTAGTTTCTCCAAGCAGGATTTGAGAATCAAAGTCTGCAGCTTCTAGTATACCAGATGGATAAACAGTGTGCAAGTTTCCTGCTCTCAATGACGAACCCTCTTCGTTTGCTTTTGGCTCCATGCTTGAAAAATTAGACTCTTCCTGTTCCCGATAGAGATTGGACATTCCTGCAGCACCTTCATCTTGTAAGATGCTCTGATGTGGTTCTGTAGGCACTTGATCAGAAGTGATAATGTCCGACCCGACATTTGTGTCAGGATCGTGGAAGCTTGTAGCAGAATCTAGATTTGAAGAGTGCAGCTTGGTTTCCATCTCTGTGGACAAATCCTCTCCGTGCAAGACTGGAAGATGGTCTGAATAACCACTTCCGGTCTTTTCTCTTTCTGAAGCCAGTTGGTTACCAAGAGAGTTGTTGTCGGCACCAGTAAAAGAACCCTTAGAGCTAATGGTCTTAAGAATGTCATCTACCACAGAGATCATGTTCGTGGCCAGGTTTTCAGCTTGTGAAACTTGCTTGGCTTCCAGGACATCTTTCATGGACTCGGCTGCCACTCTGGCAAGCTTCTCATCACTTATTTGCAGTTCATCACCATCTGATTCTCCTTTCGCAAACCCCGCTTGTTCTTGCTGGTTTTTATTTGAAAGTTGATCTGGAGCTTGTAAGTCTTGACCGATTCTCTCCTTGTTGCCGAAATCATCCAGGAGGATATTGGTGACCCATTCCAGATTTCCCGCACATTTGGTCAGGATGTCTTGGAGATCGGTTTGGGAGACAGTAGGGAAGAGGGCAATGAGGCTTCTCAAGTTGGCGTCGATGTCCTCTGTCTGTTCCTCGGGGTCCGTCATTGTGCTCTTGTGGAGTCTCACTGTTACCGGAATCGGGGAATGGCTTGCCGATGATGAGGATGAGAGAGTCTCAGAAATTACTTCTTCCCTCTCTGTTGCAAAATCACTCTCAGATGGTGCAGCGATTTGTCTTGGTTGGCCAACAGCAACACGGAAGCCCTGTTGTTGCAGGTCTTCTACAGTCATTTCCCCGGATTGTAACCTTTGAACACACGAGAAATCAGACGGGAGGGTCACAGTTCCCGCCTCGGCGAACGTTACACCTCCAAGGGTTGGCGATTTGTTTCCAGGTTCGCTGCTTTTTACCTCAGGCCCTTGGCCCAACTCAGCAAGCTCGGACCAGTTCTCTGATCCCGGAGATAAGGTGGGAAACACGGCCGCCATTTTGGTACTTTTGTTGTGAGATTTGGATCGTCGCAGTTTCCTCCTCTCTTGGTTGGTTCTGGATTCCTCAATGCTTGAAGTAACCAGCAGTCTTGGACTTGGGCTTCTGCATCTTGAAGTTGAGGCACGCAAGTCTGAAGACGAGGTTGGCTGGGTCGAAGAAGATGTCACGTCAGCATTAGCGTCCTTTTTGTCTTTGCCAACACTCACTGAGTCTGTCTGATCTGAAAAATCGACAGTAACAGAAGGCTGACCGTCACTGTGATTGCCATGTTTGTCAGCAGTGGAAATATCCACATCGATCGTTCCAAGTTGTTCTTCAGATGAAGGCTTTTCCACTGAGCACCTCCCATTCTCACTTATCCCAGAAAGCACATTTTCTGTAGTTGTATTTTCAGTGTCTAAAACACCAGCATTAGTCTTCACTTCAGTGCCAGCTTTTTCATCAGTTTCACCAAGACCTTTCAGGGTACTGAGGGCATTTTTTAGTAATGAGTCTGTACCTAGGCATTCACGGTCACCATCACCATCTGATGCATTCTTTAAAACAGAGTCTGCCTGAATGTCCAGATTGGTAGCAGATGACTCAACTCCATGGGAAGTTAAAATATGAGTCGTCTCTTCTGCCAATGAATCATCCTGCACTGAAGCATCATCCTTAAGCATGGTTTGATCTTTTTCTCTTCCAGGACTTTGCTCCTTAATGCTTGTCAATTCAGCGTCAGACATGTATGTCCCAACTACGGCAGCTTCTTCTTTTTCCTGTAGTTGTGGTTTTTGGATTTGTTCTTTGCTTTGTTCAGCATCTTGGACAGCATTTACGAGTGTTGCAACTCTTGTGGCAGCAGCTCCAGTGTTAAGACCTTCCGTCAAGTTGGCATCAGTTTGGGCTTCATTTGGGTTCTCCTCTCTACCGTGTGGTGATGATGCAAGAACAACTCTCTGAGAATCACTTGTCGCTAGCTTGATTTCTGAATGTTGAGCATCAGTTGCAACCCCATCTCTGCCGGGAGGTACTGGTTGATCATTCTCTATGCAGGAGGAATTTGCTATCAGACTCATCATTTCTGTGAAATCATCGTCATCGCTGGAACTCTGTTTGTTGGCAGTATCGCCTTTTTGCTCTGGAATTCTTGCCAGCAGCTCGAACCCCGGTGGATAGGTAAATGAAGCTTGTGTAGCTGACGTCAACTCTGATGCAGCGTCAGAGCCTGCGGGGTTATTTATCTGTTGCAGTCCTTGTTCATTGCCTTGAGGATGCTCACCATCTTCCAGCGACGGTATCTCAGCCAGGGGTGGACAGCATGACGCTTCTGCCACCACATTCATCATGGCAAGAAAATCATCTTCATCATCAGCTTCCCTGTCGCCTGTCTTGTCCAACTGCACGTCTTGACTGGTCGCTTCTTCCACTTCAAAGAGTTCTTTGACTAGCTCTTGGGACTCCTCAGGTCGCGTTCTTACTGGCAAATTCTCAGCATCTTCTTCTATGTCAGTATTTCTTGACTCGCTCACTTGATCATCAGTTTTCCCGGGCCCAGCTTTTTCCTGGATTTCAAAAGAAGCTGCCTTCTCCAAGGACGTCACCATCTGACCATCCTCCTTTCCAATCCTTTCTCTCGCATCTTCCTGAGGATCCTCGTTCACTTTGCCCTCATCAGGTTTTCCAACCATCCCCTCTGTCGAGTCACTGGCCATTGAGTCCATCAAGGCATCGAACCCATCTTCGTCGTCCGACATGAACATCTCCTCTCCGTTCTCAATGTCCTCTTTCAAGGCATCTGTTGTCGTGGTGATATCATCGCCACCTTCCTCCTTTTTATACGTGGTTGTATCACCTCTCTCCAGTTTCTTAGAATTTGCCTCGGCACAACCTGCAGCCGGTTCCTCACTAGAAACTTTTGGAACTTTCTTATCCTCCTTTTTCGTTCTCCTCCAGCTCCCTTGGGAAGATGGTCCCTGCTCAGCTTCATCAGTTTTCTTTTTCTTTTTCTTAGGTTTTGAGGATCCGAGAATGTTCTCCACAGTGACGTCCCTCTCAAAGCGTTCAATCATCAATTTGATCCTCTCTTTCGGGACACCATGGGTGTTGTATCTGCCGGATAGAGAAAAAAAATTAGAAATTTAAATGAAAGTTAGAAACAAATGCTGCAACCAACCTATTTTTAATGTGATTTTGCTGGTTCCAAGAGGGTCAGCCTAGTGTCATCTTTGTAACTGACCGACTGACTGACCGACTGAATCACTGACTGTCAATTGTGAGCTGGGCAGTGCCATCATATAGCATTACCCTGTAACGCCAAGGAATGAGCTAAATCTGGCCCAATGTATACCAGATGCATGGAAAGACTTGAAAGTGAATATCCATTTTGAATCAATTAAATAGAAATTTGTGCACTCTGGGACCAGCTTTTTTAGGCTTGCCTTTTTAATTCATATTACCTCAAATGTAAAGTGATGAGTTTGTTCTGTATGTGGTGTACTTTAATCTTCACAAATGATGACTTGTGTGGAGGCTAATAATCACAAAAGAGTGTTTGGGTGGCACTACATTCTTTAAAGCTGGAGTCCATCATTTGCAGCTATCCAAAAAGTAACTGGCATAATTCTTGTTGAAAAACATACTTGGTTGGAAGATAGTAAGGGGACTAAACTCCCTGTGAAGTTAATCTTTCTGGCAAGCTATCATTTTGAAGTAATCAACAAAAGAAGGCCTTTCCAATGGTGCTTCTTAAGCACACCGTAGGAAATTGAAATTAGAAGTTCGTTTTGTTTTGCGGCGAAGCGCCCGCAAGCATTGGCATGACGCACACGCGCGCGTGGTTGCTATAATTCGTCGGATCGGTGCGTGACATTGCGTAGCTGCAATCGGCTCAGTGAGAACGTGTCTCGGACGCTGAATTCAGGCCCAATTCAAAACAGGATTCAGCAACTTTTGATTTGAAATCAAGATCCTAGAATGTTGTTCTTCTCAAACTATACAGCTGAAACTGAGCTGAAACTTCATCAGATTAGTTGTTCAGCGCCTTCTTTAGATTTTGAGCACTTTTGTTGCTTCAAACGAACAAAATGCACAAATTAAAATGATGGACTATACCTTTAAATAGTTTCATGATAAAAACCAAAACCACATTTCATTAAAACCATTTGGAATATGAGCTTCAAGGCCACATGTACGTGTGCCTAGATAGCGTGCTAGTCTCCATTTAACTTGTTCAAAAGGTGTGATTACCTAATATGTAAATGGATGAGTTTCTTCTGTATGTGGTGCACTTAAACTTCACAAATGATGGCTTGTGTGGAGACTAATAATAACAAAATAGTGTTTGGGTGACACTACCTTCTTTAATTACATGAATATTGTTTTTTCCATTCAAGACGGTGTTGCCAAAAACATAAATATTGACTATTGGAAAATATGACAAATTAAATGAGGAAAAGACTTTCTTGTACATTTTCTTTACAACTTACTTGAACAATTTCCCAAGTTTGAATTTCCACGGTGTTGTGGGCTCTTGAAACTCAACTGCATAACCGTAGTGGAGTGCCTTTGGAAAAAAAATGTACTTTTTAAGTAAAAAAAAAGATTTGATTAAGATTAAACTACTGGGGCGGGTACAAAACCTTGAGGACTACATAATGAATTTGACGAGGAAATTCAGCAGATCCGAGGAAAAGTTGCATGCCTGACACCACCGCAGTAAAAGCTTCTAATTCTGATCGCCGGATTCCACTTTATTGCTTATTTTAGCTGGTTCCCAGCTGATGTTTGCTTAACATATAAATTTGCTTCTAAAGCAATATTTTTCTACTCTGACAGCTCCATAAAACAGGGTAAAGATGTATATTACCATGGCAACGTATGGTTTCATCGTCCAGCGTTCTATGTTGGTGTTATCAATGATGAGGGGGGTGACTCCCGATTCCATGGCTTCTTTTGCTATAACAAGAAAACAAAATGAACTTCTTTTGAATACATTTCCGGGCTTTAATTCCCCCTTTAACTCATTAGGATCTGTAGTACACTGTATAGCATTGTGTTTATTTCTTGACAAATCCATCAAACTGTACAGTGCTTGGGCGGTGTGCAGCAGTACACAGAGTAACAGGCAGGGCGGTTTGGGGCAGTACAGTAAGCAGAAAAGTTGTGCTTACTATAGCAGAAAATCATGCTGCTGTTATGCCGTGAATGTGGTGACGGTTGCGCGCGCATGGAGATTTCTATTGCTTAAATCAGTGACGTAACAATTTGTTACGTCACTGATTTAAAGGGAATATACAACATTTGCAAACATCGTAAAACAAAACTATCCAGTTTTTACAAAATACCTAAATAGGATGTTGGTAATTGACAGTCTAAAGCATCCTGTAAAATTATGGCACCTGGTGTGAAGTCATTTTCAAGAAAATGGTATTTTTGTAAAAATTTCCAGCGGTGGTCGGCCGACCACCGTTGGAAAAACCTAACTATTTTTCAACTACTGCTCCAAATTTACCATTAATTCAGTCCAAATTTTGTTTGCTATTGGTTACATGTTCATGAACGGGTGCAGGCCAGCTAGACTGGTACCCTTACCTTACAATTTTCCAGCATCTGTAAATTGATCCATTTTATATTTAGTGGAGTCAGGGAACCACTTGAACAGTTTTGTTTTTCTTGATTTTTCCAGCATTTTCGAACACAAAACTTCAAACATGTCAGTGTAACAATATTTGATCTATAATACTAACCCCTGAAATAGTTAATTTCTGAAAATTACAGCAAAAGCCAATGATGTACATTCCCTTTAAGCAACGTTTTCTTCTGTGGTTAAGCGTGCTTTTGCTGTGCTTACTGCTTAACGGTCCATATGAAATAGATAGATGTTCGGTAAGCACAAAGTTGGTTGTTAAGCAGCACTATGAAATTGGGCCCAGGGCCTTACATGTAAACAATTCCTAGAACTGGCCCTGGACAATTTGAACACAGAAAGGCACGAAAGAATTCATATTTGCTTCGTCGAATTACTTAGAAACTATGGTCAAACAGCAGACGTTTACCGACCATTTACCACATTTGTCCAAACTAAGTTTGTACAGTTGCTGCAATTTCAGTGTACGCGACAGCTCAAAAAAAGTTGAACTGTTACTGCATTGTACATGTGACAGCTAAAACAGATTTTCCAAGTTCATTTTCATGTCTTATTTCACCCTCAGATTCTGAAGTTCAACAGCCAGAACACAACTTTTTAACACTATTTAAAAATCTGAAATATCATTTGATATGTTGCAGTGATACTGTCAAACAATACAGCTATCAAATCTAGAAAATTATTTTCCTATCTCTGTGTATACAGAATATACACATGTAATGTTATTCAAAATCAGTTAATATTTTTACTGGTACTTTTGATGTCACAGTTGGCTAAAGTCCTCCAATGCACTGCTGCCCATTGGGTGGGTGTGGTTCTAAGTAAAGGGAGTGGCCGAAAATAACCCTCTGTACTATTTTCTTCCACTTCTTCATAAATTTAACTGTCATCCAGGTCTTAAAAACCTCACTTTACTGCTTGATCAGGTCCAGATATTTAACTATCAGTTTTGTGCTGTCTGAGACTATACTATCAATGAGGTGGTCTTTCTAGTATAGTGGTTTTTCACAACCAAACGTTTATCTTTTTGAGCTAATGTTCATATTTTTTGCTTATTTACCATTTTTAAAAAGAAATGAGAAATCTCTTATGACCTTTACTTCTCATCCCAATTTAAACTAGGTACCCGTTTAATTGAACTCCTGGGTGGAGAGAGACAATTGTTGTAAAGTGTCTTGCCTAAGAACACAAGCACCATGATTCCTGTCATGACAGTCTGGCAATGTTACATCATAAAGCAATCCTTTTCGCAATACTCCACCCAAACAAAATAAAGTATTTGTTTTCTTATTTGTTTGTTAAGTTGTAAGGGTTGTTTGTTTGTTTGTTGTTATGTTGGGTTTGTTTGTTTGTTTGTTTGTTTGTTTGTTTGCTTTGTTCTCACCTCTCTCATGGCTCCAGTCATGGGCGTCGCTCAGCTTGGTGACGTCAAAGTGGTACTTCCCATCACCATCAATGAAGTAGTCATCGGTGCTCAAGATGCGACCGTTGCCAACAAGTTGTCTAAACAGAAAAAAGACAGAACTTGCAGAATTTTTTTTCTTCGAATCCTATGCAAAATCCACAAGCTTTTGCCACAACCTAATGCATAACTATAGGCCTACATGTACATAGTATTCATCATGTCTTCAAAGCTGAAATCAATTCATCACAAGCCATCACAAGCCATCACAAATCATCATAAACCATCACAAGTCATCACAAGTTGTTACAAGTCATCACAAGCCTGCACAAGTCATCACAAGTCATCACAAGTCATCACAAGTCATCACAAGTCATCGCAAGTCATCACAAGTCATCACAAGTCATCACAAGTCATCACATTTCATCGCAAGTCATCACAAGTCAATCACAAGTCATCACAAGTCATCACAAGTCATCACAAGTCATCACAAGTCATCACAAGTCATCACAAGCCTGCACATTTCATCACAAGTCATCACAAGTCATCACAAGCCATCACAAGCCATCACAAGCCATTAAGAATGGATCACAAAACAATCACAAGTCGTCCAATCTCAAGTCAAATGACGAGATTTAGATGAACTTTGAGAGAGACATTCCTTCATCAATGTTTATCTCCTGTTAATTGTGACCAAACTTGTGACTGACTCGACTTATCAAACATGACAAGTGTGACTGGCCTGTTACGGATAATTTGTTGCAAGCAGCTCCATTTTCTCATTTCAGTTCAATTTACCTTGCCAGTGTGCTCTTCCCACTCCCGGGGCACCCCCTCATTAAGCACAATACTTTGCCCTCTGGCAGGGGAAGAGCTCTGTCTTCCAGCCCAGGCTTTTTTTGGTTGTGCCCTGTCTCTCGTGGTGCATAACTTGTCTGTTTGTTAACTGGCCACTGAGGAGGACCTAGGGCTTGTCTGGCACCCTCGCGTGGTGAGTTACTGCGCAGTCCTCCAGAGGGCAGTGTGCCTCCACGAGGCATGCCGTGCGCTGGTGACATGGCTCTTCTTGGGCCAAAAAGCTGGGAGTTTTGGTTGGGTGCACTTGGCGTCTTGAGAAGCGGATGAGATGCCGGATTTTGAGGCACGAAAGGTGCTGGCGACTGCGATTTTGAGATCGGACGAAACCTACTCTCCGGCGGTTGGTACTTTTGTGCCGGATGCCGGAACGACTGCGTCTGATTGGGAGAATTCCATCCTAGCCTCTCCACCCCTCTTGGGAGGTTGGGTCGCTGTTCCTGGGAAGAGGGGAAAGGAGCGAAAAACGGTTTCCCGACCTGTCCTTCAAACTGGTTGAGATGCTTCCTGAGGGAGGATGCCCTCCCAGCTGGGTGTGGCACCCGTGGCATCCGGTGGGCAGGTCTCGGCTGAAACCCTTGCTGGGGTGGAAACTGCTGATGTCCCGTTGGGCTGGGATGCCTGGCATAGGCCCTCGGCACGAAGGCCGGGGCAGCTGTATTCAGGTTCCCCTTCTGGTTCTTGTCTCCCGCATCCTCTTCTCTGATAGGAGTTGAATGATGGCTGGGTTTCATGTTTCCAGTCACATGGCCTCTACTCTTTTGAAAGTCAGTTTCACGTTTGACTTTTTCAGGATCGTCACCCCAATCTTCGAGGTCAGCGCCATCATTAGAAGCTTCAGATGCCAGATTTACATGGTGGTCGGCGACAACTGGCTCAACAGTGTCTTCTGATGCAGACAGTTTCTCCGGGCACATCTCAATCTCACCGAGGAGGGCATCGAGTTCATCTGACGGCAAGTCAACGGGCGATGATCCACTGAAAATATCTGCTCCTGGGGAGGTTTGCTTCGATCCTTCCTCCAAAGAAGGTACTGAGCTTTTTCCTAAGAGCTGCTCAACCAACTTTTGTGTTTGGCTGAGGGGCATCTGTGGTCCATCAGTATCCAAATCATTTGATGGATACGTATACTCTCTAGTTCCATCGCCTCTGGCAGATGCTCCCCCATCAGCAAACTGGTCATCTTTCCCTTCAGACAAAAAGCTATCACGATTGCCAAGACTTGGTCCATGAATATTCAACTTGTAAGACGAGTCTGGAGAAGGTCCAAATGCAGCTACACGACTTCTATCACTTCCTTCCCTGCCATCATCCCTTGACTGAGCTGCAATGTCCGAGGCCTCAACCTTGCTCAAGTTGTTGAGAGGATGGTTTTGCCTCTCCGGTGTGCCTCTAGCGATAAAGGGATTCTGTTTCTTAGGAAAGCTTTGCAAAAACTCTTGGCGAGGCATCGCACCTTTCCTCTTCAGGGGAAAGTCACTCAGAGAGTCTGCTCTCCTCTCGCCGGAAATGTCCTCTGTGGCATCTTCATCCTGTCGGACTCCAAGGGCATCCCTAATGTGTGGTCCAAGGTCTCTTGACGGAAGCTGGACAGACCCATCATTGCCTCTACTTTTCAGCCGAAGACTTGGACTCTCTCCGCTCCCTAAGTTCTCACGAAACAGAGTGTCCTCTGCATCCACATATTCCTCCTGATCATCATCATCATCTTCTTCTTCTTCGTCGTCGTCTTGTTCCTCGGTATCCGCACTTGGGATGTAGACATCCTTGAACCCCGAGAGTCTAAACAGCTGGGACTCCACTGGTGAGGTTTGTTCCGCAAGCTGGAAAAGTGTTTCCAGGGCTGCTTCGACTGTGAAAGAAACAAACACGTTCGCCAAAGTTAAATTGAAAAAAATCTGGGGGTTTCTCTCTTTGGACAAGATTAAAATCCTTTGACTAACCAAAGAACACAGAACCAGTGTGACTTTTGATTGCATGCCTGGTAAAGATTCAAAATTCATTCAAAATTGTGTTTATGTTACCCAGGCCCTGTGGCCAAAAAAATATATATACATGTATATATGTTGAAGTGGTCCATGAAGTGTGGCTATATACAGCTAGTAATCGAAATAGTATTGTTCTTTTTAAAAGATTTATTCTGTATTACTATTAATCAACGAAATCTGGCTGGAAAACTGGCAAGTTTCTTTTGAGTAAACAACTTTCCCAGTAATCTTGAGTTTTTAACTTAAATTAAATTTGGGCCAGCAATTTACAGGAATAAACTCAAGCAAAATAATGTTTACCTTTGAATTCGCAATCGTTCATGATCATGTGGACAACAACTGGGTCCAACTTCCCTGCGAACATTTCCTGAAGGTAGCACAGTGCTTTAGTCCGTGCATCCTCTCCCGACTCAGCGTCTCCGGAGGTGATGGGTTTGCCGTCTCCAGCGGCCTCGGCCCCCGCGCGAGGGGCCGGGGCACGCCGTTTCACGCTAGTCCACCCTCCAGTCTCGGAATCGCCGCTCGGTTTGCCCTTCTTTTTCTTCGGCATCGTGGCACAGATCGCTCAAAATGTCGAATCTGTACAAACTGGCTGAACACCGTTAACAAAGCGGTGAATCATTTCTCAAAGTAAAGGATGTTGCATGTTGATTGGCATTTCTGATAAAAAAAATTCCCCTTTTTCCACTTCCATGTCATTGCCAATCCGACCTTTGGCATCGACGATCAGTGTTTTGAAAGTGAGCCCTCAAGCGGCGACTTTTTCAACTGTTAAGCACGTGGGCATGTAGTCGGGTAACCCTCGGCATATGAAAAATGCGTGGGTACGATTCTGGGTTACCTTGCTGTATGTTTTATATGTAAACATCGTTTCACCGAAAACTTTACAAGATTGTGTGGCTTAAAAGGATGAATTTATATTATAACCGGGGAAATGTCTGCTAAAAAGAAATCAGGAAGATCGGAGTGGATCAACTGCCAAGTGTGTGACATTCTGGTGATCAGCAAAGACTGGACGAAACACAAGACACTGTGTTCAGGAAATCGTGGGTCGGCGGAACGCCGGTGCCCCGGCCCGTCGACGCCGACCGTGTTTTCTCCAGACCGCACGGGGGCCGGTGACGGCACCGATGGCGCTGGCGAATGGCAGGCGGACGCGACGTTCAACCACGGGTTTATTCGATCTGGGGTGCTGTACGGTGAAGTGTGCCTGCAAGCTGAAAAGGGTTTGTAACAAAATGTCATTTGATTTTTAGCCACTGAAACGTTCATGAATGTGTAGAAATGTGTGTCATGGCCAAATAAAAAAAACTGCCTTTTTAAAAATAAGGAAGCGGGAGGCCCTTTTTTCCCCTCCAAAATGGCCACCCGACCGGGCTATTTTTCAAGATGGCCGCCAGGTGTTTTTTTTAATGGCCGCCATTGGACTCAGGAAATGACATACAAGCTTTATATGTGCTAGAAGTAGAAAGATGTAACAGACAAAGATGCCAAAATGATGTTACTGTTGAAAATTAAAAAAAAAACTTGAAAAAACAAGAAAATCGTTTTTTAGGCCTACAACAACAAAAAAGGAGGCGGCCTCTAAAAAGGAAGCGGACAGGGACGCTAAACATGTTTGTTTTTTTATAAATGTTAAGCGTGCATTGCCATTTGGTTGTCATGAGATTTTATGAATTCTATTTTGTAATTGAGCGAATAGGCCCCTACTCTTCAGTGAATTGAGTCTAACCATGGCGGTAGAATTAGCAAATGTGAAGTGGAGTAAAGGGCCCTCTTTCTTTTAATTCTTGCTTTTATCAAATCTGTGAGATATTGAGTGGGTTCTGACATATAATTCGGAACGAGCTCACCTGGTTTATTCAGCCATGTTGGAAACTGGATTGTAACTGTGTAACAACTGAGGGCGCACTTTAAGTATACTGTAAATGAATTACCGAGTGCGGGAGCATACATTACATCTCCTCCTCACTTAAATATGGAACTGCAATAAGGTCCATAAATGTTCACATGATAATTAGAGTTCAATTTCCAGTTCACATGAGATATTACTTGCAATAGCTTTTGGCATATCAAAACAATTATCAATGATTTTTGTTCGTAATAAACTGCAAATTTCTTTTTGATCTGGAATTATTTGACTAGTGAAGTGTCATTTTTCTGTTGTCTTTTGGACTCATGAAAGTGAGTGTTTGGGTTGTTTGTTCCTTTTATTTTTTTTTTTTCTTTTAACACATGCTCTGAACACTAAACTAGGGGTCTAATAACTTGAACACTAACTACTAAACACAAGTATAGAACACATGATTAGTGGCTACCCAAGCCTTTTGGGACCTTATGTGTGTATGGGGTTTAGAGATCCAGTCTATCCGGTGGTTTCCGCTTCCTCTGGGGGTAGCGTCTCTCAGTGCTAGGTGGTTCTGTTGCTGTCTCGGGTACAACAGATGGTTGTTCTGCGCTGGGCTGGATGTCGGTAGGTGTATGTGTTGGTGAAGTAGGTACTGGACGATTGGGAGTCATCTGGTCACTGATATCAGGGACAAGTGGGGGTACAGGATCTGGCTGCTGGTTGAAGAAGAAAGGCTTCCCAGTGTCGACATCAAGAAGTTGGTCGATGTGTCTGCGCCAGATGGAGTCGGGGCCAACTCGAACTTCGTATGCGAGTGGGCCAGTTTGGGAGTGGATTATGCCTGGAATCCACTTCTGACTGTCTCGGTAGTTGCGAGCCAGCACAGGTTGGCCTGTGTGCAGGTTTCGAGTCGTCTTCCCAGATTTGTGATAGATTGACTGTTCCAGTTGTTTACGAGCGACTCGTTGGCGGATGTCTGGTTTGATGATGTCAAGTCTGGATCGGAGGTTTCGTCCCATGAGAAGGAACGCCGGAGAATGACCAGTGGTAGCATGTGGTGCATTGCGGTAAGCAAGGAGAAAGCTGCACAATTTTTGCTTTACTGACCCTTTTTCCCCTTCCATCGATTTGAGTCCATTCTTGAAGGTTTGGACGAAGCGCTCGGCAAGTCCATTTGTCGCTGGGTGGTAAGGAGCTGAAGTTATGTGCTTCACCCCATTGCGTTTCAGGAAGGTTTCGAACTCCTCTGACTTGAACTGGGGACCATTGTCGCTAACAAGTTGCTCAGGGACACCATGTTGTGCGAATATGCCCCTTAGGATGTCAATGGTCTGGCTTGATGTCGCGGTGGTAGTCTGGATAACTTCTGGCCATTTTGAATGCGCATCCACAACTACCAGGAACATCTGTCCCAAGAATGGGCCAGCGTAGTCGACGTGTATTCTCTGCCACGGTTTCGCAGGCCATTCCCAGGTATGAAGTGGGGCCAGAGTTGGGTTACGTTGGGTTTTCTGGCAACCAGAGCATTCTTTGGCTAGTTGCTCAATGTCATGGTCAATTCCCGGCCACCAAGCAAAACCTCGAGAGAGAGATTTCATCTTGACTACTCCGAGATGACCCTCGTGTAGCTCCGCTAGGACTTGTGCACGCAGTTTGCCAGGGACTATGACACGAAGTCCCCACATCAAGCAGTTGTCGTGCACTGTGATTTCGTTTCTGCGACTGTGGTATGCTGCTAGGCTTGGATCGGTGTCTGAAGGCCATCCTCTCATGGTATACTCGTACACCTTGGCAAGCGTAATGTCTCTGACTGTTGCTTTGCGAACATCGCTACTGGAGACAGGTAGTGTCTCTAGTTGGGACACCTGGAGTATGTCATCAGGATCCGCTGGTTCAGACACAGTCTCGCCCAACGGTAATCTGGATAGCCCGTCAGCGTTGCAGTGCTTAGCAGTGTTTTTGTATTCGATGGTGTAATCATGACTACCAAGGAAAATCGCATACCTCGCAAGTCGTGCAGCAGCAGTTGAAGGAGTGCTCTTCGAGGGATTGAAGATAGAGGTAAGTGGTTGGTGATCTGTCACCAGGGTGAATTTCCGTCCACATAGGTACAGATTGAACTTCTTCACTCCCCACACCAACGCGAGTGCCTCCTTGTCAATTTGAGAGTAATTGCGTTCTGCAGTCGTCAGTGTACGTGATGCGTAGGCGACAGGGCGTTCTGAACCATCAGGCATGACATGTGACATAACAGCGCCAAGACCATAGGGTGAGGCGTCACACGCAAGTTTCACTGGAAGGTCTGGGTCATAGTGTGTCAAGACCTCATCTGCTGTGATCAAGGACTTGGCCTTCTCGAACGCCTTCTCACAAGTAGGGGTCCACACCCACTTGTGGTTCTTCTGCAGGAGCTCATTCAGTGGATGTAGCTCAGTCGACAAATTGGGTAGGAACCGGTGGTAGTAGTTTACCAGGCCCAGGAACGAACGCAATTGGCTCACATTGGTTGGTCGTGGAGCATTTTTGACGGCATGAACCTTGTCTTGGGTTTTGTTCAGGCCTTCATGGGTTATCTCATGCCCACAGAAGACCACTTTTCGCTTGAAGAATTCGCATTTCGCTTTGTTCAAGCGCAGTCCACGGGCCTTCAGCACGTCAAGGACCCTTCTCAGATTGCTGAGGTGTTCTTCATCATTGCGGCCTGTGATGATCATGTCATCCAAGATGCACTGGACTCCAGGTATGCCTTGGAGTACCTGCTCCATGCTTCTCTGCCACATGGCTGGTGCAGACGCAATGCCAAAGGGTAGTCTGTTGTAGACGAACAGACCCTTATGCGTGTTGATAGTCAGCAACTTTCTGGACTCCGCATCGATGACCATGTGCAAGTACGCTTGGCGCAAATCAAGCTTGCTGTATCTTTGGCCGCCGGAGAGATTAGCGAAGACATCCTCCACTCGCGGTAGCGGATAACGTTCAATGTTAAGGTTAGGGTTGACCGTCACCTTAAAATCTCCACAAATGCGTACGCCCCCGTTTGGTTTTGGCACGGGGACAATGGGTGTTGCCCAATCACTGGATTCTACTGACGAAATGATGCCCTGACGTTCAAGCTTTGTCAGTTCTGCTTCCACTTTGGGTCGTAGAGCGTACGGAACTTGCCTGGTTTTCACAAATACCGGTTGTGCATTGTCGCGTACGTTGAGCTTCCCAGTAATGCCTTTGAGTTCCCCGATCTCCTCTTGAAAGAGCTCTGGGTACTCACTCAGCATGGCGTCCAGCTTTTCTTCAGTGTTGCCAATTTTGGGGGGTTGAGCGGTTGTCATGGCGAACAATTTTGGCCAGTCTAACTTGATATGAGCTAGCCAGTCTCTGCCAAGAAGTGGTGCACTGTTGCCTTTGATGATGTACATCTTCCCATTGTGCTCCTGATTGTTGTAGCGAACTTTGGCATTCAGGAGTCCTGCCGGAGAAATCTGTTCTCCTGTGTATGTCTGCAGTTTTATCTTTGTCGGCTGCAACTGTTCTCCAGGGAAGAATTTCTGATAGTCAGCCATAGATAGCAATGTAATGGCTGACCCCGTGTCCACCTCCATCTTTACTGGACGGTCGTTAATGTGGAGCGTGACCCAGATAGCTGTGCTCATGTCACACCGATTATGACCCACATTGTGAATGTTCATCCTGGCAATCAGAATGTTGTCGTCCTCGTTATCGGTGTCTGGAATTTCCTCCATAGTTTTCACCTTCCCTTTCTGATTGGGTTGAGGCTTGTAGGGTTTTTTCTGTGGTCTATTAGGCCTACCCTGGGGACGAGGTTTGGAGCGACAGGCTGGTGCTATGTGGCCCTGTTTTCCACATGAATGGCATGTTGCATCTTTAAATCTGCAACTGTCGGCAGAATGTCCTGATCTGCCACACCTGTAGCATGATGATTGTTTGCGTCGTGCTACAGTGTGTACAGCAGAACTTGAAGTTGTCTGCTGGTGAAGTTCGATGGCATCTCTCGCTGCAGTTTCCATCGCTGTGGCAATTTCAGTTGCCCTTTTCAGTGTCAGTTTATCCTCTGCAAGCAGTCGTTTCTGAATGCTGCCTGCCCGCAAGCCACAGACGAATCTGTCACGAAGTGCCTCGTTCAGGTAATCTCCAAACTGACAATGTTCAGCTAGTTTTCTTAGTCCAGCCAAATAAGTGCTGACACGTTCTCCCTCCTTTTGATCGCGTTTGTGAAAACGAAAACGTTCTGCGATGACCAGGGGTTTAGGTGCAAGATGTGCTGTCAAGATTTGTATGAGTTCAGCATACGGTTTTGACGATGGCTTCTCAGGTGCAGTGAGATTCTTGAGAAGTGTATACGTTTTGCTACCAATCAGGCTGATTAGTGCTGAAACTTTCCTCTCATTAGCGATGTTGTTGGCTTCAAAATATTGTTCTAAGCGTTCAACATATGTTGGCCAGTCTTCCTCATCGCTGTTATATGGGTCAATCCGACCGATAAGTCCCGACGCCATAATGTTCACCGACTGTACACGCGTATGTTTTCACGTATAAGCATGAACAAATGAACGACGGATGCAAGTCTATGGAGTTGCACGGTGAAAAACGAGCCCCAAATCACTCCAAAAACAGCACAAATATCACTGCAAAATGTCAATTGTTTGACTCTACAGGTGAGTGATTATATCTCTGACAATACTATATGTCTGTTAAAACATCTTCGTCGCCACTTTGTGAGATATTGAGTGGGTTCTGACATATAATTCGGAACGAGCTCACCTGGTTTATTCAGCCATGTTGGAAACTGGATTGTAACTGTGTAACAACTGAGGGCGCACTTTAAGTATACTGTAAATGAATTACCGAGTGCGGAAGCATACATTACAAAATCAAATGTACTTCAGCAACCAGGCTTAATCAATCTTCAAATTCTAATGACCCTGTTATTATTTTTACCAGTATTTTGGTTAGAAAATATGATTTTCTTACCCCAAGCCATCCCCCAAAATCCACCATCTCGTGGGATTTTGTTTTAAAAGGGCCAACTTACTTTTCTCAAAATTATTTTTTTGGTTTTTACTTGCCTTTAAGACAAAGCCAGTAAAAACACAAGAAGAGGACTAGCTGAATGTTTTGAAAGCAATTTTTTTTACGTCGTCCAATTTCAGGCAACGAGAAGCTTCCATCATCCAGCCGTCCCCTCATGGTCCACCTCAACCCTGACACCATGAGACTCTGCGACCTCTGCATCGGCCGACCTGCCCTCCTGACCTTTCCCAGGTCAAGGGTCAGGCTGATCGCCACGGCCTGGCCCGTGGCCAACTTCCCCGCTGCGAGTGTTGGGATCGACAGCAGCCTGCAGGGGGTCCACGGGATTGTGGGTAATGACCTGGTGTGGGTCGAGGCTGTTAAAGGTCCAGTGCATCTGGCTGCAGACATGAAGTTGCTGTTTGTGTAAGTTTGGATGTAGTAGTTTACATTTGGAAGTGATTAAAGGGACATTACGTCCTGGAATGCACTCAATTGGGCTACAAAATGCGTTCTAAACGAAATGATGTTAATTGGAGAGAGCATTTAAAAGTAGGATGTAAATGTCCACACAACAATGCTTTAAAAACTGGGCAATTTTGTGGTATTCTTGCAAGAACTACATTTTGTATGCAAGAACAAATTTCGGGGATCAAAATTTTGACTCTCAAAAATCGAGCTGTTGAGTGCTAGTTGTGAATCTTACCCGCACAGTGCATCACATTCTGCAGACGTTCTAGAAACAACATTTGTGATGCGATCAAGCTCAATGAATCGTTTGTCGGGAACTTTCATTTGGAGATTCAGGCCAAAATAGGGCCACTTCATCACATTACTTCATCACATCTCTTGGTGTTCCGACTTCCATAATTTTTGAACTAAAGATGGTATCAGCATGCGGTTTTTACAGCAGTAATGCTGAGATTGTACTCTTTTCAAATCTGTAAAAAAAGAAAATTGACCATTTGTTTATTGACATGATTGGTGATGTGTGCAGTATGCGACACACACACACAACGTGAATCGTACATTGAATGGACACGGCTAGACATACATATGCGTATGCCACAAAATGTCCGCCGCATCCGATGTAAGCAACTGAGTTTCTCATCTTTTCATGGGAACAGTAAGACATTAGGTTAGTTTCCTTTCAACCAAACCTTTGAAATAGGATTTAGTAAACAATTGATCCAAAACATAAAATTTAAAGGTATTGAATAGATTTGAAGACCATTTGCGAACATTCAAATATGAACCTTCCAAACCATTACGAAATAGCCTATTTGATTGAAATATTAGTAATAAATAATAGTATCTAGCATCCTGAGAAATTGTACCGACTGATATGCTGTCATCATTAAGCAAAGAGGGATTTTGTATCAATACTAATTATTTTGGGACGGGACCATTGCTGTGAACAAAAAAATGGCCTTTTAAAAAAATACTACATGTACATCCATTAACAGGCGCAACCGGCTATTGACTTTGTGTATTTACTTTCTTCCTCTCGTTGAATATGAAGATGTGTCAATATCTTGAATTCTTTTTGAATTTCTGTTCACTTCGGCAGGAATGAGGAAAGGTTTCTCCAGTCCCCAGAATTCCAGAAATATTTCCTGCGATCTGTCCAAGGAAGGTGCCTTCTTCCAGGGTCAGTCCTGAGCGTCAACTACTACGGCAAGCCCGTGGTGTGCCAAGTCCTTGAACTCACCCACAAGGACGGCACGGTCATTCAAATCGACCAATCGCCGTACAGAACTCAGCCTCCATTGAGCAGCCAATTGGAATTGAGGATCGCGAACTCCAGGGGATATTTGGGTTTGGATGCATCTCAGAGTTCGGACAACAGTTTTCTCAATAGACGTAACCTCAGTGCGGGTAACAGATTGGGGACGTCTCTGAATATAAACTTAGAAAATTCAACCGCATCAAATGACACTCACTCGTTGCTCTCAGATGTCATTGATACATCAGATTCTCCAAACATCTCGACTTCAACTCCCAAGAAAATCCACTCCGACCCTCGCATTCAACAACTGTCCGAGTCTCTCCAAGATTTGGGATTCGGAACGTCACCGAAAGACAGCTCGTCAAGAAATTCTGGGAATAACAGGACTAGCTCCCAGGAGTTGCAGCAGCTAATCTTCAGTAGCATTGGTGCGAGCACCAGCCTTGTTTTTGTGACCAATCTCAATGACTCCGATGGAGTCTCAGACGATGACATTCCGAGGAGGGACAAAGTGACATACGATAAGATCGGAGGTTTGTCTCGGCAGCTGAAGGCCATTCGGGAAACGCTGGAGCTGCCTCTGAAGAACCCTGAGTTTTTCAAGTCTTTGGGTGAGACAGAGTTGTAAATGAATATTCATAAGTCACTCACAGGTCATCACAAGTCAGTCACAAGTCATCACAGGTGAAACACAAGTCAGTCACAAGTTAATCACAAGTCATTCACAAATCGTTACTAGTCAATTATAAGCCACCACAGACCAAACACAACTTACACAAGTCAATTATAAGTCGCTCAGGAGTCAATCGCAAGTTAATCACACATAAATCACAAGTCAACAACAAGTCAACCACAAGTCATCACAAGTCAATCACAAGCCAATCACAAGTCAATCACAAATCCGTCACAAGTCAATCACAAGTCAATCACAAGTCAATCACAAGTCAATCACAGTCAATCACAAGTCAATCACAAGTCATCACAAGCAAATCACAAGTCAAACACAAGTCAATCACAAGTCAACCACAAGTCGACCACAAGTCATCACAAGTCAATCACAAGCCAATCACAAGTCCATCACAAGCCAATTACAAGCCAATCACAAGTCAATCACATGTCAATCACAAGTCAATCACAAGTCAATCACCAGTCACCCAGTCTCCAAATCAAGTGACAAGCTATTCAAATGAATGTTTATGAGTATACAGTGTTTAAACGTCGGTGAAGGGCAAGACCTAATTTGATTTATATCACCCCGACGCAAAATTCCATCTTATGATAGTTTATGCGGTACCCGCTGCTATGTACATCAGATTCGAACCGGCCAACCGATCCCGTTAGCTCGGTGGTCGAGTGGTCAGACATCTGCACTAGAAAGCAGGAGGTCATGGGTTCGAGTCCCACCCGAGTGATTTTTTCCAACTTTCACTTGGGAGGTAACACACTGAGTATACAGTGTTTAAACGTCGGTGAAGGGCAAGACCTAATTTGATTGTTACTTATGATTTTTCCTTGTGATTCAAATTGACTTGTGATTGACTCAACTACCAACCGGGGTAGAATCACAAACTTTGGTAAAAGATTATATAAATTAGAGTTCACATTTATTAAAATCTTATTTAAAACAAGATTCAAAGATGCAGAACCACAGGTGTTTCTTTTTTTTTGTCTAGAACAAAGACCAGTAAAATTGTATCTCCAATTTCTTGTTATTTTTTTCATGTTTTTCCTCACATTTCTTTTTTAATCACAGGTGTTGCCCCACCGCGGGGAGTTTTGATGTACGGTCCCCCCGGGGTGGGGAAGACTATGATTGCTCGGGCTGTCGCCAATGAAGTGGGCGCCCACGTGACCATCATTAATGGGCCGGAAGTCATGAGCAAGTGAGTATGGAGCAAGGAAATACTTGTTGGAAATATTTGCTTAGCAGGAAATACGTGCTTAGCAGGTAATATGTGCTTAGCAGGAAACATTTGCTTAGTAGGATTTATTTGCTTGTCAGGAAATACTTGTATTAATAGCAGGAAACATTTGCAGGAGATATTTGCAGGAAATAGTTGCTGAGCAAGATATAATTATTTGCATAGCTGGCGGGAAATACTTGCTTAGCAGGAAATATTTACATAGCTGGAAACAGTTGCTTAGCAAGATATGTTTGCTTAGCAGGAAACCTTTGCAGGAGATACTCTGCAGCAAACATTTGCGTTGATGGAAAAAGTTGCTAAGTAGGAAATATTTGCTGATCAGAAAATATTTGCATTGCTGGAAAAAATTGCTTAGCAGGAAATATTTGCTCAGCAGGAATTGCATGCTTAGTAGGAAATCTTTGCTTAGTAGGAAATCTTTGCTTAGTTGGAAATATTTGCTTAGTTGGAAGTATTTGCTTAGCAGGAAATATTTGCGCAGCAGAAAACATTTGCAGCGGATAATTATATTGTCCTGCCCTCATTTATCAGATACTATGGTGAGTCCGAGGCCAGGCTGCGCGGCATCTTCCAGGAGGCGGCGAAGAGCGCCCCCAGTCTGATCTTCATCGACGAGCTGGACGCGCTGTGCCCGCACCGCGAGAGGGTGCAGAGCGACCTGGAAAAGAGGATCGTCGCAACCCTGCTGACTCTCATGGATGGCGTCAACGCGGTAAGAAAAAGAGACCAAGTTGTTACCAGATCCAATGAAATGAGACTTTCAAATAGATTTTTTTACTTAGCAGCTGCGACGTATGCCTATGCTGGTTCCTTGGTTGTTCCGTCAGCCAAATGCAAACGGAAAAACAATACACTCAATTTCGTTCATGAAACACACCAATTTATTAAGCTTCAACAGCAGCAACTTTTCTCAATGCTTACTCACAAAACTCATCTCCCTCCTGACAGCTGGCTAACAACCAACAACAAAGTGAGCAACTTTTATACAATGTATAACATTTACCTGCCCAAGTCCGGCGCTGGCATCTTACTTACCTTTCCCGCCTAACCTGAACAAAGATAAACACTTGAGAAAATTATTTAAAAATTATTTAAAGGGAAGATACAACATTTGCAAACATCACAAAACGAAATGATCGAATTATCACGAAATACCTTACTGGATTGTTAGGGAATGACAGTCTAAAACATTCTGTAAAATCGTGGCTCCTAGTGTGCTGTCATTTTCAAGAAAAATGGGATTTTTCCAACGCTGGTCGGCCGATCAGCGTTGGAGAAAACTGGCTTTTTTTCAAAAAGTGCTTCTAATTGTTCATAATTAGTTATGCCGCGTTTTCTTTGCAATTGATTACACACCTGTGAAGGGGTACAAGCCTGCTAGCTAGACTGATTCTCTGACCTTACAATTCCGCAAAGGTTATACATTGCTCTGTTTCATCTTAAGTGGGGTCAGGGAACCAGACTACAAGAACATGATTGGTTTTCTTGGTTTTTCCAGCATCTACAAGCCCAAATCATGAAACAAGTCATTTTAACAATATTTGCTATAACATACTAATCCTCCAAATCCATTTATTTCTGAAACTTGCAGCAAAAGCAAATGTTGTACATTCCCTTTAAGTCGTATGCTTTTTAGCCTACACTGTTGTGTTCATGTACTTTAGATTTTTTTGGTTCTGTTTTGGATGACCTCAGATGGCAACCAGAGGTCACCTGATGGTGCTAGGGGCCACCAACCGACCAGACGCCATCGACCCTGCCCTGAGGCGACCTGGACGCTTTGACCGGGAGATCGAGATCGGAGTGCCCAATGCTGCCGACAGAGCAGATGTAAGATGAACTAGACGTTTGGCAATCAGGATTGATGTTTGTTCCAACTTTGAAGTTGATATGTTGTATTGTTCAGAAGAAAACACCCTGAGAATGATTGTCGAGAAAAAGAAAACAGACGCAACCATAGAAAGTAAAGAAAATTTCAAAACAATTTCAAAAAGTGATCAGGTTGAGCCCGATCGCCCAATGACCGGGGTGAAATCTATAGCTGAACGCGGAACATGAGCAGTTGCAGCACCTCACGCATATTTATGAGCCAAACACACTGCTGTCATTGGTCGATTTTCCACTGGGTTGGGGCTTCTAGACCCTCTGCCCATTCAGCAGCAGCCAACCAGGTATCATCACTTCCACATGCACCAAATCTGACCCAATGTGTGGGCACAGAATAGAGCTCGCTCAATGACGGCCATCTCGGTAGGAAAACTGCAACTGCGTATTTTACGCAATCAAGCACGCAATGCGCAGTGTTGAAAATGTTCCAAACATGCGCGCTTGTTGCTCGAAATGTGTTCGTATTTCGATGCGCGTTATGCAAGTTGACGCTTAAAATGCTGATGCACGTGGATGGTCTGTAGGAAATGACGTCAGTTGAACAAGACCTATATACGTAGGCATGTAGGACTATTGATAATTTGCCTGGAAAGCAGATCTTGTTAACATCGAAACGTCAGGCCACTTAAATTTTTTAGATTAATTACACTGGGAACGGATGACCCATTTTATGAGAAAAACCTTGCTCAGAGTGAGGATACGGCGGGCACCCTTTTTGGTGTGCATTAGCAATGGAATCCAATTACGAGATGTGGTAGTCGCCGATCTGAAACTTCAACAGGCTAATTGTTAGCAACCTACTTTAAGATTTGAACAAATTAAGTTGTTGCTTCAAACGAAAAAAATGCCCCAAAATGATCCAACATACCTTGAATTATGGCAGTAAACTACCCACAGCGCTCTTCCACGCCTACTTTCAGTTACTTATTTTTGGCTTTCATTTCTGTCATGTTTTCCCAAGATTTTCACGAAGTGCCTCCAGCGCATGCCACACACACTGACGGACACCGACATAGTTGGAGTGGCAGACATGGCGCATGGCTACGTAGGGGCCGACCTGGCAGCTGTGTGCAAAGAAGGTATTTAAATAAATCTATCACTAGTTCATTTGTGCATTTATTGAAAAGTGAGTACCAGATCACCAGCATCTTAAAATCACTATAACAAATGATCGCTATTATGAACAATTTCTGTGGATCCTGCAATGTTCGTTATAGCAGCGTTCCGCTGTACCAACAAAAGCGTCCCGCTGTACCAACAAAAGCGTCCATTGCAACACACTGCTCACAAAAGACTCTGGGGGAAACCTTGTCTGATGCCTTCGCTTTTTTGCCTTCAACGTGAAAACATTTAACACATCTGGATATTTTTTCTCCAGCTGCTGTTCGTTCCTTTGAGAGACAAAAAGGAACTTTAACCGATGCCGAGTTGAAGGACAACATCATGGTGTCTCCTGAAGATGTCCTTCTAGCTCTTAAAAGTGTTAAGCCCAGCGCTATGAGAGAGGTGGAGATCCGAGTGCCTAGGGTAAGCACGAGCAGTTGGTCAAAACTTATTCAATATTGTGGTTCAAACTCAATTCAAAGTGGTCTGGCGACGCTCCTGGTCAGAACTAATCACCGCTGTGATTGGTCCAAATGTTGTGGGCGGGACTTGAGGAATCTGTTGATTGGCCTGCAGGTTCACTGGTCGGACATCGGCGGCCAGGCGACCGTCAAACAGAAGTTGAAGCAAGCCGTGGAGTGGCCCATCAAGCACCCGGAGGCGTTCCAGCGGATGGGCATCACCCCACCCAGGGGGATCTTGATGTACGGCCCGCCGGGCTGCTCCAAGACACTCATCGCCAAGGCTCTAGCCACGGAGAGTGGGCTCAACTTCATTGCAGTCAAGGTCAGAGACTGGCAGTTTACAAAATATTTACATCAATGCTACCTTTAAATCAGTGTTGTAGTCGAGTACTTTTTTCCAAGTACCGAGTACTTAGGTTACCGAGTACAAATATGAGTACGAGTACTTGTACTTCCGAGTACAAGTTCAGGTCTTCGAGTACGAGTGCTTGTACTTCTGAGTACGAGTACTTGTATGCCAAGTACTAGTACGAGTACTTCTATTTCCGAATACGGCCATACCGCAAATGGTTCATTGTGCGTAATTGGCCCAGGCCCAGTCAGACCGATATACAGACCCACTCACGGCTAGCTGTTAAATGTGTTTGTCTGGACGCGCACAGAGAAAAATCAGGAAACTTTGATTTCTCTGCAAGCCAATCAACCATTTCCAACTGAAAGTATCGATAATAAAATAAGGCCATGGTAAGTCAAGCTATACTATTTCGAGTACTGCTATTTGAGTACAAGAACTTTGATGATCGAGTACAATTTTGACATGTCGAGTATGAGTACTTTGCTGCCCGAGTACGAGTACCGTCATTTCGAGTACGAGTACTTTAACATACGAGTACGATTACGGGTACTCCAAAAAAAGTGCTGGAGTATTACTTGAGTACCGAGTACGAGTACTACAACACTGCTCTAAATAGTGCTATGTAATTTTGCGAGTAATTTAGTGTTCGATTATTAGAACGTGGATTTGGCACAAGCCTAGAAGAAAACCCTCAAAAGATATCTCGGGGGAAAAAAAACACAACTTCAGGAAGGGACTGAAAAAGAAATATCAAATCCACATATGGATCAGGGTGGGATTCGAACATGGTCGCAGTGGTGGAAAATGTCTGAATTACCACTGTGCCAACACAATTCCATAAATAAGAGACTTTCCCAATAAGATTGTCTTCTGATGGACTTGTCTTGTCAACTCCCAGGGTCCAGAGCTCTTCAACAAGTGGGTGGGGGAATCGGAGCGGGCCGTTCGGGAGGTGTTCCGCAAGGCCAGGACCGCCGCGCCGGCCATCATCTTCTTCGACGAGATTGACGCTCTTGCTGTTGAACGGGGCAGGTAGGTGCACTTATGTGACCTTTGACCTTTCGAAACTGAAAAGTTTTGTCCCTACACAAAATGCACAGGATTCATGGTTTCCAACTAAAGGCTATATAATAAGTATTCTATTGCTAGTGGAATATTCGATGATCAACTGAATTTCAAAAAAGATTTTTTTTATTCAATATTCAAAAAATATGAGCAATTTCGAGGAGATGATGAAAACGTACATAAGTTATGGGGTTTTATTGTTCGATACATGCCACACTTTTGTTGAAAGCTGTCAATGTGTATGATTTGAGATCTTCGATGAGTAATATTAGCTCAATTTTTGTTTCTTCAAAAATTAGTCCAATAGCAGCAACTGCTACCTTATATTATTTTAATAAGCTCTTTGTCAATTTTTCGACAAGTGCAGATGCCCGCAAATCCCGAAAGGCAGCCATTTAACAATTGTTGACTTGCTGTGATGTGGGATATGACGTTTTTAACACCTGAGGGGCGCACAGGACCCAAGGGGGTTGAACACGGCATATCCCACATCACAGCAGTCAACAATTGCTTTGTTATTTATTTATTTCTTATTTTAACTGGGTAGCCCATTCAGTGGAATCCACTGATCTCCCATGGGGCCCAGTAAAGAGAAGACAATGAGAAGAAATTACAGTTTTAGAGGTGGGAGGAAAACCCAAGAAGAATATTTTTGGGAAAACCCACGGAATCAGGTAGGGACTGAAAACCCAATCCACATGTTGGCCCTGGCAGGATTCGAACCCGGGTCACAGCGGTGGAAGGCGAGGAAAGTACCGCTACGCCAACCTGACTCCCCTGTTACATCGTGCCAATAAGTCAAAAAGATAAATGGTTGTAACTTACTGTGTGAGAAATAAATCAAATCACTGCGATGTAACCTTTGATAACTGAAGGATTTGATGTCCTGCCAGACATGAGACTGAGCGTTTGACGTTGCAGTTCTCATTGCGCAAAGCTATAGCATGCTGGCAGGTTCCACATGCGCGCACAATGCGCGCAGTGCGATTTCACCCTCAGTGTGTGACATGCATTTTTATTGTCCAGACACGTGGCCGTCCTAGACCAATGAAATTACAGTATCCAAGTACACGATATACCAATTTTGGATGGCGTATGTTTAACTTGATCTGTGGATTTTTAGTAATCGAATATTCAAATATTTGATTACTAAATTATCTGAAAAATGCACAACCTGTTCTGTATTGTGGCAGTCATGTGTAAATTTTCTTTGTGCAATTAAAATATGGATTGATCAATTTAACCTTAATTTAAATGTTGGTAAAAACAGTGCATCTGGGGGAAGCAATGTAGCGGACCGCGTCCTTGGGCAGCTTTTGACCGAGATCGACGGAGTGGAGAAGCTGCAAGACGTCACCATCGTAGCTGCGACCAACAGGCCTGATATGATTGACAAGGTTAGTGGATTGTCTAGTCAGTTGACTTGTTGTCCTCCGTGCAAGAACAAGAGAGGGCGCTGTGCCACCTAGCAACAATAGCCCATGTGAAGGGCACTTGCCCTTAGCTGGTTCACGCACCCCACTCGTCATTAATATCATCTACGAATACCAGTGGCGGTTGGTGGACTGGTTCCTGGACACTCCATTATTGTTCTGACCGTGAATAAGCATGGAGGCCGTAACCAGTCCCTAGATGCTTGGTTATTAATAATAATAATAATAATAATGAAACAGTTCTTATACAGGGTGGCCCCCCCCCCAAAAAAAAAAAAACAGAACTGCGTTTTTCCACTACCCTGAGACTCAAACCAATATAATGTATGCCAATGCATGGGGAATTCTGTTAAAAGAAAAATGACACCAAGATTGCCCGATTCGGTCCAGTAGTTTTCGTTCTAAAGCCTATTTTGTGAAACAAAGTTGGGAGTCATTTTGTCCCGATGAATTACTAAACTGCGCACACGAATTTGACGTAATTGGATAGAGGGATTAATTGTTATGTTGAAAGATGTGTGCTTCACAAAATAGGCTCTGCATAAAGTTATTTCACGGATCACAAAAAAGGTACGTGTTCTTTCAGCAAAATGAAAACAATTCTCATAGGGATGCATGTGAATTGTTTTTGTTTTGCTGTAAGAACATGTACCTTTTTTGTGATCCGTGGAATGAACTTTAAAACGGTGTTTGTGTTCAAAGTGCAGTAACTTGAAAAGTATATGTTTGATTTGAATGATTCTTGTACTAAAAGAAAGCTCATTGATTGGGCTTTCTTATCCTAGATTTTGCAAGTGCTACAGGCAAAACTTCATTCAAAAAATGGTCCTGCCATTTGTGATGCGTTTTTTATTACTCACCCTGTAGGTCTTGTCTTATTTCTAGTTCCAGTCACACACAAAAAACAAACAGACCACAGCATGTCCTGCTACTTCAAAGACACATAGGGTCACGCACCCAGAGGCAATCTAGTGACTTAAACAAGACTAAAGTGTTTGGGTGGTCTCGTTAAGGGCCACTTCCTTACCCCCTGTCAGTCACTGCATCTTGTCCCTCGGGGTGGGGGGGGGGGGGTTCTATCTTGACCCATCTGTGACCTCTTCTGTAATGCTTCTTTAAAGAGGTTGTGTTTGTGTTTGTGGGATTGAAGGTATCAAGGAAACTCTTCTTTCGACTGTCTTCTTTGGACTGTCTTCTTGAGACTTACAGACTTTGTCATGTGATGTAGATCATTGCATAGTAACCATCAGGTTTTTGTACATCACAAGTCATCACAAGCGGTCACAAGTCAATCACAAGTCATCACAAGTGTTCACAAGTAACAATAAGTCAATCACAAGTCATCACAAGTGTTCACAAGTCATAACAAGTCATCACAAATGTTCACAAGTCAATCACAAGTCATCACAAGTGTTCACAAGTCATAACAAGTCATCAAAAATGTTCACAAGTCATAACAAGTCAATCGCAAGTCATCACAAGTGTTCACAAGTCATAACAAGTCAATCACTTATTTTTATGAAATGGAGCAAGCCGCATATTTTTTTAATCATTTTTTTCTAATCCGGTCACTTTCTTTTTGACTCGCCCAGTTCAGCCAGATTTTACTACTAATGATGTGGTGCTTATGTAGCGCTCACTTCACAATTATTACCCCTGTTGATCAGGCCACAAGAAAATATTTTCCACAGCAACTCGGAATCAGCACAATCTGCCTCTACCCTCACAGGTTTCCATTTATAGTCCTGGGTAGAGAAAAGCAATTGTAGCAAAGTGTCTTACCCAAGAACACAAACAACGTTTTCCCAATTGGGATTTGACATTGTTACCATTGGCCCAAGGTGCTCGGATCAACAGTATGGGCAGCATCAGCATTGTTGTACAGGGATTTCAGAAATAAATGGTCATAACCTTTAAAAATCTCCTGTGATAAGTCTATTAATTAAGCAGTTTTCTTATGTTTTCAATCCTTCAGGCACTACTCCGCCCAGGACGTCTGGACCGCATCCTGTACATCTCCTTACCAGATGCCCAGACCCGTAAGGAGATCTTCCAAATCCAGTTCCGCACCATGCCCGTGGCATCCGACGTAGACGCGGACTCGCTAGTGGAGAAAACAGACAAGTATTCTGGAGCCGAGGTGAGCAGAGCGATCTTTGTTTTAGTTGACAATCACAAGTCATTGCAAGTCAATCCTGTCTGAAGTCAAGCCACAACAAATGAACTGTGCAAATGCATTCCTCTGCCATTGTTAATCTGTCAAGGCTTGTGACCTGGCTTGTAATTGTCTTGTGAATGACTTGTTTGATTTGTGATTGTCTCCTGGGAATGGCTTGTGGTTGTCTTGGGAATGGCTTGTGATTGTCTTGGGAATGGCTTGTGATTGTCTTGGGAATGGCTTGTGATTGTCTTGGGAGTGGCTTGTGGTTGTCTTGGGAATGGCTTGTGATTGTCTTGGGGATGGCTTGTGATTGTCTTGGGAGTGGCTTGTGGTTGTCTTGGGAGTGGCTTGTGATTGTCTTAGGGATGGCTTGTGATTGTCTTGGGAATGGCGTGTGACTGTCTTGGGAATGGCTTGTGATTGTCTTGGGAATGGCTTGTGATTGTCTTGGGAGTGGCTTGTGGTTGTCTTGGGAATGGCTTGTGATTGTCTTGGGGATGGCTTGTGATTGTCTTGGGAATGGCGTGAGACTGTCTTGGGAATGGCTTGTGATTGTCTTGGGAATGGCTTGTGATTGACCTGTGATTGTCTTGGGAATGACTTGTGATTGACTTTTGATTTTCTTGGAAATGACTTGTGATTTTCTTGAGAATGACTTGCGGTTGACTTTTGATTATCTTGGGAACGGCTTGTGATTATCTTGGGAATGACTTCTGACTGTCTTAGGGATGAGTTGTGATCGTCTTGGGAATGGCTTGTGATTGTCTTGGGAATGACCACAATTGTAAAATGCTGTGTCAGATTGAAACAACTCTTTACAAATGTGTACCGAGCACGGATGTCTCCACTTGTTTACCAAACGTGACGAAAATCAGACATTGCATTCCCAAGATAATGGGGGAGGAGACAGAAATTATCCCCCTCCCACCAGCTGTGAAATTGTCATGGAAAGTCCAACTGAGATGACTCTCAAAGATTCCAAATGTCTTTCGAGATAACACATCACAGAAAGAAGTTTATCAGAGATCGAATATCACCCCCCAAAAAAAGACTTTCCAAGATACAATTTCAGGAAAAGAAATCTTCATAATTTTGAACATTTTTTCTCTGATTATCCCATCTTTCCATGATAATTTATCAGGAAAATGCAGAAGGTCACTTAAAGCTTCTGTAGTTAAATAACACATAAGTTGTCTCCATCCCACCAGGTGGTTGCGGTGTGCCGCGAGGCCGGCCTAGCCGCCATGCAAGAGGATATCAACATAGACCACATCCATGCCAGACACTTCCTGCAGGCGCTGGAGACGGTGCAGCCGCGCACCTCAGATCAGCTGATCCGATTCTACGAGGAGTACAGACAGAACAGCGGCCTGCACAGTATATGAAGCAAGAGGGTACTGATTTTTATTAGCAATAATAATTGGTATTTCTAGAACACTTTTAACTATCAAAGCTACATTATTATTACCCCTGATCATCGGTAAACCATTCCGTATGCCATCTCAACACCCTGGCGAGTATACAGCTCGATGCAGCCATTTAAAACCATTTGGGGAGGCTAATTCAAGCACAATAACTATATCTGCCTTCACAGGTACCCATTTACTCCAGGTTGGGGAAAAGCAAGTTGTGACAAAGTGTCTTGCCCAAGGACACACGCACTGCAACCCCATAGCATGTCATTCGTGTTACTCTGAAGGCTTGAGAACCAATCTCATGGTGCTGCTAAGCACACAAAAAAGTCTGGCTTATAAAAGCAGGTTACCAGCCAAAACTCCATGTGATGTATATTGCTCGTGATTAGTATTCAGCTGTTGTTTGCTATAGCATGAAAATCACGTGGAGTGTTGGCTGGCAAACTGCTTTTATAAGCCAGGCTTTTTTTGTGCTAAGCAATTTTTTTTTTGCTTAGCAGTGCCGTGAAATTGGCCCCTGTCGTGTGCATACTACTCTTGGGTCTGATCGCTCAGAGGGTTCCACCGTCTTGAAATAATTAATTTCATCGAAAGTTGATAGTCCAAGTCTTGTCTTCCTCTTGAGTAAACAAGGCGGATGTTCGCAAACATTTTCAGATTTTTACACCAAAATAACAGTTACTTTGTTGCCAGCCACGGGTTTCATTGACTTAGATAAGTAAGAATCAATATTGAAACTCCAGGCTTAAATGAAACAGATTGTGTCCCATTATGTCCCATTCATTCCTGGACATGCAGATTACAGAAACAATTGAGACAAAGTGCCTTGCATATGGACACAAGCACCCTGATACCTTTTCATCATAAGAAATCACAGTGTAAGGGTGAAGACTGTGTAAAGTTACCTCCACTAGTACATAAACTCCAGACTATTCCAGCAAGACACTGCACATCTCTGTTAAGCACCCGAAGGCCCAATTTCATTGCTCTGCTAACCACAGAATTCTGTGCTTACGATCACCATTTTGTGCTAACCACGCCAGCAGAACAATTCTGTGCTAACCCTGTAAGCACAGAATCCTTAGTTACAGGATGTCCCTATTTTGCAGCCAGTCCCGTGACAAACGCGGTTAAGTTGCTACGGCGGTGGAGGTACAGGTCTCCATCAACAAAATGAGTCAAATCCAGTCTTGGCAATATTGGCAGCGCTACCCAGGAAATTCCGAGCATACCTCACGCGCGCTGTATTCAAACTAATGCATGCGCGTGAGGTATGCTGGGAATTTCCTGGGTAGCGCTGCCAATATTGCCAAGACTTGATTTGATTCATCTTGTTGAAAGCGACAACGCTTGTCACGGACCGGCTGTAAAAAGGGAAATTAAAAACAAATCCAGTATTGGATCAAGACTAGATGGACGCATGCACAGAAGCCAAAATTTCTCACTAACCAGTGAAATGTGCTTACTGTAAGCACAGAATTTTCTGCTATAAGCAGGGATTTTTTTCGCTAATGGTAAGCAGCGCCATGAAATTAGGCCCTGGAGCCAATTTAAGTGAGCTGCTAAGCACACAAACTTGCTAAGCATGGAAAATGTTTGCTTAGCAAAAAAAACAACTTGATAACCAGTCAAAACATCATGTAATATCAAGTAGTTGTGACCAGTTCCCAGCTGACTTTTGCTAAGCACGTAAATTTGCTAAGCACTATTTTCCGCTTAGCCACATCCGATTTACTTGGCTACGGTTTAAAATTACAGGCATATCTATGGGAAACATTAAAGCTACAGTCCATCATTTGCAGCTTGCCAAAAAGTAACTGACGTAATTATTGTTAAAAAACATACTTACTCGAAAGATAGTAAGGGGACTAAACTCCCTGTGAAATTATTCTTTCTGGCAAGCTGTCATTTTGAAGAAATCAACGAAAGAGGGCCTTTCCAATGATACGTCGAAAGACGCATCGTTGGAAATTTCCGTTAGTAGTCGTTTTTTTTTATTTGGCGAAGTGCGTGCAAGCGTTGACACGACTCACACGTGCGTGCGGATGCTATGATTCGTCAGATCAGTGCGCGACATCGCGTAGCTGCAAACGGCTCAGTGAGAACGTGTCTCGGACGCTGAATTCAGGCCCAATTCAAAAAATGATTCAGCAACTTTTGATTTGAAATCGAGATCCTACAATGTTTTGTTTCTCGAAATATACAGCTGAAGCTGAGCTGAAACTTCATCAGGTTAGTTGTTCAGCGCCCTTCTTTAGATTGTGAGCACGTTTGTTGCCTCAGACGAACAAAGTGCACAAACTACAAATGATGGACTGTACCTTTAAGCTGGCTACAGCTGCTTTCCACAGAAACAAGTGAATTTTTTAGCCGAAGCCAAGTAATTCGGACGCGACCTAACTACATCAATTTTACCAAAACTAGTTCAGTCCTCTATTGTTCCCACTGTAAATTCTCCGGAAATGCATTCATTCAATAAACTGCATTATGCCAAATGACTCATACATTACCCCTGGACCCTGGTTTGCTTTTTTGAGTTTCCTCTAAAACGAGGTGTCAGTTTTCCCAAGGGTGCGATTCTGTTGATTTATGTACTTCCGACCTACAAATGTCTGCACCTTTTCAAGTTCTTGAACGCTCTCTGGCAGAAACCCGGTCAACATTGAGTGTACTTTATACATGTGTCTAGTGACTTTTGAAACCGTGAGCAGAAATTAAGTGTGCAGGTTTGCGGGCCTTTATTGGCAAAGTTGCCTGTAGTCATTCTCAGTGTTGTAGTCGAGTCATGTGGGTCGAGTCCGATTCTGAGTCTCCGGTCATTTTGTTCAACTGCGAGTCCGAGTCACGAGTCATTTAATTCAAGTCCTAGTCCGAGTCATATTTGAACGAAATGGATGTGCACGGATGACATTAGCATCAAGTCCACGTTATGATGGATGAGTATGAATTTGAGTCTGAGTCTTTTGTCGATGTGATTCGCAGTGTTGTAGTACTCGTACTCGAGTACTTTTTTTAGAGTACTCGTACTCGTACTTGTACTCGAATGTCAAAGTACTCATACTCGAAATGACGGTACTCGTATACTCAGGTAGCAAAGTTCTCGTACTCGACAAGTCGAAATTGTACTCGATCATCAAAGCACTCGTACTGGAATAGCAGTACTCAAAAAAATTGGTATAGCTTGGCTTTCCACGGCCTTTAATTTTATCGATACTTTCAGCTTGAAATGGTTGATGGTCGAAGCTTTCTGATTTTCCTCTGTGCACGTCTGGACAAAAAAATTTAACAGCTAGCTGTGAGTGGGTCTGTATATCAGTCTGACTGGGCCTGGGCCAATTACGCACGATGAGCCATTTGCCGGATGGCCTTTTCCGGAAATAGAAGTACTCATACTCGGAATACAAGTACTCGTTTTTGTACTCGGAAGTACTCGTACTCGTACTCTGAGACCTGTCCTTGTACTCGGAAGTACAAGTACTCGGTAACTTAAGTAATCGGCAGTACTCGGTACTCGGAAAAAAAGCACTCAACTACAACACTGGTGACTCGAGTGAAGTCTGGACTCATACTCGAGTCTTGAGTCAAAGTCCTGGACTCGAGTCCTACAGCACTGGTCGTTCTCAGCACAACATTTCAAGGGTTCTATTAGATTGAACGGATGGGATTAACTCCAAAGCGTTCCCAGAAATTTCAATTTCGCCTGTATGGGCTTACTTGCTCAATTTGCTCTTGTAGGCCCCACTCCCCCACTCAAAATGTGAGGCAAAGCAAAAATTAGGGGGTTTTTTTTGGTCTTTGAAAACTATTTGGCAATGAATACTCCACTTCAGAAAATGGGGTCCCTCATAAGTGCCCACTGCAAATGGGACCCTAGCTGTGCCAATAATTCACATTATGACCCCTGTTCAATAGGCTGTTAGATCAGTTTTGGGCAGCAGTTCAATGTGTTCTCAATTCAATCTGTTCTCTACCCCCACATGTACCTATTTATATGTCTGTGTAGGGAGAGGCAATTGTAGTAAAGTATCTTGCTCAAGACCACAAACATTTTGTATGGAGCACTGTATTATTGGCACCATCCCGATTCTCTGACAGTTCAACCTACAGTTGAAAACATATGTGGGGTAAAAATGGTGCTCAGAACATACAAGTCTTGTTTGCATCTATTTTCAACTAATATGGAGTCCAGCTTAATAAAGGGGAGATGTTATTATAGTAAAGTATCTTACTCAAGAACACAAACTGTATAATGAGCACTTTCCCCTATTCCCCGACAGTTCAAACTTTAAGCAAAAACAGTAAGGGGAAAAGGGTGTAAAGTTCTTCAAAACATACTTACTAGATTCGTTCGTGCCTCTTTTTTTTAATAAAATGGAATCCAGCCTTATAAAGGGGAGGGGCAATTACAGTAAAATGTCCTGCTTAAGAACACAAGGTATATTATGACCACCATTCCTTTATTCTCCGATAGTTCAACCTACAGTCTAAAACTTTAAGCAAAAGCTTAGGGGGTGAATGATCTCAAAAAGAAGGGGTGAATGATCTCAAAACATACTTCCAGATTCATATTTGCCTCTATTTTCAACTAAGAAGGATTCCAGCTTCATAAAGGGGAAAGGCAATTGTAGTAAGGTGTCTTGCCCAAGAACACAAACTGAAGTCTTGTTTCATAAAGACCATTTATATTTTCCTTCAAACCATCTGAAGGGGCACGGGCACACGGTGAATGTGAATCGAAACTACAGCCCTGCAGAAGCTTTCTTTTCAGGCTTCGTGTACTTTGTCAAACAGTACGCGTAACCCAAAATAAATACCATCTCAACCTCCCGACCGCACATGCTAACCCCAAAAGCATTCAGTGTAAAAAAAGAAAGAAACGGAATCGGTGAAAAAAAAAGAGGTGATTGTGGTTCCCCCCTAAAAACCACCACCAAAAGAAATATTGAAGCTCAGTGTCAACAATTGCTATTCTTCCGCAACACAAAAGACGTTCCGGATGTTTAGTCTATCCCCCGAACTTGGAAAAAAA